GGAACACGAGTCCGTCCTCGCTTCCCTTGCAAAAGGCAACCGCCCTAAGGCGAGCATGCGAGCGAGATGTGAGCTTTCAAGTTGTCAAGGTAGAGAGAAAAATGGTCCGTTGGAAATTTCAATCGGCGCTCCCACAAATACATTCGATAGAGAATAGAGATTTTACAGGGTGGGTATTTCGCTTTTCATCGTGACCAGGAGAGAGAGAGAGAGAAGAAAATCTCAATCCAAAAAACAAGAAGTGAGGGGAATCATGATCCTCTTCTGACCGTGCCAACCCCCGAAGAGAAAAAACCCTTCCAACTCCCAAAAGTGCGACTTTCCGTTCCTTGTTGTAATTGTCGTAGTAGTAGTTGTAGTATTCCAAAGAGGCCGAGCAACTCCAATCGTTGGTCCGTGTGTGCCTTGCACAGTGTACTGTCATGACTTCATTTCGTTCCTTTCATTCGCATCCAGAAGTGTACATGTCGCATGCATGGGTTAGTGCCATAAGCCGCGCGATGATGATGATGATGATGATGATGATGATGCTTCCTCTTCAGCTGCTTCGCGGCAGCCTTCGAACCAGGTGCTTCGCAGAGCGTCAGAGATGGTGAAGCGCAGATCAATGTCCTTCTCGAGACAGCCCTTGACGAGCTCAATGACTTCGCCTCCCCCGGCGGCGGCCTCGCGAAGAGCACTCTCGTCCCAGTCGGCTCGCAGGATCAGTTCCGCCGTCTTGCTGGGCATCGAGTGGCGGAAGGGCAGGTTGCCCGTGCAGAGTGCGTAGACAATCACACCAAATGCCCACACGTCGCCCGCCGTTTCGAACAGCTTGCGGTGGACCGACAGGCCCTTCGGTGACGCATATTCGAGCGTGCCGATGATCGCCGAGGCCTTTGCCACAGGTAGCTCGCCAGAGAGTGACAGACGCGCATTGTAACATTCAGCGGGACCCTCGTCAATGCTTCCACTGTGCAGGAAGTCTGCCAGTCCAAAGTCGCAGAGGCGTAAGTTGCCACCTTCTTCGTCGGCATTCGGTGTCGTGAGGTCTACTAGGCAGTTCTCAAGTTTCACATCTCGATGGCAAACCCGAATGTCTTCATGAAGGTACCTCAGTGCACACGCCAGTTGGTACGCGTACTTCTTCGCGAGATGCGCGGGTAGACCTTTGCGGCCGTTGTTCTTGTGCGCGCTGTTCCGAGAATGTCTGACCAGATCGAAGAGCGTTCCGCCAACGTTCAGGTCCATCACGCAGAATGTGGCAAACTCCGTCTCATAGACCGCAAACAACCCCAGAATATGCCGATGCTGTAGATACCGCCAGATTGAGACTTCATGCTCAACTTCCTGCTGAGCTTTTTCGTTGTCCGCCTCGTTCACCCCAGCGATGGCTCTGCGCACTATCTTGACCGCACGAACAACCGTTTCGCCATTCTCGATCGAGTGCACCTCCTTGATCACGCCAAACCCTCCTTTCGAGATGGTGCGACCGATGATGTACTCATTATTGAGACCTATTGCCTGGCCCTCGTCGTCCGGCTTGCTTTCGGGTATCGCTTCCTCGGCGTCTGCCGCTCTGCCCCAGTTCGAGAGAAACGCTTGTGCGGGGCTGACCGACGTAGTGGCAGAGGTGGAACGACGCGACGAGCGTCGCGAAGGCATGATCCTGCTGGAACGTGGCATGCGCAACGATCGCGTGCTCGAGTTCCGACTCAATGGATCCCTGTCGTACTCGGCGGTCGGTGACATCAGCGGAGAGTGCAGTGAGTGGTCGACAGTCGAGGTTTCCGGGATCGTCTGGGGAGAGACGGTCAATTTCGCGGCAAGCGATTCGACCGAGTTCTCCAAAGTACTGGCATCCGTGGGTGACACCGGTGTCTCGGGGACTGCATCACTGCTGGGTGACATGGTCAATGCGGATGTCAGGGAGGCTCCCGAAGGTTGTGCCTCCGGATCGCTGGACACTCTCCGGCTCGCTGTTGGTCCTCGTCCGTCGGACAGGTTCTCCTACGGGGCACATGTTGGCATAGGTTGCTCCTTTCACCACCGCAAATTATCACTCACCGGAGACATGGTTTGTTTGGCCGGACGCTGGCCCATGGAGGCTAGGCGATCCTCGGACGGGCTCCCGATCAGCCATCTCGTCCTCCGGGGGCTTCGTGTCCTCGATCCGTCGGGGAGGGGACCTGCTTCGGCCGGAACGCCTGACTCGTCCGGCGGGGTTCGTTGGGCGTTCACGTGTTGGGCTAAGAGGGATTCTCTGACCGTCGTCGGTTGTAACGTGTGGTGAAAAGGAGATGGCTCTTCCACGCTGCCGGAGACTGGCTTGGAGAGCCTCGACCTCGGCGTAGCGCTGTTCAGCGCGACCGGCTGAGAAGGCGCGCCAGGAGACTCCTGAGCCATTGTGCTTGGGCTTGTCCACACGCTTGACCTCGAGGTGCTGGCTCTTCGGTGGCTCCGGGGTGTCGGTGCTATCGTAGCTGCCCTGTCGCGAGCTCACAGCTTCTTCGTCCTCGTCGTCACTGCTGTCCTGCAGGTATTTCTGGCGAGAATCTGGGGTTAGCGCGTGATCTGGAGGTTTGTCACGTGACGTGGCCGAAAGCCGAGAGGTCTTACTGTTCCTGCGAATGCAGACGCGACAGTGTGTTTGGGGACGATGGTATTGGGCTTTCCGCCTGTCTGTTCTCTATTGCGAGACGAGCCGTTGCCTGCGGGTGTCTGCGAGCGGTTGCGGCGCGAATCCGGGTCGGAAGGGTGTCGTGGAGCGGGTGATGGACGGCGGTTCGTGCGTCGCGGTGGTGCCTCGTCTTCGCTGCTATCGTCGAGGTATGCGAGAGGGCCGGCCGCGAGGACAACAGCCTTTTTCGGGTCGGTGGTGGGAAGAGCGGAGGGTAAACAGCCGTGGCGGCCTTGTCCGTCGATCGGGCGCCGGGCAGCGAGAGATGCCGGAGAGGGAGACAGACGGCGGTCGGGCCGCTTTCCCTGGTTGTTCTTGTTGGTGGCGACGAAGTTCAGGAAGTCATCGTCGTCGGTATCGTCGTTCTTTTTCAGCGAATCGATGTGGGCGAAAGGGCTGGACTCGACGGGAGGTGGTTTATTCACCGCGGGTGGGGCGGCCTTGGTCCTCGTTCTGCTCTTCCGTCCCTCGGCCTCACTCTCATCTTCGAAGCCAGTCGCGAAGGGGTCTCTGCCTTTGCGTCGTGCAGTCTGCACTCTCAGTCCGGAAAAATGCCTTTTGATGTCGTAAGCCGCGGCCATGAAAGGCTTGGGCTGCCAAATGTTGTGTGAGGGAGTGTGGAGACCCTGCCCTCAGAGGCCGTGGCGGGCAGTGGCTAGGTACCTAAGGTAGCGTGGTAGCGTGGTAGCGTGAGCTTGGCTGTGCGCACCGGCGAGAGATGCCGGAGGGTGCAGTCAGAAGACAGTCGAGCAGTCAGTCAGTCACCGGCGAGAAGATGCAGCAGCAGCAGCAGCAGCAGCAGCAGCAGCAGCAGCCCCTCTCTTCTGTCCGGGTGGGCAGCACGGTTTATTATGATGTGCAATACATAAGCTTCTCTCTGACGAACTCTCCGTGCAGTGGCCGGGGGGTCTGGCGCTTTCACAACAATGCAATGAGCGCTGCCAAGCCCAAGCCAAGCAACACAGCCCTCCCACACTCCTGCTCGCCGTTCATCATCAGCACGGTGCGGCTGGGCACACTACTGCACCGGTTGCTGATCTCCACCCCGCGAGGTCACCGCTCGCTCCAAGCACAAGCTTGCTGCCGTCCGGCGGCCGATTGGAGGTGAAGGTATCGAATCTACCCATCGTCCCCGCTGCCGCTGCCGCTTCTGGGGCCGGCCCGACACCACGCTCTCCCAATTCGAGCTACTGCTACTGCCGGCATCAGAACCTCCTCCAAGACCATCAGCAAGACAAGACACCCCCCAAGCACGAGTCGTCGAACACTCCGCTACGCTACTCATTGCAACGATCAGCTCGTCCTGCTGCCCCATCCTGCCCCTCGCCCAGCTTGGCGCGATAGAGAACGAGCACACATGCGGTGATGCTTCATCTCTTACTGTACCTTGAGCACCGGCTAGGGTAGCCTAGACCTGCACCGTCGATCCCTCGGGGATGCTGGTCGTTTGGCACCGCAGAATTCACGACAACGTGCCGTTCCTGCTGGCTGTTCGTCCTTCATCAGACCACATATTCCATTCGGCTGGCGGGGCCTACCCTCACACTCTTTCCCGACGCATGAATCAAGTTCTCTCGCTTATTGGAGTAGTACTCTCAGCAACATTTATCGATGAAGTGTGCCTGTTGGTAACAGGCAGCGACAACCAAATTGGTCGGTGATCTCGTCCCAAAGCGGCTCTGCAGCCTCTGCTGAGCTGGCACCAGTAGCCATGTAGCAATCACATGCCAGCCGCCTCTGCAGCTTCTCCCCTCCCGCGAACCCCGGATTCGATATATACGACACTGCCAAGCATCGCATTCCTCGAGCTACGTGATGAACTTTAGCCCAGAAGCAGGAGGTGAGGTGGGAATAAACGCGAAGCAATGCGACCTGCTCCGGATGCGTTATCACTGGCCTCCGATTTGCGATTGCTTGCATATGGCAGCGAAAAATCACGCATCATGCCCGTACTTTGCCGCCAACGTCGCACCCTGGGCGCTAATAAGATCGGGTAAAGACAACTTTCCAGAGCTGCGGGATATGTTTGAAGAGATGATTACCGTAGATCGTGTGACTAGCGAGCTCATGATAGCTCCATGATGTTGGTGGGCGAAGAGCATACATAAATCCCGCAGTGGAGAAGCATCACTCCTGTTCAATCTCGGCATTCGAGGCACTGCCTCAACACTAGCTTCCAGCTTCTTGCTCGTAGCGGCTATGAGCGTCAGGGATCGCTATGAGCCAGACGTCCCAAACGCTTCACGTGGTCTTGGGCCCGCGAGAAGCTTCGAGACATGTCTAAAAGCGAGTTTGATGCTCTCCTAAGCAGTAACAGGTTGTCCCTCCGGACTAGGGCATATTGAGTGAACCTCTAGAAACGATTGCGTTTGCGGGACTTATAGTTATCGCGAGTAGGATACTATGACCGTGTGCATGGCCGTCGCACTGAAGAACGTCTGCATCTTATAGACTGAACCATCAATTCGGGCATGGCATGTGGTAGTGTTACTACGAGGATGATGAACATTTCGTTCCCATAGCAGCTTCTTTCATCCGAAGGCCTGTGTATCTCACACGATTTCGTAGGCCAAAGTTTTCGGCTGACTTTATGTTCTGTATCATAGCAAATACCGCAGTATGAAGATGCTCGAGGTCGCTAATGCTAACGCATCTTATGACAGAGTTCAGTCAACGCCCGGGGACATGGCTCGGTCCCCATTTAGGACCCATTTGATCGTCTTCGACATGGCAGAGTCCAATCCCGGAGCTGCTCTAACGTGGTTGCGTGGGCTGTAGGGCGCCCTGTTGCAGGTGGAAGGTGGACGGGTCGAGTGAGACTCGGTGCAACCGCTGGCACCCGCCGTACCTTGCTGGCCGAACAGCCCAAGGATCCGATCTCGCTCATCTCATCAGGCTCCATGTGATGAACATGTGTATTTGGCCGTAAGAACATTCTTTGGTGAGTCGTGGTGATGATGTTGGGAGCATTCACCACCCAAGAAACAAAGGCCACACCATGTTTGAGCACAGACCCGCATGTGACCAAGCAAGCGCGAGAGGGCCGACGGTTGAGCTGCTGCTGCACTCCATCGCAGCGACGACGACGACGACGACGGCGACGTCGCCTGCCCTTCACGAAAATCCGCACATGCCGCCGCAACAACGTGTCCGCCCATACTCGTCGGCCTAGAAGGCTCGCCGCAGACTCCCTCCGACCGAAACGCATCGCCTTTCTGCACCTCACCGACCTCGACGACCAATAGCAAAGCATTATACCGATCTACATTCACATGACGCGCCCTTGAAGCTCACGCACCGCCTCGAGACCTCCTCTATAAGCCGTGTTCTGCTGTGCTTGCACCGACAACCGCAACAACCGAGTGCGCCGCGAGCGCCCATGTCAGCGGCGCCAGCATGGCCGATCTGTGTCGCAGGATATTCTCCTCGTGCTGCGGAAGTAAGAGCTCTCCTCTACACAGACACACCTCGCAACCCTTCGCCTGCTGCGGTGTCGGCATCAGGCTCAGGTGCGGATGCAAGAGATCGTGTGCTGACATATCTCCCACAGGCCGCAACAAAGTAGACTACGATAATGTGCTCGCAGATTCAGAAAGGGAAGCGGTCGCCGACCTGCTGAACTACCTCGAGAATGTACTTGACTCCCACCATCTTGAGGCCTGTCTCGAACTTCTGCAAGATGTTCGACAGCGCCTCAACCTGTATGCGCGTGCTGATGGTGATGATCAACAGAGAGGCGAGACGGACTTCTTTTCAGGCGAACCGCTGGCGGCCCTCTCTACACTTGTGTACAGTCAGAACATCGACCTACAACGCAGCGCCAGCTTGACCTTTGCGGAGATTACGGAAAGAGGCATGTGAATCGAGGACTGGCACCCGGCGGGACGAATCACTAACGTGGCATAGACGTACGACCGGTCGGCAGGGCGACGCTCGAGCCCATTCTCTTCCTACTCGAAAGCTCAGATATCGAAGTCCAGCGTGCTGCCTCGGCCGCACTGGGGAACCTCGCCGTAGATGGTGCGTCTCAGCTGATTGCTCTTTCATGGTGCCAACGACCAACTGACAGCTCCCAGGCCAGAACAAAACCCTCATCGTATCGCTCGGTGGTCTCACTCCGCTTATTAGGCAGATGAACAGTCCGAACGTCGAGGTTCAGTGCAACGCGGTCGGATGCATAACCAATCTGGCTACTCACGAAGAGAACAAGGCGAGGATAGCCCGGTCTGGTGCGCTTGCGCCTCTTACTCGTCTCGCAAAGAGCAAGGACATGAGGGTGCAACGGAATGCAACTGGCGCGCTGTTGAACATGACACACTCCGACGACAACAGACAACAGCTTGTCTCAGCCGGAGCGATACCAGTTCTTGTCAGCTTGCTCAGCAGCCCCGACACGGACGTGCAATATTACTGCACAACAGCTTTGAGCAACATTGCCGTTGACAGTACAAATCGAAAGCGACTAGCACAGACGGAGACGAAGCTGGTGCAGAGCTTGGTACAGCTGATGAAAGGTCAAGCGCCCAAAGTTCAATGTCAAGCTGCACTGGCTTTGAGAAATCTGGCTAGCGACGAGAAGTATCAACTGGAGATTGTACGTGCTGGAGGACTGCCGCCCTTACTGGGACTGCTACAGAGCAGCTACCTCCCACTCATCTTGTCTGCTGTGGCCTGCATTCGGAACATCAGCATTCACCCAATGAATGAATCACCGATCATCGACGCTGGATTTCTACGACCGCTGGTGGAACTACTTGGCTCTACAGACAACGAAGAAATTCAATGCCATGCGATCTCAACATTACGAAACCTCGCGGCATCATCAGACAAGAACAAGCAATTGGTACTCCAAGCAGGTGCCGTTCAGAAATGCAAAGAGTTGGTCCTCGACGTACCTTTAAGCGTACAATCCGAGATGACGGCAGCAATCGCAGTCCTGGCGCTCTCAGACGATCTGAAGCCGCAATTGCTCGACCTCGGCGTCTTCGATGTGCTCATTCCACTGACAGAGAGCGAGAGTATTGAAGTTCAGGGCAACAGCGCAGCTGCACTGGGCAACCTCAGTAGCAAAGGTAATGACCTCGTCTCGTTTTGCCTTGCTCAGTAACTAACACTTCGTAGTGGGGGATTACTCACTCTTCCTGACTTCTTGGAATCAACCATCTGGGGGCATCCATGGATATTTGAATCGCTTCTTGGCATCGGGAGACCCTACATTCCAACACATCGCCATCTGGACATTACTGCAGCTCCTGGAGTCTGGCGATCAAAAGCTGATGGAAGCCATCAACAAGTCCGAGGACGTCATGAAGATGGTTCGGGAAATTAGCGAGAAGACGGTCGAGTCCGAAGATGAAGGAGACGAGAGCGAAGACGGCGAGGGCGAAGTTGTGGCTCTTGCTAGGAGATGCTTGGAGCTCAGCAACGGCGATGCCCCTTCTGCGAAGACAGACAGCCAGCCGTCTTCCTACAAGACCTAGGCAAACATGTCCCTCCGTCCATCAGACGGGACGGCCGATTACCATCGGTGAAGGGCATATCGTCACCATTTTGCATTTTCAGTGTGAGAATTGAGCGAGCAAGCGAGCGTTTTTGTGAGAGCATCAGTGCGGCGTTCTGAAAGAGGTGCTTTCATCTTGGAAGGCGCTCAGAGTTGGGCAGAGGGGCACTCTACAGAAGAGATGCGTAATTGTGGGGTTCTGGGGGTCTGTTGGATGAGCGCTTTTACAACACTACTACTACTACTCTTGGATGCAGATATACCTTTTTTCTTGGCTGTCAGGGAGTCCTGGCGGAGCTGGGAGAGCAAAAAGAGACACATGAGTTTACGGGGATCTGCTGCCCCCTCTTGCCCGTGCTACAGTGTGCAGTGTGCAGTGTGATTCTGTGAGTTGATGTTTGTCTTGAATGCTTTGGGCTGACTGACGTTCATCATGTGAGTTCCACGAACACCCGACGTGAAGTCGACCGTTGCCGAGAAATTTCCATGAAGGACAACCAGGTTCCCTACGGACTGGACTGCAAGGTCCCGTAATAATAACGTGGACCATGCGGACTTGAATCTTTCTTCCGATGCCATTTCGTACCTACCTCATTCTACTACCTCTGTAGATATATGTGATCCAGGCGCGTGTCTTGCGCGGCGCGGTGTGGTGGTGGATCTGGAGATCTACATGGCCGTTTGCAGCCGCAGATAATCTCCCTCCCCCCGTGCTAAGGTGGAGTGGAGTCGAAGCAACGACTTCACCTTTCTTTTCCTTGGTGCGATCAATCAGCTTTTGGAACCCGATATCCCTTCCGCTATTGATTCGACTACGACTTGTAACCGCATAAGAACGGAGAAGAAGTCTTGAGGTGTCCGTGAAGAAGGAGCTGTTTTCCAGGATCGCCTGCCTGTGCTCGGTAAGGGAGAAGATGGCGAAGTATCATGCAAGACTCCCGTATATTTGCCGAGCTGAACAGTAGTTTATTCTTGCCAGAAGAAGTACCACAATCAGCTCACGATCAGCGCATCACATCAGTGCGAAGCCAAGAACCGAACGAACGAAAATGAAGTCTGCGAAGCAGCAAAGCTGAATCATGGCTCAGACGACGGGTATTAGACCCTCACCTTCGCCTGAGTCGTTACGTCGAGTCTCCATTTCCTTAGTAAACGCTTCCCTCCCTCCCTCCCTCTTAGCAGCGAAGATGATCCCCCTTCACCGCCCTTCCCTGATTCCGATCCAGCGTCTTCGTCTTCTCGCGCACAGTCCGACCTCGATCATCCGGGTTGAAAGTCGCCTTAATCTCTTCGCGTCTGGCGGCCTTTTGCTCTTTCTTGGCGGCTTTCTTGGCTTCGTAGGCTTGAACTTTGGGGCGGGCCGCTTTGGGGGATTCGAGGGATTCTTTCTGCTGTGATATAAGGTGAGCAGTGGTCTTGTGGAGGGGAGGAAGGAATGTTCTCCTGGGCTAAGATACCTTCTTCTTGTCTTTGCCTTTGGTGATGGATTGACGGACTCGAGCCCCGATGCCTCCGCCGCCGCCGGCGTTTTTGTTTCCTCCTCCGCCGCCTTTGCCGGATGCCATGTTTTGTTTTGGATGAATATTGTCGGAGCTTGGTAGAGGTGTTGTTGGGCCAGGGAGTTGGACTGTGGGCTTGCTTTGAGTCGCTGGCATGCTCGTGTCGCTATCTCCACTTAACAAAAGGACTTACTCCGTCGCATTGGGGGACAAAGAGAGTTGGTCACTTGACCTCTTTGCGAATCGACTCGTGAGACGGGCGAGAGAACAAGGGACAGTCCCAAAAATTAGATTGACCGCATTAGGAAATATCTTATGCCTGTCGCTGGAACAACAAAGCTATCGACAGACTTCCGCGAGAATCCTTTGCCAGGGCATTATTATTCGCAACCGGACAGATCTTCAGATGCCACCGGTTCCAGTAGACTCGGTAATACCACCGTCCACCACCAGCGCATGGCTTGTGATATACTTGGAAGCATTACTACTCAGAAACACGACCGCATTGGCAACATCGATACTCTCCCCCATCTTACCCATCGGCACGTTGTGCTGCGTGATCTTCCTCGCAACTTCTCGATCTTCCTCTTTCTCGGAACGTTCCAGATTCTCGACAAGCGGCGTGTACATCAATCCGGGTACAACGCAATTCATTCGCACGCCTCGTGATGCGTACATACACCCCGTAGCTTTGGTGTATTGAATGACGGCAGCCTTGGCTGTGGCGTATGCAATCTGCGGCTTGCCAATATACCTCACGGCGGTTATGGAGGCGTTGTTGATGATACTTCCAGAGCCCTGCTTCTCCATGATTGGGAGTACCAGACGGCAGCATCTGAACACGCTGTTCAGATTGAGGTCTAACTGTCGTTGCCAGGTCTCCTCGGATATGCTGCCAGGATCACCAGGCAATGTCATTCCGACATTGTTATAGAGGACGTCGATCCGGCCGTACTTGTCCATGGCAGTCTGCACAAACTTCTGAATGTCGCCGGGATTGGTCATGTCTGCGCTCAGGACATCGCAGACCGCCAGGGGGTTGTCTTGAAGGAGTCTCTGCTTGGTGTACTCGGCAGCCTCCTGGTTGAGATCGCATCCGACGATCTTGACTCCATTGTGAGAAAGGACTCGGGCTGTTGCTGCTCCATTGCCCCAGGTACTCGAATTCGGTATGCCAACCTGGCCAATGCCGGTGATTAGGGCAACCTTGCCCTTCAGATCTGGATATACTGGGAATTCAGAAGTCATCTTTTGGTTTCAGATCTCTCGTCGTGGAAGGATTGAATCGAATTGAACAATGCTTCCCAGCATTGAAGAATGTAATGGCGGACATTCGCCTCGAGACGAGCCGTGCCCGTCCCTTGAAGTCCAAGCAGGTCGTCGCCGTTCAAGGCAAGTCGAGCGATGTCGACGATGTCGCAGCGGTGAGGGGTAAATGTCGTGGGGAGTCGAAGCACCGAAGACGGCCTTCATCACGGCGGAGACGTTACATGTGACTTTGCCCCTGAATCATGTCAGTTTGGCAAGATTGTTGATAATGCACATTCGTTCTTGCGATGTTGATGTGTTGTCGACGGAGAAAAGATGGAGTGAGCGACCTGGATGGCCTCATCTCGGCCTGCCAAGCCACTAACCGGACTTGGGCATCCAGCGCTGTCCAGCGCTATGATCCACATGCTTACCACAGTTCCCTCCTCGTCGCTTTTCACAACAAACAGCATCACCAGCTCCCATTGTGCATCAAGCTTTCCGCCATCAGAGAGGAGATTGGATGAAGTGAGGCATGTCTTATCGTCATGCTGTCTCGGCGTCGCTTAAATTTCCTGAAATGGAATGCGCTGGTGAGGCCCCTCAGCTCGTGGGAGTCGAGTATAATATGTGATGACATCCCACCGCCTATGACACACGTTCCGGATGAGATTATTTCCTAGCGCTCAATACAGCGGTCCGTGCTCTTCGGAAGCGGTCAAGATGAGTATCCAGGCGGCCTCTACCATGCCTGAGCTCCCGCAGCTCCCCAATCGGGATCACAGCCTCTTCAATGAGGGTGCGCCGAGCTTCTCCAAACCCAGAGAGTGGCCACTCGAAGTCATCATTGTCGGCCTATCGAGGAGCGGAACGACTCGTCGATGTCCCGGGTTTGCTGAAAGGACGCGGAAACTGACGTTTTCTTAGCTATGCTGGAAGCCATGAAGGTCATAGGCTATGGCGGTATCTGGAACACTCGGGAAATGCTCCGTCGCCACCAGCTCTCTTTCCTCGGCAGCATTCTGAATACCAAGTTTCATGGTCATGGCCCTAAATATGATATCGAGCATTTCGAGTCCCTTTTTGGCGACTACTCGTGCATCTCTGGGGAATTTCTATCGATCACGGCTGAAGACCTAATACAGGCCAATTAGAAGCAAAAATCATCTTGACTATTAGAGCGGACGAGGAGCGCTGGCTACAGAGTCTTCTTGACACCTTGTGGTACAATTACTCAAACGCGGCACATTGGGTCCTTAGGCGTGTCCACCCGATTTGGATCGAGCAGAACAAGCTGCTGAACCCACACTGGAACGACTTCTATTCGGGAGATCCTGCGTCACACGGTCTACGTGTCTACAGAGAGCACAAAGTCCGAGTAGCACGGGTCACCACGCCTGCGGACAGGCTGCTGATCTATCAAGTCAGCGAAGGATGGGAGCCACTTTGCAAGTTCCTCAACAAGGACATACCTGATCAAGTCGTTCCGAATTTCAACAAGGTTGCTGAGCATAGAGAAATGTTTGGACGAGCCCGCCGCAAGTCTTTGGGCCAATGGCTCATGGTTACTTGCTTGAAGAGTGTTGTCCCAACTTCCGTGGCCAGTCTGCTATGGTACAGGAGAGCGACGGTGATCTCCATAGTGAGCCAGACATGGAAAGCAGTGCTTAATCTTACTGTTTGATATGTGCTATCAGACTCGGCGAAAGAGATACGGCTGAGGCACTTGTAAATCCTCGTCACGGACTCAGCTGAACCAGCTGCAAGGAAGGTTGGCCGGTGTCGGAAGCGCAGTAATCAGGTACATAACGATCTTTCAATGCACATGTAAAATATTCACCCTACCCACCAATGTCACCACTGAGAGCGACTCCAAGATTCGACAGTATGAACACAACCCATCACCCTCTATCTCCACCAACGCTCGAAGAACTCGCCGAGGTCCTGTCACCGGCTCTGCGATCCAACTACAAGACTTCACATGTCACCGTCGAGCAATGTCCAGATCTACGAAATGCACCCTACCATCTCGCAACCCAAGGCCTCTCCGGCAAAGAATCCGTAGCAGACATAGGCGGCCAACCAAACCTCTTCCCCGAACCCCGACTCAACTGCAAATTCTCCCTGATATCCATCGCGAAGGAAATGCAAATGAGCCCCAAACGAGGGCAACTCCTAGGGGCAGGAGCAGGCCCCTTCCACGTCATCGGCATGAACTCAGAACTGGCGCCGAATCTCAGCTGGCGGGAAAAATTCGAGAATCTCGACAACCGGACCCATTACGCCAAAATCGACCGGGAGACGAAGCAACCCGTGGTGGCAAAATCGCCCTGCGCGGAATGTGCCCTGATGATGAACCTGTATGGTTCCGAAGGATTGCCGGGCCCTGTACTCAAAATCACCGCGCGCGGCCGCACGGGAACCTCGAAATCTTTCACGGAAGGCATTCGACGCACGTTAGCGGAGCATTACGGCGACGCGAGACCCGTGAGCATGGGCGGGGTCTTCATCATCAAGAGCGGGAGAGCACATTTCCACGTGATGCCTGATTTCCCGGCGAAGGAGGAATTGCCCTTTAAGAACGCGAAGCAATTGAACGATTGGTTGACGTACCACGATTTCGAAGCGCCGATGGTCTGTCTGACGGTTTTCCATTCGGCGGATCCGGGGAAGGCGTTGGGCTTGAGGATGGAGCATACGCATTGTTTTTCTGGGGATGGAGCGGATAGAGGAGGGCATTATCATTACGATTTGGATGGGGAGGAGGTGGAATATGAGGCTTATTTCAATACGGCCAAGACGATTCATAGGATTGATAAGCCGGAGGTGACGTTGGAGAGGGATTTGCATGATTGAGAAGGGAACTAAGAGGGTGTTAATATAGCTGCAGAGCAAAGAAATGGCTTTGATCGAGGACGAAAGCATTCCTCTCACGATCAATTCTACCAGCACCACATCACCGCTCGCTACTGGACTCCAGGTAACGGTACTATCCCGGTTGCGGCTCGAACAACGACATGAGTGGAAACGCCTGTCAAGGAGCCAGTATTGATTGATAGGAAAGCCGTCCGTTCTCCAGCGGCTAATAGTTAATGCTTAGCTTCAGCCTCAAGATAAATCAAGGCATGTCACTTACTTCTGATACGTGTATCCACTCCTCAACGCAGAGTCCGCTCCAAGAGTTCTCGGTTCTCTACCGTTGCGACAGAGATCATCGAAGAAGACGAATTGCAGAGCTCTCGAAGTTGATAAGCCCTGGACCGGCCAGTGGTTATCCCGCGCAAGTCCACCCATGAGGCCTCGAACCTGTTGTCTTTGCCTCATCAGCTCTCATCTGTCAACGATTACTACTGATGGAAGGGACAACTCACCAAATTCCATCAGCGTACTCTGCGTAGTACATCACATCGTACCGATTGTCAAATCTGAAGCGTTCATACGCAAGCTGAAAATTGCACTGGGAACCGGTATTGCGGACTGAGAAATTCCGAGGCTTTGGGATGAATCCGTCGTGCCAGGTTCGACTAGAGCCTTGACACTTCTCGACTGCTGGTGCGACAGTCACGATGGCCGCGAAAGTGACTGCGAAACCTTCATGCTGGCGAAGGTGATGCCAGGATGAGCTCAAGGTGGGTTTGAATTGCTGCTCGAGGATGTTCGTGGCAATGCCTGGTAGGAACTGTTATTTTGATATCATAGAACAGGCTCTCTGCGCAGTGATGGGTGCCGTCTGGAGTATAGAGAACCAGCTCCGCCAAGTCGCGCCTAATCAACTTGGTTCGTATCGCAAAAGCTCACCGTGTCTTTGCCAGCTCACAGTTCCAGCCGTATCTCATGACCGACGTCAAGTTCTCGGGACTCCCAACATTGCGACGCCTTGCGGCGTCGTTTGCCGTGAGGTAAAAGGCAGGAAAGCTGACGAGATCGAATTTCTTGGCAAGCCACGTGAAGCCGCCAATGATTGCGATGGTGTAGATCACTGCTTAGTACCTGTCTCAAGTAGCGCACGAGAGGAACCTATTCCAACATGCGCGTCTTGACCAGGAGAGTAATGGGGAAGTAAAGTCGTGACCGTTTATCTGTCTGCCGGATTCATGAAAGCCCTCACCAGAGCATCTGGATAAGAGATTTAAATCCGCGAAACGGTTCGCGATGGCCACGAATTGACCTCATGAAGACTCGGGTAGAAGCAGTGGGCCGTTTTGCCTAGGCCATCACCATTCTCCTCCATCTCATCCCTCCACCTCAACTCTTCCACCCTTGCGTAAAGCCGTGCAGCTTGTCAATAAGCACAGCTCCCCAAGCGCCCATTTCCTTCTCAATCATAGTTCCGAAGAATCTCACAGCCTCTTCCTCTCCAACATCGAGCTTGAACCTCTCTTCAACCTTCCTCACAGCCTGTTCGCCGCCAAACACAGCAATGCCAGGGATAGCGGCATCGCCCATGAGCGCAAACAAGTTCAGAATGAGAGAACTGCTCCTCCGTAGAGTGGTATAAGCTGTGAAGCAGTATTGCCTGAACGTATCGAATTGCGACTCAGCCCCGTTTACACCGCCCATGCCTTCAACCATCTCCCGAGAAAGTTTCATCAGAGGAGCCATGGGTTTCGGGTCTCGACCAAGGATATATCCGAAGTCGATATGAAGGAAATGGCCATCCTCTGTAATGAGAAGATTATCAAGGTGCCGGTCTCCCACCCCCAGAAGGTAAGTGACAACGCAATACCCAGCCACCGATTTGACATAAGTGTCCATGGCATCTTTTCTGACGCCGAGGATTTGTGGATCGGTGGATTTGATCACGGGGTTGTGATGGCGCAGATAGCCGAGGATGGAGCCTTTGTATTTCGGATCTTGGAGGATGCTGGAGACGGGTCGGGACAGAGGTACATACTGCATGGCGCCGGCGATAGTAGAGGTTGCAAGCACGCGATAGGGCTTGAGTTTTAGATCGAGATTTTCGTTCAGAAGGAGACGGTCCATGAGAGCGATGATTTGAAGGACGAGCTGGTCTTGGCGGAGGTCGTCGCCAGTCTTGAAAAGGAAAGGATATGTTTCGCCATTGTCTTGTTTGAAATATAGCAGAAGAGGCATCAGTGTTGATTTGAAGATGTTGCAATCGTCAGGAACGACACCAGTGAGTTTGACATCGGGGTCGAGGGGCAGCGGAAGAGGCGGATCCAGCGAGACCAAGTCGTTCTTAGGGTCCGCCAATGTTTTCTTGAGTTGTTCAATCTTTCGTAACCGATCGCCCTTTCCATTGCGTACGTCGGTGCTGAGCTTGCTCAGGACCGTAATTAGCTCACCCTGGCGAAGAAGAATCTTTCTGCGAGCCTGGCCTTCAGGTGTGGATTCCAACTCTCTCATGAAGTCGAATGCTACACGAGAGTATAGTCTGTGGTTCGCAGCCTGACCAGGCGAGTCCTTGTCCAGATCAAGCTCCACTAGTAGGTACCAGTGGAGGAAATTGCCCAGCTTGAGATTTGCAGCCGATCTGACAATCAAGAATGATTTCAGAGACGAGTCCGTCTCGTTCTCGTCCTTTGCCTGCTTCGGCTCGAATTTGAGAGCCTGCACAAGCTGCAAGAGGTATAGCAATAGTTCTTCGTCGTCGGCCTTGCGCAGTCTATCGACTGCATATGCTCGGACAGAGCCATTCCTTACACCAGGACCTAGGAGCTCCAATGCATCGTCGACATCAATCTCGGCCCACTTCGGCAACAATGCAATGGCCTGTCGACTTTCGGTATGCTCGTTCCAATTGACAGACTTGACGAGTTTGGTAAGCGCACGTTTGTCCCGAGTGAGATGGTGCCTGAACCTCCAGATCTCATCCTTCTCCTTGTCGCTCAATTCCACCGTGGGGCCATAAGACATGACTCGATTTAGGAAGTCCCTCATTTTGGGGTTCGGCTTGAGGTCCCTATCCAACGCATTTCTTTGCCCACGAATTAATCTTCGATGCTTCGACTCAGCCGGATTGTCAGCGTACCCTATTTCAGGGTCATAGATACCAACTAGTGGAATGCCGCCATCCGTATCGCTGCCGCCATCTGAGTGGATACCGGGTCCCAGCTGGACTTCAGGAGGTGGCTTGAAGTTGACAACCGCCGTCTTCTGGTTTTGTGACAGCTTGATACCGGACACAAGCGGAGGTGGATACTCGTGATCGGTGAAGACAACTGCGTGGTCGAATCTGGGGAGCTCAATGTAAAGGTAAAACGTGCCGTCAACATGGTCAGGATCGCCCTCGGCACACCGTGGCTCACTGCTGTCTACCGCACGATCGCCGTTGATCGTGCCGTTCGGTTTGGGTGCATTCTTTGGCCTCGTAGAATCTCGGATCTGCAACCGCTCCATCTTCTCAACCTGACGAAAAACCATCTGATCCAGCCATCTGTTTTCTTGGATCTCACCCATTTCGTGCTTCTTCATTAGACCGACCAAGCGTTCCAGCTCAGCATCACGCCTACTCTTCTTTTCATCGATCACGACCGTCTCTTCCGGCTGTCCTCGCCGACCTCGCTTCCGTGGCTCTTGCCATGGTGTCGTTGTGTCCGAAAAGCCATCTGCAGCCTTATGTCTCCAAATCTTACACTTCTGCCTCCCAGTCCTCAAAGTAGCATCCTCATCAAACAGCGAGATCGTGGTGCCTCCAAATGGGATGTGGTGGCTCTTATCACCTCCTTTTGGGTTGACGGGTGACAGATCCCAAAGGGTAATAGCAAGCTGAGTATTAGCCGGGAGAGTACTGTATCTCAGCGGCAACTTCAACCACTGATTCCATATTCGAGCATTCTTGAAGTGTTTGTACGGTGTTTGGGATGCCACTGTGAGTGGTTTCGAATCGGCGAATGGCTGGATAGTGACGTAGAGTTCCGAATTGGGGCTCAAGTTGCTGCCTCGATGGCGGAGGTCTGGTCGTTTGAGTAGCGTCGAATAGGGCAGAGGCTTCTCATGGCCTTCGAGGCGATTGCTATCACATGTCAATCACGTTGTCCGTCACGCTTTTCGCATTTCATATGACAGGTAAACCCACACCTTCACGGACACATCCAGCATCGACAGGTCGGAGGAGCTGGCGAACGTGAACGGCTCCATCTTGAATGCCTGTTCGACGTCAGACTGATTGGCCGACTGTTCGCTATCATCGCGGAGTGCAAAGCGAGTTGAATATGGCCGACTAGCTCATAGCAAACAACATGGTATACGTAAGTAGATGGATAGACACACCACATGTTCGCCATGTCACATGATGCTGAACGCACTAGCAGGGATTCGCGTAGAGCTTAATCTGGCGCGTGGGGTTAGAAGTCGCATCCATCCATTTCACAGTTCATCTCAAAAATTCACCAACTCCACGACTTCGTCTTGCTGTCGCCGCTGTATATCCTTTCACCGCCTTCGCCGACGAAACACCACCGGCGCCCACAAAAGCTGTCATTGCGCTATCGCACCCACTCCGCGCCCCTCGCCGCCTGCGCCGCAACCACCCAGCACGGCGGGAAGCTGCGCGTAACCGAAACATTCTACCATTCCCTCAAATTCGGCAGTGAGGGCAGAGGCGAGATATGGCGCGACTTAATACACGACGTTCATCTTTCCCAGCCTCGCGCTCGCTCTCATCGCCGCCTTCCTCAAGCCAATCCGATCAGGAGAACAACGACCCCTCCGAAGCACCCCGGCGCGACAAGGGCAAGCAAAGAGCAACAGACATGCCGCCGTCGCGGAATCGCAGCTTACCAACACCATCTACGGAGGGCAGCGACGGATCACGAGGCCAGAAAAGAAAGCGTCCACAGCTCACGCAGCCGTCGGACATACCGGATGAGCTGGATGAGAATGACGCGAAGTACAATAGATATTTCGATCCCGACCAGAACCCTGAGGCACGGCGACAAGTCAAGCGAAAATCGCGCGCGCTGCACCGTGATTTTCACGGTATGTCCCACGCGCAAAATCTCCTGCAGTCAATGTGCTAACTTCCGCGTCAGAGAATCGCGATGAACTCTTAAAGGATGACTGTGACGGCCTCAGACAAACCGTTCTCCAGGCCAACAACGTCTTTCGGAATATCAAACAGACGAATGACGCGACGGTCGACTCGCGTCTATTCGTTGACGTTTCAAAACTCGCTCTGAAGAAGACTCAGGAAGCAGTACGGGGCGACACAAGTTCTGGTTTGGATATCGACGACTTTCTAAACAAATGTCTCAGCTTCATGAAAAATGGTGGACAAGCTGATGCTGAAGACCAACCGCAAACTCAAACGCAAAGGAGAAGGACACAGCTCGACGAGGACGACCTGGATGAAGACGAGCCAGATCACACACAATTTGACTGGGAGTTACTGGGTCAACATGCATGCTTCCCATACAATGCGCGCCCTGCTTGTCCTTCGTTCCTGCTTGGGCCTCTTTCAGTGGAGAAGAAAGTGCGCAAGCAGACACAACGCTCCGCTCGCCAGACCAAGGATACAAACGCCAAGGAAGCTAGGCCCGAGGCGCTCACGAAGGATGACCTGTCGCAATCGGATCAAAATTCATTGAGTGCCATCTGCGGCAACATAAAGAAGCACTTGTCAGCTCACATTCAAAAGGAGGCCAAGGCCATGGAGCGGAAGTTCTCTTCTGAAGCAGAACTGGCAACCGAAGCTGGAAAATATTGGCTCAGACGACATCGCATCACACGATACGGTGGACCTGTGCTGTTCGACTATGTCATCAACCCGCGCAGTTTCGGACAGACAGTGGAAAACATGTTCTACATATCTTTTCTAATCAAAGAAGGGTATGCTGGAATTGCATCCGACGATGATGGCATGCCAGTCTTGAGTAAGTCACTTCACCTCTTGTCTGCGAAGCAACCCTATGCTAACTTCGTGACCAGCCGAGGCTGAACCTATGGATGTCAACCAAAAACGAGCGCAAAACATCCAACGCCACCAGGCGGTCTTCTCGCTGGATTACTCGACATGGCAAAAGCTCATCCAAGCTTTCGACATCACCGAGTCTATGATAGCTCATCGCGACGAAGGAGAGCAAATCCAAGTCGGCTCAAGAGGGTGGTATTCATAGCGAACATCTTGTACATTGCTTCACGGCTGCTTCTTGACACGGGCCCTCACGCGCTTTTCGACGACGATATGAAAATTTGGAATGAGGCGGAATCGCTTGATGTAGTTTGCATTTAATACCTTGAGCGAAGGCGTCGGAGGGTTGAGCGCTGCTTACCCATAGCCCACAAAGTCGACGTGCGAAGCGTCGTTTGCTATTGATTCTTGTCTTGTTCTTGCTAACCTCCAATTCTTCCAGCACGATACCCTCAACGACACATGTATACCGCTTTAGGAAATCGCTGCGAACCAGCCGTCCCCATCAGCACTTTCTTCAATGGCGCATCGTCACGGAGTTGAGGCTTACCAAGAAGCCTTTCCGGCGACGACAGCCTGATCGACGATACTCAAGGAAGTACTTCTGTTCCCCTGACCAAGTTTCCAGAACATCCTCATTGACACCCGAATATTCTCACCATGTCTGAAAGCTCAACATTGTCATCGTAGGCGGCGGAATAGGCGGTCTCACAACCGCCATTACCCTCCATCACCACGGAAACCACAAAATCACCATCCTCGAAACATCTTCCTCCCTAGCCCACGAAATCGGCCAAAGAATTACACTAGCTCCCACCGGCACAACGTAAATCGACATCATAATTTACACTCCCCAACGACTTTCCTCTCCAAAGCCTTCACATTCGCCATTTCCGGCCTCAAATCTTCGATCTTCCTGGCACCGAGAAACGCCATGTTAGTCTGCATTTCCTTTCGCAGAATCTGAAGCATCCTCCGGACACCGTAATGACCATAGCCAGCAGCCATGCTGAACAGGACCGGACGACCGATCCCGACCGCACTGGCGCCGAGACATAGAGCTTTCAAGACGTCCGTTCCGCGACGAACACCGCCATCCACGAAGATCTGCATCTCCCGGCCCATGATGTGTGGTGCGAACTTGCGGATCTCGTACAGGGTCAGAAGAGGAGGTTGCGAGCTATCATCGGGTCAGGACAGACTTTTTGCTTTTCATATAAAGTGGAGAGAGAAGGGACTCACGTATCCTGGGATCTACCGCCGTGGTTGGAGAGCACGATCCCGTCGACTTTGTGCTCGTATGCGAGGATCGCGTCTTCCACGCATTGGATTCCCTTGACGACGATGGGGAGTTTGGTCACGGAGCGGAGCCAGTCGATGATTTCCCAGTCGGCGTCGGCGTTGATGAAGGAATTGTTGGAAGCTGCTACGCCGGTGCTGCGGAGTGTTGAGACGGCTGCTTCGAGGTCTTCTTCGAACTGTCTCAAATATCAGCGCCCTGGGTTTCTCTAACGTGGCTTTCCAGAACGAATTTCACCTCTTCCTCGACCTCCTTCGACCGCTCATCTCGTTCCCGATTCCCAGTGACGGGGGAGTCCACGGTCAGCCAAATAGCTTTCACACCCGTCTTTTCCACTCTTTCGATGAACTCTCTAGACTTCTCCAACTCCTTATTCAGGTACAATTGCCAGAAAACAGGCTGCTCCCGCGAAATCCTAGCCTTCATAATCTCCTCAATCGGCACACTCGAAACCGTATTAACGACCTGAACAACCCCCTCAATCCCATCTGCCTTCGCAATCGCACATTCCCCCTCCGGATGCACCAATTTCGCCAAGCCGACGGGGGAAGTATAGATCGGGAGACTGGAAGCATGGCCCAGGATCGTCGTGCTGAGATCGACGGAGCCTACTTTTCGAAGGATCCGACCTCGAAGGAAGACTTTTTGGTATATCCTCGCATTCTCTCTCAGCGTGACTTCGTTGTCCGAGCCGGAGGAAATGTACGCCCATGCCAAGGGAGTCATGTGTCTCTCGGCGACCTTTTCGAAATCTGCGAGGGCGATGATACTTTTCAGTGGGGGAGGTCCTCTTGCGACACTGCCCTTGGGTGTGGGTTTGGATTCCGGCTTCAAGATGGTGCGTGGATCGATGGTGCCCTTGTTAGCCCCAGGACCGAGCGTCTTCTCTACCAAATCCGCATCGTGGAAGGTCTCGTATTGCTCCGTGGCATCCTGGCCCGCGACTCGGAGAATCAGACTCGCTCCGCCAGGGTGTTGGTCGATGAAAGCTGTGACGTCCCAGATTGTGCCGTTGATGGCTATCCAGCAGGAATTCCGATTGTTGTTCTTGGCTAGTTCTTCTGCTGGTATGGTGGACATTTTGCCGTTTCGAAGCTGCCCAGACGCTCTCGGATATGATGCAGATCAAGTTCGAGGTTGGAATGGAGTGCAGTTCAGGACCACGAGATACCCATGTCCGGCACGAGTCGAGATCTTCCGGCGTCTGGAGTGGTCAGCCTTGCATATTGATGGTTGTTGGGGGGACTTCACTTGAGTGGGGAGGGAGGAGCGGATGAGTCGGCTGAAGTCCTCGTGGCGGGGTCATTGTTGGGGGGGTGCAGTTCTCTTCAAGGTTGCCTCACCTGTTCCTGCATCACATCGGCGACATCGGCATTTGAAGGCATTCGCTTTTAGCGACAGCCATGTCCTATCAAATGCATGAGGTCTGGATAAGTGTTCAACATACTGTCATGCCTTTTCCACCTTCTGAATGAACGGAATTGATGGTTGAATTGATGGCCGAATTGACGGTTGAATCGATGGTTAATTGCGGTTGATTGGAAGCAGGCAAGATGAATACAAAAGAGGCCCCGGGGCAAGTCAAAGTCTTGCTCTTTGGGCTCGGTGCGTGAGTTGCAATATCCACGTTGTATTCAAAAGACAGACAACTGACGCCTCGTAGCATCGGTGGCTTCTACGCCTTCATCCTCGCACAGAACCCCAACGTCTCACTCTCCGTAATCGCCAGATCAAACTACGAAGCCGTCAAGCAAAACGTAACCCCTTCCACATCTCCATCAAGCCTTACAACATGGATGCTGAACTGAGCAACCATCATAGGGTCTGCAACTCATCTCCCAAACCCACGGAACCCATCAAGTCCGCATCGACCACGGTACATCCCCACTCTCCCTCTCCCTCTCCCTCTCCCTCGCCTCGCCCTCAATCCCCTCACCCTCACTAAAAAAACCCCCTTTCCTTGTCAACAACAGTCTTCCAATCCCCTTCCGAATCGCCCTACAAATACGACTACATCGTCCTCGCCCACAAAGCCATAAACGCCACCCGCATCCCCCCGCTCTTCCCCCCATCCGTCACGAAAGCCACCACAACCTTCGTCATCATCCAAAACGGAATCGGCAACGAACGCCCCTACCGCGACACTTTCCCCCACCACACCATCATCTCCTGCGTCACCTGGACCGGAGCAGTCCAGACCTCCCCGGGCGTAGTAACCCACAAAGCAACCGAGGACCTGCAAATCGGCCTCTTTCCCAATCCCTCCCTTACACCGGAAACGGAAGACAGGAAGCTGGATTTCTTCGCGGAGCTTTTGAGAACCGGCGGAGCGACTTTCAACGTGGAAAGAGATATCCAGATCCAGCGCTGGGAGAAGGTCGTCTGGAATGCCGCGTGGAATCCCCTCACCACCCTCACCGGAGTCTCCGTGCAGACATACCTGAAATCCTCCCCGGGAGCTCTGCGGACGGCTCGAGCTTTGATGGGGGAACTGGTGCAGATAGCGCGGAAATGCAACGTTCCTCTGCGTGAGGGGTTGGTGGAAGAATTGATTGCGAAGGTCCTGGCAATGCCGCAGGAGGTTTATAGTAGCATGTATGTGGATGCGAAAGAGGGGAGGCAGTTGGAGACGGAGGTTATAGTCGGGGTACCGATGCAGAAAGCGCAGGAATTGGGGCTGCAAGCGGAAGTGCCGGTTTTGAGGACGGTTTGCTCGTTGATTACGGCCGTGGATCAGAGATTAGCATTATCACAGTCACGATGAAGAACTTGGATGTCTATTGTTCTGTCGATATCTAAGCACTAGTTTCATACTTGGTTCTCTGTCGGATTTGCTCGCCAAAGTGCCAGAAGAGCCAGGGTATGGGTGCCATTGCCAGAGTGCAAAAGGCTAGGATACTAGTCGCCCAACCTACTCCAAGAGCGCGGTACATCTGGAGCGAGAAGAGCGGGAAAGCGGTGCTCTGGCTGTAGCGACAGAGCATGGCTGCGCCTGCTGCTGAAGCGCCGTACAGTGGGCCGTAAGCATCGATCATGAAGAGGTTGCAGGGTGCATAGATCATGACGCTAGAAGCCATGGCTAGGCTTTGGGAGATGATGGGCACGACCCAGTGGATTGAGGGCCGGGCTGTCCAGGCGAAGAGGAAGAGGAAGGCCGGCAGCAAGGGAGATGCGATCATGGCTGGATAGAGGCGATTTTCGGGTGGGCAGCGTGTGTCGGGTGGGTAAGAGGATTGAAATTTGCGGAGGCGAGGTTGATAGAGGTAGTAGTCCAGCATCGTAAGGGGAATTGTTGCTGTGAGTGCGCCGGTGGCCAGACCGATGAATGAGAGTGACTGGGCGGTGAGGTCGAAATTGTAGTAGTGTTGGTAGATCCACGGAGAAGCAATCACATAGGTGTACATGAGGCCGAAGAGAAAGCCACTGTAGAGGCAGACCAGGGTTACGATCGGCTCTGTGACAAGCATGTGTGCCGGTCGAAGGACTAAAATCATGGTAAAGTAGTGAACCGATTGCATGAGCGTTCGCTGTGGCGTGGGCGGACCTTCAATGTTGAGTCTCTTGGCCCTCTGCTGCAGGATGGTCTTCTTGTATGTTTCTCTGGTGAAGATGATGGGGATATAGAAGGTCACAATGAAGAAGATAGTCGTCCACTGAGTCCATCTCCAGCCCCGTGCTTCGACGATGAAGCCGCCAACAAGTGGACCGAGCACAGCACCGAAGGTTGGAACGGCGTAGTAGAAGCCCATGGTGGTTCCTCGATGGCGGCTATCAGTGTAATCTGTAATGGTGGCGGATGCATTGCCGATTGCTGGCGCGGCGAAGACGCCCGCAAAGAAGCGACAGACGATCAAACTGGCCACTGAGTTGGAGAAACCTGCTCCTAATGTGAAGAGGGCAAACAGCGGCGTGGTGATGAGGATGACTACTTTTCTGCCAGCTGTCTCGCTCAGTGGAGAGCCAATAAGAGGTCCAAACGCCATTCCGAGGTTGTACAAAGAAAGAGGCAGAATTGCGACCTCGTCGGAGCAGCCGAAGTCATATCTGACTTGGTCGATGCCCGGGCTGTAGAGTGACGCGGCAAAGGTGCTCACGAAAGCCAGGAGAGTATACGTGAGCGTTGCCATCACTTTCCGGGTGAGGGAGAAGTTGCGTGGATTTCCGGGGTCATCGGCGCCACTCCAGTCTCTGGCTTCCTGTATTGGGTGGCGAATGAGTCCGGTGGAAGTCGTTTCTTGCTTTGCCATCGCTCATGGTGGTCGACGAGGTGGGTGAAGAAGTCTCGACGGACACCATATTCTCACTCGGATACATGGAGATGTAGACAGGGAGATGTAGTGCATGAGGGAAGCGCAGGGCGTGCCGATCTTCGCCCCAAAGGATTCATTTTCATGGGAGTGTAGCGTAGCGTAGCATGAGAGGAAAGACGAGAAGGAACCGGAATGCTCACCGGGAGGATTTACCCGCATCTTCCTGCCATACTCATAGCTCGTTCTCATGCTGGTATCTGTGTGATGTTGATGTTGTTCACAGGGACGTTGAAGGGCGTGTCAAGGAGATAGATATGTGATATGGGATGCCCAGCAAGGGCGGCAGGTCTACCCGAGATCGGCAGGAACACCCGAAGACCATTCCCACTCCATATCGTATTTTTGGACTACACTACAACTTCTTCCGGAACATCAACTTTCGTCAATTTTGGTGCAAAATGTCGAATGATCTGACGCCGGACTGGATCCTCAAGCAAGTTCTGAATGTCCAGGATAAAGCCCATGGCGATTGGTTGAAGACTTCCCACCCCGAGCTCAGGCCCAGAAATGCAGGACTTACTCTGACCCTACTTGGCTGTGGTACCATGGGCCTCGCCATTCTCAGTGGTATTCTGGAATCTTTGCAGCAAGAGCTTCCAGCAGAGAAGGGCGCGAGCGAAGCCGAGCCGGCTCTAATGCTGGACAAAGTCCCCTCCAGATTCAATGCCTGTGTCCGGACCCAGGAGAGCGCCCAGAAGATCAAAGCTCGCCTGGAAAGGTACGACGCCAATCTGACCGTCTACGAGAACGACAACCTCTCAGCCGTCAAGGACTCAGATGTCGTGCTGTTGTGCTGCCAATCTCAAGCCGCACGTGAAATTCTAGGAGCCCCAGGAATCAAAGAGGCATTAGCGGGCAAGCTTCTCATAAGCGTCTGTGCTGGTCTGAAGCACTCGTCGATATCTGACTTCTTGTGCGGCGATCAGCATTCCCCAAATGATTACACCATTGTATGCGCCGTGCCCAATGCTGCAGCGGCCATCAGACAATCGATGACAATCATCGCTACCCCCGATCGGCCTATTTCAGACCAGAACAGCGCCCTGGTTGACTGGATCTTCACTCGGATAGGTCGTGTCATGTATCTGCCTTCGTCGGCGATGGATGCAAGCATGGGGCTCTGCGGCTCTGGCCCGGCGTTTATGTCGCTGGTCATTGAATCGCTTGCTGCAGGCGGTATCGCCGGCGGGATCCCACGAGACGCAGCTTACACGATGGCTGCGCAGGTGATGCGTGGAACGAGTGAGATGATCTTGCAAGGCGAGCATCCAGCTGTCATACGGGATAGAACAAACACACCTGGTGGCTCCTCCAGTGCAGGTCTGCACGTCCTGGAAGAAAACGCGGTCAGAGGTGCAATGGCGAGAGCCGTCAGAGAAGCCACCGTCGCTGCTCGCGATCTTGAGAAAGCAATCTAAGCACGAAGAGGTCTGGTGGGGCCGCTCATCACTCCGTCGAGCCACGCAAGACCTTTGATGTTCACCCTTCCAGCATGAGCAATGTGGGCACCACGATATTCTGCTTCCGTAGTGCTGACCGGTGCGGTCGTTACGTGAAGCCTCTTCACAGGCGAGGCCAGAGTGGAGCTACATGCCAAGACCTCCTCAAGCAAGCATGTATGCGGACGACTTGTTTGCAGAGTGCTGGACTCTCCCAAAGTCGACATTGAAATCACACGACTCAAGTTCCGGCGGCGAAAGACGCCGCTTTCCAAGTCGATGGTTCCAACCCGACGGCTTTTCATGGGATATCCCAGCATTTTAGGCTCATTTCGACTTTCAGCTCCTCTCGCTCATCAGCCTGAATTCAATGCCCCTGGCTTTACTAGATGTCACTCCTCGCAGCATTCGACTCTACAGTGAATAGAGCAAGATTAGCGGCCGCCGTGTGATGCAATCAAGTACACGACTTGATATCTCCAAGGTAGCCAATAGCCAAACTTCTTGGCCCAGACCAATCCAGACGTTTTAACATGCAGATGGAGAATCAATTTCGAGGAAGTAGGGTTGATAAGTGGCCTCTCTGTCCCAGCATTAAGCTACAGCATGGTTGCACCTTGTACCGTCAGGCAGCCGGCATTGTTAAGCAAGAGTGCTGACCGAATCTACTTCGTGTTCACGTCTACGCTCGAACAAGATCTCGAGGTCCTACCAAACCCGGACGAAATAGATGTTCGGGCGTGTGAATGCGGCCAGCGCTCTGTGCGCCCTCGTTGCATCGCGCGTCGCACTCAGCCATGCAACGCCGCAGACTTCGGGACAGAAGCTGGAGCCGCTCCTCACGACCATCAGCCGTACGCCGGAACTGTCGAAATTCTACGCTCTAATCGGCAGCACGGGTGACGATGGGAGAAAGCCGGGCGCAGACCTCGAAGAGAGATTCAATCTGGAGGGAGCGTCTCGCAATTTTACCATCTTTGCGCCTACCAATAATGTACATTCCTCTCCTGAATCTCGTCTCCAGGGGTTGAATGCTGACCATACAATATTATACCTAGGCATTTGCTTCCCTTCCTCCGCAACTAGCGGTCAACCTGACCTCCGGTCTCAACTACCCTCTCCTGCTCGCTCTGATCCGCTCGCACATAGCCGAAAGCTATATCCCTCCCGGGAACCTCCTCTCTTCCCTTCCACAAATCGAATCAGTCCAAGGCTTCCCGCTGTCCATCGACCACTCTGGACGCATCGTAACCAACAAAGGCCTCACAACAACAACCTCCAAACCCATCCCATTCCAAGCCCAAATCCTCAAAGACCAACATGGAACTCCCTCGTCCATCCCCGCTTCCAACGGCATCATCTACAAAATCGACGGAATCCTAGACCCCTGGATCACGTATTTCGGACAAGACATCCCCTCGGGTCCCACGATCAACGTCCAGAGACGCGAGGGGACCATGTCCGATTTCCTCCTCAGCAATCCGAACCTGACCCGTCTCACTGCGGCTCTGGAAAGGGTGGATCCGGATTTCCTCCATAATCGGCTGTCCTTGGCTCCCGATGGGCAGGCAACGACGTATTTCGCGCCTTCGAATCGCGCTTTTGAGATCCTACCCCCGGGTGCGATGGACAAGGCGCTGGAGTCGGGGAACGCGGCGTTGACGGCGTATCTCTTGGGTTTTGGGTTATGTAAAGGCGGCGGTGGGGGGGTTCGGGTGTTTGAGAGTGAGCGGAGCGGGTTCGAGGTTGTGATGGAACCGCAAGGGCGGGAGGTGGGGAATGGGAGGGTGGAGGAGAGAATTTGTCCCGGGAATGGGTGTGTGGTTGTTGTTGGAAGGTGGTTGGATCCTTTGTATGGAGTTTTGTAATAGGATAGCAGCAACAGGCATTGCCGAGGCGTCGTCTTGATCTTTTCACTTCGTGTTGTCGTTGCCGTTCCTGTCATGGCAGTGATATCCCCGGACGTTGTTCAGCCATTGAAGCAACGATTTCTCCTTGCCACGAGAGGCATGGAGCAGCATACTTGGAGTTGCTGGAGTTTCGAAATAATAATTGAGGGACTTCAAGATTACAAACAAAGTCAGCTATCTATCATCTAAAGAGGATTTTTGGCCCTGTCTTCATTCAATTGAACTTACCAGAGCACGCTGTTGCTGCTGGAGGTTACTCTCCGTTAACGTGTGATGACTGGCGCTCGCTTCAGTCTTGTCCTCCTCAACCAGTTGATCCTCTCTCGACATGATCCATTCTTTCCCACTTTCTCCGCGAACAAAGACAAAGTTCCCAGGAATTACTATATATGACTTATCACACTCATAGAGCAGACCTACCCTGCCTTCGGCCCGCGGCTGATGCACGGCCTGGCTGAGACTTTACAAGGAGCGTATCTGTAATTCCTGAGCTAGACAGGGCACGCAATCAGTCGTGCTTCCGATATGAGATCAGTCCGCGCAACGTAAGAAGATAGCAGGTGACAAATGCAACAGTCATACGTTCAGACATCCTTGTTATGGTGAGATCAAGCTCAGTTCCTCTCGAGTGTGTGAGAGGACAGGTCTTTTATAAGCTCCAGACGCCACGCTAAAAGTATCAAGACGATAAAAGTTCTTCCTGGTAAATGTGGCACCGAAATGCCGGGCATCATTTGACGTCCTCGAAATCCAGCTCGTCATCATCGGCGTCGCTGGCAGCTGGAGTGTCCTCTGCTGTTTCAGCATTGCCGTTGGTGCCGTTGGGAGCGGTCGAAGAAGAAGGCGCTTCTAGCTTGATGCGCTTCGTCTCGCGTTCGTCGTCGGTGGCATTACTACTTTCAACGTTCGCGGGTGTATTCATCCCAGTCGAGTTAGCTGCGGTGCCATTCATGCCATTCGCCGGAGTACCACCGCCACCGGTAATGTCAATATCTTCGAATTCATCTTCTTCATCCTCTTCTTCGTCCTCGTCTTCTTCCTCGCGAGCCTTCTGGGCCTCCTGGGCCTTCTCGGCCTCCAGCTGCTTCCAGTACTGGGCCATAGCATCATCGTCGCCGGCGGCGGGTTTGACGTCCTCGCCTTCCTCGTCTTTGACGGCTCCTGAGCTGTGCGCTTCTCGCTGCTGTCGCTGATGCTCTTCCTTGGCACCAACTGCTGTAATTGCGCCATTCTGGACAGTACTATGTGTGATCCATTCCGGTAGCGCATTCTGCTTCGCCTCTCGCTCCTTCTTCGCCTGTGCTTCCGCGGCCGCATTCTCTCGCTTCACGTCCTCGTCGTCCTGCACCTGGACAGCAATCTTCTCAGGCTTGATTTCCAGTCCTTTAGAGCTCTGCAGATTCTTATTGCGATCGTCGACAACCTCCATCTTCGCGCCAGGATGGTTGTCCGGTCGTTCGACGGGCTTGTGAGCTTGGAGTGCTGTATGGAAGTCGTTTTCGGGTACCGTAGTCGCATCGATTTGCTTTAGGAGATTCGTCAATTTCTCGGTTTGCTGATTGAGACGCTTCATGCTCTCGTTCTCGTTGGCAAGCTCATCTTCCTCAACGTGGTCCAGCACGTGCTTGCATTTCTTGCAGATGAAATTGCCCATGTCGTCCATACTGTCCATGCCCTCCAATTCAGTATACTGACTCTTGCACCGCGGACATGAAAGCTCTTTTCGTTCCGTGGTCGGCATCCCCAAGCTCTCGATATGCTTTGTGAGCTTATACATGCGATATTTGATACTGTCGATGGCGCGGTGATAATTGAGGTAATACCACTCTCGCTGCGAATAGCGCTCCTTGCCTGGGGCGGGGACGCCTCCATGGTATCCGCCAGTGCCATCGGCGCGACGCTCTTGGCGAATCTGAGAGCTCACAAGACCCGCTTCCTTCAGAGGCTGGCACCACTTGCGAACCCCCTTTCCGTTCGCCTGAGTCAGGAACTCCAAGTCCCTGTCCGTGAGAACAGAGTGGACGATGAGGCAGTCGACGATGATGGCATGCTCGGGAGAGTGGAAGGCTCGAACAGTGGTGCGAATCAGGTCGGTGGCTAGCTCTGCCATGGCTGCGAGCGAAAGCCTCGGAGGATGGGTAGTGGTGGTGGCGGTGGTGGTGGTGGTGGTAGTTTCAGGTGTGTCGTTGGTATTGTTTGACGGAGCGAGCGCTGCGCGAAAGCTAGACCTGATTGTTGAAAAGTATTATCGATGTCACATGCGGTGAGTGTCGAGCAAACACAGTGAAGTGTTGCTGGCGAACAGAGACAATCAATCGACAGTTCACATTTGCGAGGCTGAAGTGAGATCCTAGCGCCGGGTCTTCCCGTCGGAGATCGGATAGTGGACCCTGAGCCGACGAGGAACTCCGATCGTTCTTTTGCACCCGAACATGAAGACATCATACCACGGCACACTCCGTATAACATGAGACGACGGCTAACGCTGAGTCTAATTACAGAGTGCACGAACAACAAAGCAACGCTGTATACTGATCCAAAGTCGTGAACGAGACAAGCATGCCTGCCTCATCCTTCGACTCGGCTGGAGAAAGGAGGCGAGAGAGCAAAGCCGGATAGCATCGTGTGCGTGGAAACCAGGCGGAAAAAGCATACTCGGGGCGCTGGTCTCATCGGATCTACTCATGAAGAGTATGTTTGTAAGCCATATGCGCATCTGGTCTATGACAGGAGCCGCAGGATCGGGAAGATTCGCTTTCGTGTCACCCTCGAGACAGCTTTTAGATTGAGAGGAGATCACAGCCATGCAGTGGAACCTTGACCAGGGCGGAGATGTTCGGGTGGGTGCCTTGCTATTCGCGCAACGTCGAAGGTAGCCTGAGACCTCTAGGATAAGCCCCTTGAGGCTCCCTTCTCTACGCCGCCACTGATGAGTTGGAGCTATCCAAGGAGTATCGATCATAAGAACGATTGGGAGAACGTGCTCATGCCACCCGTCAACTACGCAAAGGCACTGTCCTCGTGCTGATAAATCTGAGACTACCATGAATACAAATGGGCGGTCTTCTCTGGACACTGCTACATTTGTAGGTTGCTGCTTACTTTCTCGGACAACCTCTGATAACATGGCAAACGATCTTGTATCAGATGCAAACACTCCGCTTGTGGGTGACATGCCTCATGAGAGCCAACAGCTTTGCACAGAGCCGGCAACCCCGTTAGCGAAGGAAGTGGAGAAAGATGACTACGTTGTGATAGAAGGCAAACCCTGCAAAGTAGTCGAAGTAACCCGAACCAACGAGGCAGCTTCCGCAGCTTCCGTGGACCGGTCAAGAGATGCCACGAAGATAACGGCTGTCGACCTTTGGAATGAGCAGCAAGTCGCCGAGACCTATCAGCCTAATGACAAGATCAAGATACCCAAAGTCGTAAGTATACCGTGCGCTTCTTGTTATAGCGCGGGCAACACAGTGCTGATGGCGTACGGACCGAAATCGACAGCGATTGGCGTTTACTTATACACGAGGAAGGCCGCACGAAGAATGATGCAGGTGGATCAGATGGTGGATCTGGATCTCGACGCAGCAGCGAAGGCAAGACGGGTAGGAAGGGCTCTTTTTCGTGCTCATTCTCTTCAGCTAAACCGCAACAGTTGTGACCATCATGAGTACGAACTCGGAAGAAGCCGCCATTCGAGACACTGCAATGAAGGACGGAAAGTGCTGAGTGCTCAGCTTGTAACTCCCAAGTCTTTTCGACGTCTCCGATCTATGGCTAACACCCGTTCCACGGTTTGGCATCGCTACTGCTGCTACTATGGCATGCGTCGAAAGTACCTCTTCTGTCGACATGCCGTCACAAAGCAGCACAAAGCACTTGCCTATTCTCTCCAATGTTTACACACTTCAGGCGCCAACTCCGCCCGCAATTTTACCAATCGACGTGAACTCTGGAGTAAGGAGTGCAGGTGTGAGAGATTTGGGGAGTTGACAGTTCCACTGATGTTGGCTTTAGAGAAGACGTGAGGGAAAGGGGGAAGGAAAGACTTACCAAAGGCTTCCGCCATCGTTTCCGATGCGGTCGTATTGGATTATGAGTGCGGAGGGGGTGACCTATTTCGATCGTTTCAGAAGAGGCAGTTGAAGTGGCTAGGATTTGGGCTTCGGTGGGCATGCCTCCGAGGGCTGCAGTTGCTCGGAGGCCCCGGATATTCGTTTTCGCTTCGAAGGGTATGGAGGTCTTCTTCGAAGCCTTGTGATTTGAGGCGGATCTTTTTTTAGTGGCAGAGGGTCTAGACGTTTGGGGTTACATCCTTCGGGAGCATGGGTTGGTTTGTTTTTGAGGCGTCTACACAATTCTTGAAAGTCTAGTCGGGCGATGGTACCGACTGCTGGTTCTTCATAGGCATTGCAACATATGATCGAAGGCGGTGAGAAATTCCCGGTGGGTTTACTCGCCTGTAAGATTTGTGATTATTGTGATAATGAGGAGGTAGCTTCCAATCCTGGACGTTCGTGAGATATTGGCCGGGACACCTGGATTTGAGAATGTCGACCCATGGCGACGGATTGTCGTGTTGATTCCAAACCGGACATTCTATATGGTCCAGTAGGCTTCAATAGTAGACTCATAATGGATCGAAACTTCGCAATGGTCAGAGTTTTGCTGTTACCGGCGTTGAGAACCCCGAGGAGGTCTGTTACTTGCTGAGCCAATGGAGGGTCTCGCATACCAAGACGTATCTTGTATAGAACAGCCCTTCGACAGCACCTCAGATCTGCCCAAAGACACTCAAACTACTCAGCGCCTGTCCCTTCTGATCCACCATGAGATTATTCTTGCAACTGCTTCCCAACCCAGCATTCTTAATCCACGCGGGCTCCCAATAGAACAGCCCCGCGCCCGAAACATCCTCCAGCACACTAGCAACATCCTGAACCCATGTCGTCTGTCCCGCCGCTGAAAACGGAATATTGCTCGCATCCGCGGGGAAAGCATAATCCGGTTTGGGACAATAGGTCGGCCAATCCGTCTCCACGACCATGACTTCCTTGCCGTACTTGGATTTCAAGTTCGAGAGACTGCTCTTGAGGGAGGCGAGGGTCGCGTCGGCGTTGTAGAACGGGTAGTATGAGACGGCTTGGACGTCGTAGTCGGTGGCGAGGAAGGGGCCCTGTTTGAGGACGGTGTCGTACCACCATTCCTGGGTCTCGGACTTCCAGCCGTTGTCGAGGTGAATGAGGATTTTGGGCTGCTTGGAGAGTTTGGAGGCTTTGATACCCGCTGAGGCGGAATGCAAGAGGCGAGCGGTGTTTTGGGGTTGTTTCTCGATTGTGCCGAGAGGGAAGAGGAGTCCGTTGGTGATTTCATTTCCGATGGAAACCAGCGTCAGGGGAATTCCGGCGGATGCGAACGCGTTCATCGTGTTCAGAGTGAAGTCATGTATCGCGCGGACAAGTTCATCGATATCGTAGTTTGCCCATGCCGCCGGGACAGCTTGATTCGCTGGATCGGCCCAAGTGTCGCTGTAGTGGATGTCCAGATAGATATCCAGCCCGGCTGCTTTTGCTCGTGCTGCCAATTTGAGATTGTAGTCCAAGTTGTAGTTTCCAGCCGAGGGGTTGTTCCAGAGACGCTGGCGAACTGTGGTCACGCCGCTGTCGACGAGGATGTTTTCCAGCGGTTCCGTTTTTCCGTTGACGGTGCTGTAGCTATATCCCGCATTTTCTTCGACGAGGAGGGAAGACCAATCGACGCCTTTGTAAGTGAGAGCGGCTGATGCTTGAGAGGCCGCGAGGGCCAACAGGAATCCCGATCTCATGGTTATCGTGAACGTTGAAATTCGGAAGAAAGTGTGACCACGAGAATGCTTTTATTTCTTGATACGAATGCACGAGCATTCGCGGCTCGGCACTCTACCAAATATTCTCGAAACCTGCGAATTATGCCTGGTTATAAGACCAGTCGTATTCGCTTCTCGTGGTTTCATGTGCATGAAACTTAGTATGCACAGCACATATTATGCCGCGTTGTTCCTTGTTTCAGGAGAATTGTCGTAGCGAGATCGGTTGGGGGCAGTTCGCTAGCGAAGGAGAATCTCCACTTCGGATGTCGACACCGAAGAATACAAAAAGCACGTGGCGGAGGAGTCCACCGGTGTGGTTTTTGATTCCAAGGCTCGCTTGGAAGAACTTAGACTGCGATGTTGAGAAATTGTTCGTTGACATGTATACAGACACTACTTAATTAATCAGTTGCTTCTTCCATTACTCGTACGCCGATACCTAATCCTTGAGGCCAACGGGCATATTCCTCGCCAATATGATGAAAATCGTTAATTACGTCTGTCGCTTTTTGCTTCGTTTGTAGACTTGCTAGAGTGCCTATGTCTCTCCGCCAGCCGCAGCTGCTGGCCTTGAAATCTTACGGGGGGTCTTCTTGACTGGTGGCTTTGCGTCCCCAGCTGTGGTATTTGAAGCCGGAGGAGGGGGCTTCTTCACGGGTTTCGCGGCGGGCGTTGATGATGGTGCTGCCGACTTGACGGGTTGCGGCGCTTTCTTCGCTGGCTGAGCTCCTTGCTCGGCTGACTCTGGAGTCTTCGCGGGTGCGGGAATTGGCTTCTTCTTGGGCGGTGCAGTTGCTGGTGGTTTCGCACCCGATGTAGCTGGAGCCGTTGTTGAAGGCTTTTTAGCTGGTGGAGGAGCCTTGCGCGGAGGCGGTGCCTTCTTCTTGGGCTGTGCTGTTCGTTTGAGCGCAGAAGTCGTGTCTTCACCAGCTTCGACAATGAAATTCGCATCGGTAGGCTTCTTGTTGTTAATGTCCAGGATATCTTGCGGGCAGGCACTCATGACCACGACGGTGTCTCGCTCCGCTCGGAGACGGACGTAATCCCCAGACTTCGACTTGGGCGACTTGAAACCAATATCGCCATCGTCGTCCCACGGAATGTTCATGAACAGGTTCAAAGGTGCTGGAGCGGTGTTGACAGTAATGTCTGCACCGACAGCCTTCGCGCCCTTCAGACCCGCTCTTTCGTTCAACTCTTTTAGCGCGAGAACGAGATTCTCGGCGCAAGACCCATGCTCTTCCCATTTCGCGACACCGAGTCCTTTATACCTTGCGGGATCACAAGCGGCAATGAGAGTATCGTGGATGCCAGGTGACTTATCCTCAATGAGAGTAAGAATCGGCTCACGTAGGTTGGTGACCAGAGTATCGTCGACCTGAGGAATCATGTGGAGACTCGCGGCACGACTGTGTGACATGCTCATGAATTCCATGGGAACGGCATTGGCGGCGTACTTCGCGTTCCAAGCCTGGTAGCCTGCGTAGAGAGAGCCTGCATAGCCAGAACCGGTGATTGCTGCCATGCCTGAGTAAGCCTGGTTAGTTTATGAAGCTGCAAAGCTGGATTGTTACCTGAATAACCTGCTGCTCCTACTGGAGTTTTGGAGAGGTCTTGGAGCTGTTCCAAATAGCCTTTCTTCGCATCCCGTTCGTGCTGCGAAGGCTGTCAGCAGAATGTCTCATGGCGAGCACTGGTCTCCCTCACCATTGCCGTAAACTGAGTGACAGTATCGGTCGCTTGTTTGGGTATGTAAGAGCTGAAGCCCTGCCCGGCTGTGAAATACGATGACCACGTCCTGGAATTCTTCTGCTGCTCGGTTTCGTTCTTATCGCCTTTTGGCTGTTCTTTGCCATCAGTCTTCTTGCCGCCGCCCAGACCAAGGGATGGAACATAAGAGCTCCAAGTGCTCTTCTTCGGCGTGTTATCCTCTGCTTCCTGGACTTCGGCCTCTCCAGTGGCCTTTTCGGCATCTTGTTGGCTGGGCAGATCTGATCCTTGCTTCTTCTTTGGTGTCGCATTGCTTGGCTTGGCTTCTTCACCTTTCTCCTCCTTGGACTCCTGCTCTTGCTGTTCATTTTCCTTCTTTGGCTCCGGCTTGGGCAATGCAAACGCCCACGTGTCGATGACCTGAGTGCCTGAGGTGTTGATAATCTTGATCACTTGCCCTGCTGGAACAAAAGTAGCCACGCCGTGGCGTGCGGGAATTGTCTGTGGTTCGGCCATAGCGCCAACCCGGATAAATCGGTGCCCAAAAGTATCGTGTATAACAATGGCGCCAAATGATCTAAAGCATCAATAGCAACTCCTTTGCTACACAGCTCGACGATATGCGAGAAGGAGATTCAAGAACACCGTCGAACGTGAGGAGGAAGAGAAGTGGCTGGATAGTGGCGGGAAAACACCTCCCAGCTCACGCGTCACAACCGCAATCGAGTTGCGACGCAATGCCTGTGCCAGGTTGTGAGCTTGATATTATATCATCGTGCATGTGGCTGAAGTAGGCTGTTACAGAATCCCGGCCAGGTCTTGGCATTTCCCCAATCGTGTCGATGCATCTTATTATACGTTCTCGTCAGGACGTCCATTGAATCTATTATCCGCTTTTGTCGTATCGCATTTCTGCACTGTACACCGTGCTAGAAGAGAGAGAAAATGTGTTCTGCTTAGAAGGAGTCGACGGCCTCGACGGTTCCGCAACCCGTCTGGATCAAGAATCCTACGCAACAGACAAGCAGATTAGTGAATGGTCAAATCGAAAGATTTGCGGAACGTCATACCTGCGCCCGGCGCGAGATCCTTTCCGCCGTCCGAATACTTCAATCCGACACCGCACGACGGCGAGGTGTACCACAGGAAGCAGTTGCCGGCATCTGGATCGTCCTGTGATGCCGCGCATTGGCCATCGTCATCGTCGGTATCAACGCAAAGTTGGCAGCAAGCACTTGGGTCACTGCCCGCTGCAAGTCCTCTGGTGTTCGCTGAGCTGCCTCCGGTCTGGCCGATGCCCTTGCCATTGACCGAAGAGATAAGATTGGTCGGGGCGCATTTCAGGTGCTGGGTAGTAGTGCTTGCAGCTTCAGTGACAGTGCAGAGACCACCAGCTGAAACGGTGGCGTTGGCGGACCCAGGCGCAAGTGTCGTGCTCGTGATGGACACAGGCGCAGTGGGAGTAGCCACAATCTTTTCCGCCTGTGTCACGAACACTGTTGGAGTGTCTGCAGTGACTGTCTCGGTTGCGGGCTGCTCGGCAATGACCGAGGTGGTCAAGTAGTATGTAGTGACCTGCTTCACGCAATCGACCGCGACTGGCTTCTGGCTCACGCCACTCATGGCCCGCTGGCCGAAGTTGTTGAACATGTTGACATTCAGGGAAGAGCGGCGCTGGCCGACAGGGTACAGACGGTCCAGAGGGCTTGCGGTCCGCTTAGCGAGAGTACCATTGTACGATCCCGTGTAGACAGTAGTTGTGCCGATGGTTCTGCATTTGTATTAGACTTGTAGACAACCTCTCCATTGCTCTGCACGTACATTGTAGTTGTGGACGAGCAAGCAGTAGCAGCAGTTCCAGCAGGAGCTGTGACCAAACGGGGCTTCAGCTGCAAAGTCGAAGTGGTGTTGACAATCGTTGTGGAAGTAACGGCGTCTGGTGTAATGGTGACCGTGGTCGTTGAGGCAGAACCACAGGTTGTGGTCGTGGAGCTGATGGTGGTCATCGAAGTTTTTGTGCGTGTTGGCAGCGGCGAAACGCTCGACGGGGCGGCTCTCAGCTTGGAGATACAGGTCTGCTTGCTGGCTATTGAGGTGGACACCTTCATCAGGGCATCGTTAGGTACCGCGCCGGCGGCAGCGACTAGAAGGGCGGAAGTGAGCGTCGCGAAATGCATCGCAGTGGAGGTCAAATGTAGGTGGATTGCAGGCGAGAAAGCGATAGGAGCCGTTCGGAAGATGCAGTGGGATCGATGGAAGAGAGATGGAGGAAGAAGGCAGAAGGGTTGCCAGGAGCAGCGTCGAGCGCGACCTTAAGTCAATCGCAGCCACGGCGTGTGGTGGTCCTTGGTGCATTCGTGCTCCATCCACCAGCATTGTGCATTGGGGGAAAGACCCTTGTGGCACCTACATTTCCGGATATCTTTGGCAACCGCGTGCCAGTCGGTCGGGGGGAAGAGGCTAGCATCGGGATGCGAGACACACCAGAACAGAGGGAGACACCATCACCTGCATGACAGGCCGTAGTGCGTTTGATTCTCTCTTTTCCCCCTGCGGCGAGGTGCAGGCGTGCAGGGCGAGGTCAAGCGAGCGTGCCTGAAGATCATCTGCGAGTGTGAGTGCACAGTGAGTGCTGTGAGTGCACAGGGAGTGCACAAGTCAAGTGGATCTGCGCGTGGAGCACTCGGGTGAGCCGTGAAACCTGCCAAGCCGGCGCCTGGCGTGCGCGACTCCGATCCAGGCAAGGAGAAGGCGTGGCCAAGGCGAGGCAGGGCGACATGTAGATGAATGCTGCACTAACATTAGTGAAGGACTCGCTTGTGTGCAGAAGTGTGGAAGTGTGTGGTGCGAGAAGGTGGAGCAGAGACGAGAAGGTTCAGCCGAAGTTTGCAGGGTGCGTAGAACAGAGTTTCCCGCTACCATGGTCGGCACGTGACTGTGATGCACGGGCCCACGGGCTCAGCTCCTAGACCATCACTTCACCCGGTCAGGAATGATCAAGACTTCACATCAACTTGAACGACTTCCCCTGAATTACAGCGCAAGCTCATCCGTCCGGGAGTCCACTGCTATCGATGACGTGTGGCAAACTGAGAGAAAATAATCCAGTCCCCAAGATGTCTCCGTCGGCCAAGGCAACCGTTCCACGAAACGTACACCATGATGCAATGCCACATTGCCTCCAGCCATGCACCGATGGAGTGCCACAAACGACACGCAACAAAAGTCCACAGCGGTGGCTTCAAGCCATGCCCTTGCCTTGTTTCCGAGCTATTGTGCACGTTGCGAAGCGTGTGGCGGTCAATTTCTAGAGCCTGCATACAGCTGGAATGGCGGCAGAAGACTCAGACCACTTGCAAAGAGTATTCAGATGACCAAACAGTCTCAGGCCGACACATGACGCTCCATCTTGCACCAGATGTGCCACTGCTCAATGCGATACTGAAGACCTGCGACTTTGACAACCTTGGTCAGCCGCTAGACAACGTCAAGACCTACTGAGGGAATCCGTTGACAGCAAGGAAAGGCCGTCGGAGCGTCCTCAGAATGCAAATGGCTTGAAAAGCCGCTAGCGGGCGCCTCAGCCCGAATCTGCCGTATTCACGCGACAGTACGCGTCACGTGCTCAGCTTCTGCAAGGAAGCGCCGCCAACATTCGCTACTAGATGCACACTTCATCTCCGTCGCCCATCGCGTTATCCGAAATATCAATTCCTCGGCCACGCCGCCGAAATGCTGCACCTTTCAGCAGCATTCGGTGCTTCTGGCCTCTTGCTAAGCGCTTTCAACTTCGACATACACGTCGTTTGACGGGACGATGATCTGTGCCATGATACCGCAGAGGCAATCTTATGCAAAGGAGAGTCACCCACGAAGCCATCGTCGCCGACCGGCAGCATTCATTCCGCTCCACGTCGCATGTGCCGTCTTGAATGCAGCACTGCAATCGCAAGGCTACAGTAGACACTCTTCGCCTGGGCATCTGCGTTTTCGCTACAAGTACAATCGAGATTTTACATATAAACGGGACCGCAGCAGCTCTAGAGTACAACGGCACTGTCGTTCCGCTATGCTACGCGATGGCACATTGCAAACGAAGTCTTCGATACCGATGCGCCTTCGTAGTGCATGGAGACAAGGAAAGAGGCCCAAGCGGTTGCCCTGAAGTAAGTATAAAGCGTGGTGATGAGATAATCTTTCCATTAGAGTCGTTTCTTGCATATTGCTCCTTTCCATCCCGACAAACTCACATTGATTTCGATACACGAGACCGACAAGATGCGCCTAACCAGATATGGCCTCTTTTTTTCTTGCCTCGCTTCTCATGCGGTCATTGTTCGCTCCCAATGCACTCTCGCTGTGCAATTAAGCAATGGAGTACCGATTGTAGGGCCCATCGCAGGCTCATCATCCTTTACATCGAGTGGCCTTCCAGAAGCAGGCAGCTCCAACGATCCTGTCCCTGCGCAAAGCGACAACGGCCTTTCACCAGCACCAAGTCAAGCTCAGACTCCGTCTCCATCAGGGGCCTTTCTGTCCGGCAGTAGCTCTGCTCTGAACAATGGAGGCTCGTCCATACCACTGCCCTCCAAAGCCTTCTTCGCTAGGCAAGCCTCTACTTTCGAGCAATTCTCCATGGCCTGCATCAATATCACGCAGTGCCCTCTTCATCAGCGCAAAGCCAAGCTGGATTATCAACTTCCTCTTCTGCCTAGTTAGTTGGACCTAGACTTTCGCAGGCTCATTCGCTCTCCGGGTCTTCGCCAGTCTCCTCCCCTTCAGACCCTACAACGTCTGCTCCCGGCCCTGCAGCTACTTCGCCGGCCGCTCCAAGTGGGCAATCAAAAAACCGGTCAGAATCTTTCGATCCCATCCTTTCTGAGCACCACTTCTTCCTCAGTCGAACCAGTACCACCAGCAGTCGGACACGTCCCGAGCAGCAAGCTTCAGGGAAACCCCATCAAATCCTTCCGTATTGTCGGCCGCGTCCAAACCCATTCCGACTGCATCGATTGGGCACCTGACTAGCGATCAATCTACTGGTAGTCTGTCGAACTCCGTGTCTCCATCTCGTGCATCCGGTGTCATCGATCCCAGCGCTACTGTGGAGAGGCCGAATGGCGAGCCTCAGAACTCTCTGGGACCTCCACCCCCCTTCCTTTGGGACTTTAGGTCCAGTACCGCTGCCACCACTCCCGAATCTACCAGGCCCAGGTCCGAATCCGAATCCAATCCCGAAGCCTTCTCCTCCTGGTCCAGCTCCCCAGCAATCTCCTCCCGACCCAGGTCTGAAACCCTCTCCTGGTCTGACTGCTCCTCCTCCTCCGCCATCGTATCAACCAACAGGACATACCTCTGCGACGACGAGAGGCAGCAATTCCTCCGAATGCTCTACGAGTGAATGACATCTCTGCCTACGATATTTATTCAACTGACCTGGCATAGAAACTACAAGTAGCAGCTTTGTAACTGCTGTCTGACTTCCAAGAATCTATCTCCAATCAGACTGGTGCGGACTAGAAGGTGCGGTGCGGATTGGCTGAATTGATAGAGCTTTTTGAGGACGAAGCGCACTGTCTGTGTGTGGCTTCATGGAACGCGCTGGTGGCCGACCACCATCACGCGTTTTTTACGCGTCAAAACACTTGGAGATCATTTACACTTCTCCCCACCACTTCTGTCTCGTCCTCTCCATTTCTAATTCTGCGGAAAATGTGTCCAGAAACTGGCCCAATTCATCCTGCCAGCCCGTCCTCGTGATGTTGCCATACCAAGCAGATGTATACTCCCAGTAATTTGGGTACCACCCCGCAAAGTCCCAGTCTATAACGGCGACCACTTTGTCGTCGCGGACAAGAATATTAAATGGGTTTAGGTCGGCGTGGGTAAACACAGGTGGAGGCCATGGCCCGTCCTGCATCGCTACCATGTTCTCGATATCCTGCCATTCTTGATCTTTCGGCCGGCTTGGGAACTCGGATGGCCGCAGCTCTTCTCGAAGCCAGAAATGAAAGTCCTGTATACTCCTAAACGGCCCAAACCGTGGGCCCCGTTTAATACGGGAGTCGTAGAGGCTCCCACCTGTGCAGCTCTCCACTCCGGTACCTAGTGGTGGTGTCAATGTCCTCAATTCGTGAAACATGGCTTTCAACTGGGTGAACATATCGTGGCGGCCGTCTTTGGGAAGTCTTTTCCATGCCCGAGGAAGATCTTCGCCATGGACTCTTTCCATGAGAATAAAAGTTTGGTCTTTGTGTGTAAATGAACAGTAGACGCGAGGTACCGGAATAGATGTGTATTCAGCGATGAACTTCATTGTAGCCGCTTCTGTCAAGCGAACTCGCCGGCCGGACTTGATAAGTTTATGCCTTGAAATCGGTGTACAAAGGCCATCTGATTTGTGAAAGCGTCCTAGAGTTCCAAGGGCCAGCCTGGTAAACAGTCGTGACAGGCAAGTGCTGTTAGTAGTGGAGGTTTCTGGATTTCTATGCCCGGATGCAACACTATCGGGGCTTGGAGTAACGCCTGCCATGGTAAAGTGAATGGTCGACCTCTACTTTGACCGGTAGAGAGGCGACTGACTAGCTATGAGAGGTGGTTAAACCGGCGCGCGAAGGGGCCGCCTGCTTCCACCGGGTCGGGCGGGCTGGCCCGAGTGTCCCACTTAGTTGCATGCATAAATTAGGTATTGAATTCCATATGATCTTGCTCCCTTTCATACATACCATGCGGCTGTTCTTGTACAGGATATCGTAGAGGAAAACATTTAATACACAGAGTTTCCAATTAAGGATGGCTAGTGAAAGTACACGCAATTCCTGCAGGGGTAGGTAAAGGATTTAGTCATCTCCATTCTCGAGCACTCGGAACGGACCGAGACACTTTCCGTTGTGGGTCACAGCTTCTCTCACCTCATCTTTCACGATCGACCTATTGACTCCTTATGTTGCGGTCGTGATCGTCGTGAATACTATGGCCGACCGTTCGAGGACCGGATTCCGCTCGTGAACTCTGTTCTACGAATTCCATAGCCCGTCGTGAGAAGCGGACCACCCTCCATGAGTCCCTCTCCTCCGCCCGACCATACTCCTCCAACACATACAGGAAGCACGCATTCAGGCTACTCATGGGCTGCGAGACAATGCTGTAGAGAAACACATAAGATGCCACCTCGACCCGGTGGAAAGAACGGCCGAAGATCTCGGATCATTGATCGACGAAATTATTTTGAGGAGAGCCATGATCAGGATTATATGAGGAAGAGTGGGAAGCGTCCATCGTACGGAGAATTCGCGGAGATCTCTTCATGAGGGCGAGGAGGAGATATTCCAGTCGTGCATCATGCATTTTTGGCGGCTTCTGAACACACAACTTCAAGCTGCGTAACTACAAGGTTCCCACAGATCGTACTGATCTCTCGTTCCGTGAAGCCATTTAGACTCGCTCCTATTGGCCCAGGCATCTTCTCGTTTGCGTACTGATAATTGACCCTCCACAGAAAACGAAAAACGGTCTGAAGTGACCGAACGTGAGCATTGTCGCACTGGGGAGATCATTTCAAGCTTTTATATTTCCGACTAGCTCCCGTTTGGGCTGCCCATGGTGAATGGCGAAAGAAACACTGGATTCACGCCAAGAACGCGTCTTGAAAAATGATTTATTGTTTTCACGTTTGAACATTGCCGACGCACTGTCGAGGATATATTTGTGCTCGAGACAAACACTCCCTGCCTGCAGCGCCCTCATCTCCAACCTTCCTTCAGGACATCCGACGTCTACAGATCCCAGAAAGGCTTTCCAAGAAGACTCGAAGCTTGCCAGCCAACATGGATAGCTACGCACTAGTCACGTATCGCTGTTCGCATTTCGTCATAGTACCGACTGACGATGACAACAAACTACTTGAAGACCCCACTAAGATCCTCAAAGACTACTCCTCTTGCGACAACACGGTGGAAGACCTGTTCGAAAAGCCTACAACACAACACATCAAATTGACAGACCGCTATTGCGAGCCCGAGTGTGAAAGCACTACTCTTGAGCGACACAAGCGCCAGCTCAGAGCTGCGGCCTTTGGAATGCGATGCTTTTTGCAACGAAGCGGAGACGAGTACCTGCAGCTTGGGATCCGTTATCACGACTTTCCCCTCAAACTTCGAAGTTGGCTTTGTGATATCAAGCGAGTATCAACGGCAAATTCACAGTATGGGATCGAAGTAAGGTCGTGGAGGGAAGACCCCTTTTTCGCGCCGTGGCGCAACGCTGTCCAGAGTTTGGACGAGGCCGACAAAATGATGAGGAAGAGGTCGTGGAGTGGAAAATCTTCACAAATGAACACCACGACTTGCCATGTCAATGAGACGCGCGGAAATGTTGGTCAAGTCGTTAGATTGATGAACGAGGTTCGCGCGGGCATCACGAAGCTGGGAAACAGGATGCCTGCTTTCGAGAAGAGCCAACATGACGCCAACGACGAGAGAGCGCAACGTAGAGAACAGCGACTAGAGGAGAAGATGGAGAATTTGACGTTTTTGTTGGACTCTGCTGAATTGAAAGAGGAGTCTCGATCGGCCCGGAATTCTGTTAAAGTGACCAAAGCGAAGCGCCGTACTTGGAAGAAGGACAGGCTGCAAATCGGAGGTATGCACTTGCGCCATGCCATATTCGCTCGATCGGTCAAGGAGAACTGGGTAAGACGCATGAACAGCTTCGAAACTCTCTTTCAAAGACACAGAAAGCTGCGTGCTGGACGAAGACCTTCGCTAGGCGAAGAGTGAGTTGAGGACCATTAACCTTCGAGATCTTCACGTACGAAGCTTGGAAAAGTCGAATGATAGGTTTGGAGGCGACTGATGGGCCGTGTGGTAGGAAGAAGATTCGGACTAGGATGGTTCTGGGGTGGCGGAGAACGTCAGACTTCTTTGATCTAACCAGCAAAACTGGTCAAGAACAATTAGTTTGAGCGGTTGAACACATTACTGCAGCATTCGAAAGATTTTGATTTGCGCGAGTACATGTCCAAGTCTGGCCTCTCTCCTCAGGGGCTATCAAGCTGCAGCAATGCTTCCCATCCTGATTCTCCTGATCCTCCTGATACTCGTCTACCGCGTCTCCCCTAACAACATCCTCTCATAGGTCGATCGGTCAATCAAGAGCCTTGGAAGCATCTTGACTCATGCAAATGCAAGTTTTGTCGTTGCTTCTGTGAACGAGACCATGTTAATATCCAGTTTATACTCACGATACACTAGTACTTACTTGTACTTCAGGTAAGCGTATTTCCACCCACTGCAGGTTTTCGAGCACTGCTTCGTCTGCTTCACGCAGTTCGGGCCCTGAATTGCAGCATCGTAGAAGTTCTCAACGCAACCCCATGCGCCTTTGTTGCGACAGGATGCAACATCGCTATCGCCGCATTGGAGGCCGTCGATGATTGCGGCTGACGCTGCAGAGACGAGAGTAAGAATGTGTAGGATGTTGATCTGCATGATTGCTATGACTGATTGTGTGTACTTCCGAAGAGCTAAGGGCGAAGAGGGGACTTATTATACTTTCCCTTCATAGAGGGTACCTTAGCCCTTCGGGACGTTGTTAAGACTTTTCTAAGACGAAGTTTCATACTAGAGGATAGCCCTTCGGGACGTTAAGACTTGTGTAAGACGAAGTTTCATAGTACTCGTGCTCCGGCCTAATATTATACTTACTACCTCCCAAGTCAGACTCGGTAAGCGATTTGAAACAAATCCGGGAGCCGCCGGTACCTCGCTCCGTGGAGGATCTCCGGGCCCGGAGATAAGATTAACCGGCGTCGCGTCCGAGAAGGAGGTAGAGGACTTTCAGCAGCTATTACAAGGCGAAGAGGCGATTGATACTTGCTCTTTACAGAGAATAGCCCTCCGCGGCGGCGTTCAGAATTCTAAGCTACGAGTGCTCCGGTCCGAGTTATCTAGCAATAATGTCGATGAGACGTAGTGCATGTGATGACAAGTCCGTGCGCGGGTAATCTTCGGAAGAGGTTTGATACACATCTCGCCCGTTTCAAGAAGCATAGAAATGTACCGATCGCGTGGAGGTTGGACTTTGCGATCGTGAGGAATATAGCAAAAGCTTGTTTTTGCTACCGCAAGCCAGACATCGAAGTCAGTCTGTCGGCACATCACCGTCACATTCAATCTAGCTGTCTGCTCACTCATCTCTTCGTATCTATGCTGCTGGAATTTCTTTGTCTGCTTTCCAAAGAGCCACTGATGTACTATCACTATCCAGTACTCTGAGTTAGCAATCTTCCAAATTTCAACGTTGTTGCCAGCCTCCACCATCAAATGTCTGTTGGTTTAGACGACCGTCTCCCGTCCAGTTCTTTCTACCCGTTCGATCGTCTCATAGTTCTGGTGGCGTCACAACTTCATCGTCTGGCTCCAGATCCTCTTCATTCGAGGCCTCTAGTAGATTCGCTGGGCGATCAGGGGGGCGATTGTGAGTATCACGTACAGCTTGTGCAAAGACTTGTTCCTCGCTCTCCGTCAACCCTAGCTCGAGATTTTTGAGATTCTTAGACAGCGAGAGCAGAAGATCTCAAGCCTGCGGTCCTGTCGACTGCTTCTTCACTCGTTTCAGCCGGTCGAAAGCTACCATACTTCGCCGCTTCGATCCGACCTACTTGATATTCGCGTGACCGTATCGAATCTTTCAAGACCTTCGATCAGCAAGTCATCATCGTCCGAATGGAGCTCTTTAGTCTGTATATCGCCTTGGTAGATAGCTCGGTGCTCTTTGGTCCCTTCGATAATGCGAAGAAGATGAATGGCATAGTTGAGAGCTGGGCGACCTGACCATACATCAAATGATGGCACAAAGGCTTTGAGATTCTTTAGAAGAAACATTCGCCGTGCAGCAGAAACGAGGAAGGATTGCAGCACACTCGCCTCAGTACAATCAATCCATAGTGGATAACTTTTGATAGTAGCCATACGGCTCACTCGCTCGCTCCGGGTATCAACGATTCATCTCCTCAGCTGCCGTTCTTACTGTATATCGGCTGCCCAAATGCTATGCATTGCCGTTCTTTCGATCGCCCACTAGCCCCTTCGCCACCAGATACCTAAGCACGAATTAGCTGCCGTCTCAGAACTTCGGTGTATAACGAAGAAGCAATCGACTCTTCCAGTCGTTTCGAGCCAACGATCAGCGTTGGGAGAAAGTTTCTGGAAGAAAAGACATACCTCTCAACCTCATAATGAGCCTCCACAGCCTTCTTAAGCTTCTGCACATAATCCTGCGATCTTCTCAATCGTTCCGCCACGCCCCTCAGAACAACATCGGCTTCGCCGACCTGGCTGTTGCCCAAAAGTCTCCCTGCGACGCCGTGGTTGACGAGCGACTTGTTGATCTCGGCCTGGAATGGCTCGTCCCATACATTCTCGACGAAAGCGGTGCTACAGGCATCGCGATATGTGTAATGAACCAGTGGATTGCCAACGGTGACCGGGTTGAGGGAGCTCCATCGGAATGTGAGTCTGGTGTGCTCGCTTTGGATGTCGGTGATGGCTTTTCTGAGTCTGCTGTATTGCGTCTGCAGCTGCGAGATGCTGCCTGGGGAGGCAGATGGTGGATTCTGTGACATCGTGATGTTGAACGATTTTTGATAACGAGGATGCTTGACTTCAGAATGAATTGCAAGGGCCAACTTGTTGCAGTTGAGTGTAGGAAAAAGAGTAGAAGTTGCAGGATGTGATGATGGGTCGATGGTTACAAATGCATGTGACAGGCTTGAAAGAAGTGTTCTTTAGATTACCTTAGTCTTTACGGCGAGTTGTTTGTCCGACGCGCATCTGAAGGCGAGGTGTTATCGAAGAGATCGTACAATCATCACGTGTCCAATCTTTCAGATGCAAATGTAATGACCGGGTGATGTCTCTTTGCAAATCGGCCCGTTGCCATTGGCGGGAACAATAGCCTCTGCTTCTCTCACTTGCACAGGCCCGTTCTAGAGGGATGCTCAGCATTGACACAAGGCGTGCACAAGGTGTGAAGTGACGGGAATTTGGGAGTACTCACGGCTATTGAGGAAGAATCAGAAAACTGTGGCTCTGCGGTTCTCTTGGCACCAATCTGTAGATGTCAGCAAGTCGAAATAGGCTCAGCGAAGACTCAAACACGCTTACGGGTACCGGAGCTGCAGCGACAAGAGTCGCGGCCGAAGCAGCGACAATGAGGCAAGTGGTGAACTTCATGATACTCAATTGCGAGTGTTGTCGATCGTCCGGGAAGAGAAGTCTCTAGCCTGTTGGACTCTCGAGGGGAATACTGGAGAATCTAGTAAGCAAGTCGAAGGGATCCCCAGCCTTTATAATCCTCTCTGACCAAAAGGAGAGCAGTCCCAAAATCAAGTTTCCCGACGTCTCGGTGCCGTGTTTCGAGCGTTCACGTGCGCTATTTGCAGAGCCTACATGCTGAGTCGCGTATACAAAGCAAACTCAAATGGTCTGTCGCACGACACTCCATAACCTCATGTCGGCCCCGATGTGCAGTAGTCGCAATCAACGCCCAGACCGTTCGACCTACCGTCAAGTACTACGCCGCTCGCTCGCAATGCTTTGATGAGTGTTAGCACATCCACTTGCAGTTGCATAGCAAACGCCCACGATTTGGAGTCGTAGCCGCGCAGAATGTTCCCAGCATCCCTCAGCCTGAGAGGATCAATTGAGTTAGCTTGTGCCTATTCAAAGGCAGAACATCCATACAGGTGCCGCAGAACACGCACATATCAGCCCTTTTTCAAGCCTCTGGGTCCAGACCGGGATCTCATTCTTTTCTTATTGCACGTGGCTTGTAGGTATAGCTCTTGCGCTGGTGGTCAGAACGGCAACGATACGGCTACTGTACGGCTAATAACGACGGCCTCCCCGCCACATGATAGGTCGCAAGGTCTCGAATCGACGCCTCAAATGCGACTCCTGGTGGAGATGCATTGCTTCCAGGCCCTGAAGGTCATTTGCACCGGCGACTTGACATGTCCTGAGCTCGGTCAAAGACTCTGCAATGACCGTCCGGCCTGTGTTCCCATACAGCGTGAGTCTCGCTACCTATCAGAACAATAGCACATTCTGATGTTGTCCCTGGAGATGACGGCCGCGATGTCCTCGATGGTGTTCGTCGCGGGCCACGAGAGGAGCGTGGCCAGCTTCCGCGATGAGATACCGTGAACGTGTCCTTCCCGCGGATCATGTAGAATCATCTGGTCATCTTTCCTCCACATCAGGCTCGGAAGCCCATTGTTGATTTCAACTTCCCTACGGCCAAGAGGCAGGACACGATGGATTTCTGTCGATGTCGTGCAGAGGCAGAGGAGGAGAAACTTGGGTATGTCTTCTTCGCACATCGCGAGATTATCTCGACGACTGTCATCATCGCTGGTTCGAAACGATCCGACTCGCTGTTGCCTGTTATTCCACGAGAATTCTCGGGGAGACAATAATAATGCGGTGTAGAGAGACGCTGTAAGGTAGTTGTCACGCTTTGCCTCGGCTGATCTCCACAATCCCTGCCCGCCATCGCTTGTCCCGAAGTCGCATCAGAGCTCTCAGAAGCAGACCACTCTGTCTGTCTGTCCTTCGAATAAACAATCCACCTCACCTCTCACGATGGCTACCAAGCTCAGGATATTAGTACCTGTCAAGCGGGTCATTGACTATGCTGTATGGCGCCCTCAACCGCATTTCTGATCTCTCGACGCACCCCAGGACTGACCATTGAGCCGAACAGGTCAAACCCAGAGTCAACAAGGCCCAGACGGGCGTCGAGACGAACGTCAAACACAGCATGAACCCGTTCGATGAATTATCGGTGGAAGAAGCAGTACGCATGCGCGAGAAGAAGAAGCCTGTGGAGGACATTCTCGCTTTCTCCGCCGGACCCGCAAAGAGCCAGGACATTCTGCGGACAGCAATGGCCATGGGTGCAGACCGTGGGATCCATGTCGTCGAGGAGAAGACAGAGTTGGAGCCGCTGGGAGTCGCAAAGCTACTGAAGAAGGTGGTAGAGCAAGAGGACCGGAATCTTGTCATTCTCGGCAAGCAGAGTATCGATGACGATGCGAATCAGACGGGACAGATGCTTGCTGGATTACTGAACTGGCCACAAGCGACATCAGCAAGCCAGGTCGAGATCGACGGAGACTCGGTCACCGTGACCAGGGAAGTAGATGGCGGCGTGGAAACGCTCAAGACCAAGCTACCGATGATCATTACAACGGATTTGCGATTGAACGAGCCGAGATACGCGAGCTTGCCGAACATCATGAAGGCGAAAAAGAAGCCGCTAGATAAGAAGACATTGGCAGATTATGGGCTTGATGGGACCAAGAGGTTGAAGACGGTCAAGGTTGAAGAGCCAGCGCCAAGACAGGGCGGCGGCAAGGTGGAGGATGTGGACGGCATGATCAGCAAGTTGAAAGAATTGGGTGCACTCTAGAGATAGAGGTGAGAATATATCGCGACCGTACACTGCGCTGATCACATGCTTCCACTTTCTGCCAGGCGAATCGTCTTTGCCTGAACGGTGCCTGGCGCAAGGCCGCAAGGCTGCGTTGTGACAGCTTCGAATTCGCTACATCCTCCGCACTCGATTGTTTCTCCTTCGCTGTTAACCTTTGCGAGCTTCCACAGCTTCTGACACCGCCGCTGGTGAGGACACCGCCGGGCGCATACAAATACTGGTATGTGTCTCCTGTCATCCATCTGCACGTCCCTTCCTGGCTGCACGCTGTCCCCCTCGGCTACAAAAGCGCTCCCGTCCTTGGATTTGCCCCTTGAGAGTTGGAACCCACTTCCGGCGCGGACATTGAGCATACTCAACCCCTCGTAACGACGCGAGTGGTGCTGGAAGATCGGAGCCGTGGCGAGTTGCACAGCCTTTCCACGTGAAGCTCCAGCATTGCTTAACATTCACTTACGGTCTGCTTTCGGCACTTGCCTCGCTTAGAGCTGCTGTCACGAGATATCCGCTTATGACATCCTGTACGCCATCAACCCCTCTGTACACAACAACACTTCTCTCAACAGCCAATATCACTGTCAGCGCGGCTTACTTCTTGTCAGCGGACTCAAAACTAACAGCACGTCTCAGAATCCGCATACTGAGAAAGAGACTAAGCGCTTTCCTTCGGGAGCTGGCACGGCTCACGGCAAGTCTAATCGCGACAGGTAAGAGCGGCGACGACTTCGACTCGACACGCCTGCCAAGTGCTACCATAGAGCACTTCGCGGAGACCGCCAGCATGGCGACCATCAAGATTGGAGGCCTTTCCGAGCAGCAGGTTGCCGCGCTGGACGGCGTTGCGCTCGGCGACATGATCTTCATCCAGAAGTTAGCGCCACCGCCTCAGTACGACAGCGAGAGCGAGGATGATGACGAAGACGCAGAGGGAGTCGATGAGGAGGACGAGGAGGACGGAGAAGAAACTGGTGAAGAAGACGAGGAAGAGTATAATGAAGAGTATAATGAAGAGTATGATGAAGAGTATGATGAAGATGAAGCTGAAGATGACGACACGGACGAGAACGAGCAGCAGGAAGCCAATAACAGCGATGTCTACCCTTCTGAGGAGGACTGGGACGTTCCGCCTCGCATGTTCGTGGTATCTCGACTCACCCAGGATGACTTGGGCAGCATCACTAGGATTCAGCTGTCGCTCTTGAACTATTCGCCAAAGGTCACTCCGAACGACGCTCACTTATACCACATCTACGGCAAGAGCTGCGTCCACCATCATCCTTCTAAATGTGGCTCATCTGTTACCGCTTGCAACACTGTTGCAGATCTAGTCGATATCGTCAAAGACTCTAACTTCCTACTGCACGTCAAGCCGGATGGTGACAGCGTCCGCCGCCTTGACTCGGCCGTCTACACCACAAACGGATCAGCTCACGGCCAATGCATCGCTGGTTGTAAGCGCGGCTGGCTTGCGAATGTCAGCATGCTCCAAGGCATGATCAAGGACTATGATCCCCTTACGACTATTGCTGCAATGGCTACCGGCGGCACCATTCCCAGGTCCTTCCAGCAGACTGTCTGTCCGTGTTGCATCGGATCCGATCTCGTCCAGGAGCAGCAGAGCTTGCAGGCTGCGACGATGCAGGGTACGCCGCCAGTCATCGACGACATTCTTGCATTCTACGGCAAACTCAATGCACGTCGTCGGCAGCTGGGCTTCCGCTTCAGGCAGTTCGACGAGCGCCAGTGGGGCTATCACTTCGACGATCTCGAGTCCGGGAGTGACGGCGGCGGAAATAACGGCAATGGACAGTGGGAGCACTGGGACGAGGCAAATGACCCGAATGCCAACTTCCAGACGCGTCCGGCTTCCGAGAAGGCTATTGCCGCTCTCCCACGCATGGCTCTCAAGGAAGTCAAGGCCGAGAAGCCGGATTACGACGACACGTGCAACATCGGGACGGAGGATCTTGAGGACGACTCTGTCATGGTGAGGCTGGAGTGTGGACACATTCATTGCGAGAGCTGCATCGTCCAGTGGCTCAAGCAGTTCAACAACTGCCCCTCCTGCCGTCACGCCGTCTCTGACGCTTAGGACGCGCCAGCTGACGAGGGTGACGGACAGACCGAGGTAGCCGAAGTCGATGGTGAAGATGCCGCTGAAGCGCCAGTCGAAGATTCTGCGCCCGAGATGGACGGCGACGACGTGGTGATGTCTGATGTGGAATAAGAAGGCTCACTGCCGCTGCCCTCAGGATTAGGGATCGTCTCGCTGTCCCCTTTGGAATTCACCCGCAACTTAGACCTGCGGAGAGTCTACTACATGCCGCTTTTTCAGCGACCTGGTTGGCGAGTATCGATCGAAGGCGTTCTGGGTGTGTGCGTTTGAACACTTTGGCTAGCCTGGTCACTGAGAAAGGACGGGCTCATCTGCTTCATGATTCTCTGATAAGGACTGCGATACCCACCCACACTGCTTTTTCAGTACTTTGGAAGGAACAAGCGAATGGAATTTAATTAGCCCAATCTCTTCTGCCTCCTGTGCATGTTATACGTGCACGACGCCATGTCGCGAAGCCCTCAAGTTTCCGTCTGCGGGCCATGTGCATGGATTGCTCGGTAACCAGCCTCTCACCTCTTGATTGGCACCCTCTTCTCTCTTTCTCAACCTCCTACACTCTTCCCCACATACACATATCCCCATGGTGCGAAAACCAAACAAGGATGACTTTACGATCCACACAGATTGCCCGTTCGATTCGAGAAAGAAGACCCCCCTCAAGAACGCCTCGAGAGTAATTTCTTCTGAGAGTGGTGTGAGAGAGAGAGATGAGATGAGATTGTCATAAAGCTCCTCGCGTTTGTTTCGATAGGAGACCTCTGAAGATCCTGGATGGAGTGACTCGATCTGTCGTGGCTGGTGTCTGATCACATGCGAGCCTTGGCATCGCGTGCTACCATACAGAAGGGTGGAAGGTCAGCTAGTTTCTCAGACATAGCGAAGGGAAACACGAGGCTGGGTAGCCTGCCCATGGCTCAGACATGAGACAAGCTTTGGTGGTGGCTTCTGCCCTTCAGTATCGTACTACCGCGAGACTTGCACTTTCAGGCCCCCTCTGAACCTATCCACGGCTAGACGACTCGTGGAAAAGATCTCCTTACGAGTTGCGGAGGCAATTGGGCGCTCGCTAATGGATGACTGACCGAGGTCAAGCCCTACTGACACGCGCCCCGAAAGGCTCTATCGTTGCGTTAAGACCTTCTCTTGCTCAAACCAACCATGCTTCGGTAAGCAGTAGGTGTACAACGCCAGACTCCACGCTCATAACACAATCCTACCAATCGCCCCAGCCGTCTTCGTCTTTCTTAGCAGCACCTGCTCCGCCTCCACCGCTAGAAGTCTTCATAGCGCTCGTCCCTAGATTTGTGGCTTTCGGTTTCTGCTGGCTCGCCGATTGTCCAGCAGCCGCAAAGTCATCCCAGAAGTCCTTCTTCTCCTTCGGCGGTCCCGAGGGATCTTGCCCAAAGCCATCCCAGAAATCCTTCTTCTCTGGACCAGCACCACGCTGACCGGTGGTGCTATGCTCGGGATCGACAAATCTATTGAATTGGTCTCCGAGCCCCTTCGTTCCTTGTTGTACTGTATTTCCCAAATTCATTGCCGCTGATCGTGCCTGCGCTGCAAAGTCTCCCTCTTGGAAATTCTTCATACCCGGCTGGATGTATGACTTGTTCACGTTGGCAGCTTGCTTCGTGACGGTGCTCGATAGCCAGCCGAAGCCCTTGGTGAGTGCTGCCATGGGGTCTTTCTGGAAGTCGTCCGCTGATGGAACTCCGCCCGACGAGTTGTTGGTAGGTAGAGGCGACGATCCAAATCCGCCGTACTTTCCACCTTGTGACGGCGGGAGGCTGTCCGATCTGTTCGCGTTGTCCGCTCCCATCCTCGCGAAGTAGTCTTCATTCCGCTGTTTCTGCGAAGGAGATGCCGTCCGCTGCGGCGGTGATCGGACGTTCGATAGCGGCGTATTCCTGCCCGAGCCAGCAGGTGTAGATGAGGTTGTCATGCCCGCAGGCACTGCCTTCTTCGAGGAGCCTGGCACATATTCCGTGCCCTCCACCTTGGATGTCAACCTATCCTTCCACTCCTCGCCCGCGTCGCTATCATATCTTTCAGAGATGGTACAGCCGTCGAAGTCCCGCCCGATCGCCTTATTGCTCGCATGTGCATTGAAGAACTCTTTCCACGGCTTGTTCCCGCCCAACTCCATGCGCTTGACCTCAGCGGTCTTGAAGGCGTCCATTGTCACCGACCGCACGAAGGAGATGTGCACTCCCAGGGAGCGATGAATGCCTGAGCATGCCAGGCAGAAGAATATGCCGAATTTCGGGGAGGCCTGGTAGACGACACTATCAGTATACTGTTGCGACCCCTTGGGCACGAGACCAGGTGATATGTACCCATTGAGGACTCGGAGCGCCGCAGTCTACGCATCTGTTGTTCTCGTTGGTCTTGGAGATATCCTGCAATTTGCTGCGGGTCTCCGGATCGACCTCCCACAGCTTGCTCATCGTGTCGGTGTGTTGCGAGGCAGTAGTGTGCTTTCACGGGCGGCGGGAGGAAGTGGGAGAGGAGGATTGGGTTGGGACGACGACGGTCGACGATGGAACGGCGTTAGGTCACGAGACGGGGCGGAATGGCGTTGGAATGGGTGTCTTCATCAGGGATTGTTCGTTCTTGTTCGCTCACGGCAGCAACGACGATAATAATGACATGCGGCCAGATGTGGTCGGAATAGCATTACAGGGAGCAGGGCCGGCCCTGAGACAGCGTCGTTTGTCCTGCGTCGCTATTCCCTGTCAATGTCACGTGCATGTAACTTGTCTTGGCAGGCTGCTCGACGGTACAGCTCGCGTAGCAGTAGCGATCGCCGACTCCCCCTTTGCTGCAGCAATCGCAGCAGCACTTGCAAGAGCACCTGCAGTAGCAAAGGAGATACGAAGTCCTGTTATACAGCTTTGGGGAGGACTCGAGTCAGTCTTGGCTTGGTGCCGCGGCGCATCCAGGGCGATGCTACCGTCGGCCACCACTACTACTATGCACCGATTCGGCAGAAGAAGCGTATATTCTGGCATTTTGACTGATGCGCTGCACGCAAGGCACATACTTCAACAGCTCACGGGACTTTCCTCTTGAATACGAGATCGACGTGTCCGGGCCCTGAAGGAGCTTCAAACGGCCGTGTGTGATGGCCAATCTCTCCAGCTTCCTGCCCAGGGATCGTCTACTTAAGGCCGCTTCACTGCAGGGCTACTGCAAGCAATGGACGACAATATCTCTGCCTCAACTTCCCAAACAGCCTAACGGGCGATCTGCCTGGCTCGTTGCTCGAACCCTTCCGAGGCTCCCGCTATACGTACTTACAAGTAGTATTCCCTTTGCTTCCCTTCCCTTTCCAACTGTCTTGGTATGCGGAACAAGCTCTTTCTCTCCTAGCTCGTGTTTCATTTTCGACCATGTTTGCCTTCCTCACGGCATGGCTGAGCTTGCTGTGCCTCGCAGCGGCGCTGCCGGCTTCTTCTCTTGACGAGCGTGGCGATGGCTACAGTTCACCTCGCCAGGTCATGTACATTCAGACTTTCCACTACACCAATGGTGGACAGCTCTCACTCTTGCCGTTGGTTGAGCAAAAGACCGGAGTCACCCACATTCTTCTGGCAGCTGTGCATATCAACAGCACCCCTGGTGACGTCGAGCTCAACGACGACAGCACGAATTCCACCGTCTACACCCAGATATGGTGAGTTGTCGAGGACTCAAGGACATATCGTTCTCTCGGTATAACATCACCATCCAGGTCCGAAGCGGCACAACTTCAAAAGGATGGCGTCAAGGTCATGATGATGCTTGGTGGCGCTGCACCTGGCAGTTATCCAAACCTTTGCAGTGGAACAAACGGTGCCATCATCGTGAGTGAACGCATGTCTCCGCGCCTTCTAGAGTTGTACGGGTATTGACGAATGCACAGAATGAGGCTTACTACACTCCCCTGAGGGATACCTTGAGATACCACAACGTGGATGGACTGGATCTCGACATCGAAGAGCAGGTAGACGCCTCATGTCCTCTGGCCTTGCTCCGGCGTCTCGATTCTGATTTCGGAAACGACTTCATCCTCACCATGGCTCCCGTGGCATCTGAACTGGGACCGCAAGGATTCGGACTAGCCGGCTTCAGCTATCGCGCTCTCGACGAGAGCAGCAACAGCCTCTGGTAGGCCGAACGGAAAGCTCGTGAACTGGTATAACGCGCAATTCTACAACGTAAGTCATCCACACATTATCCCCTATGCAGCCGTAAATTTAACCTTTCGTCCAGGGCTGGGGCGACGCCAGCACACCGATCGGCTACAACGCAATCATCGCCAACGGCTACGCCCCCGACCGCGTCGTCCTCGGCGTCCTCGACAACCCCAACGATGCCGGGAGCGGCTTCTACCGCGTCGGCACCTACAAAACCACCATCGCCACCCTCCGCGCCAACTACCACAATTTCGGCGGCGACGCCGGCTGGGAGTTCTGGGATGCCGGCGCTTCCGATGGCTACGCAAACCCTTCGCAATGGGTATCAGACATCGCCACGGCCGTCTTCGGCTCCTCCTCCGACGACAAAAGCGCGTTGCGGAATTTGCAAGCCGCTCCGATCCCACGGGGCCCCACTCCCTGGCCGCATCTCATCTCGACGTTGGAGACTTTGGGAGTGGGATTCCTGCCTGCCGTGAGGGCTTTGAATCTCACGGATGGAAATCTGCATCAGGCGTTGAAGGTCTTGGATCTTCCGGAGATTGTGCCGCTGCGGCCCTTGATTGGATGAGAGAGAGATGATTGAACAATAGAATTTTACGAAATGAATCTTCTTGGATTTTGAATGACCATAAACGAGTCATGAGTCGAAAATCAATACATCGTGGACAGGTGAGAATTTTGGCAAAAGGGGAAGGTCCTTTCGGACGAGTGGCGCTAGTGGTGGACTTTCCCCATGAATTTAGTCAATGTCCTGTGTTATTCGAGAGGAACATAGCAGCTGACCAAAGCGTGTCATCATTTCATTGACTTGTAGACGGAGAGCATCGTATCTACGCGACAGGCTTTTCCAGAGCCGTCATATTAACACCTGGCTTAACCACGACCCTAGGCCTGGTCATGCGCTGATGCACCTCCTTGGTCGTCCATTCCGGTCCCATCGGCAATCTCTTACTCCTCTCGTACTGTTCCTGATTCTCAAACTCATGCGGTAGCACCGAGGCAAGGTATTTCTTGCCTTTGCGATCGTCCTTCTCACTGATAACAACATTCTTCAGCTTCGCATCTTTCCGATCCGCCTGCTTCACGCCATTGGTCTTGGCCTTGAAGAGGGGATTATGCTTCCGACGCTCATTGTGTGCCTTCTGCTTTTTGGTGAGCCCGGAGCCTGCCCAAGCGCCCCAACCGGGAAGATAGTGGGAAACTTCTTTTTCATCCTCGGAAACTGCTAGTTCTTCTTTCTCGGCGTCGAAGGCGGTCTGCACGTCATCGCCGGCAAACGCTCGCTTCAGGAGAGACTGCTTCTGCTGTTTAGCGTTGAGCACAGGGTCGGCAGTCTCCTCGTCTGAACCCTCAGCGTCAGAGCCGTGGTTGTATGTGACCGTGGTCCATCCGTTGGTGTTCTCAGCGGTGCGCTCAGATGCTTGCCTCGCCTTCTCAGCCTTCACCGCATTCGCATGTTTTGCGGGAGCCTCTGCATTGGCTGGCCTAGACGCCTGAAGCGTATCAATCTCAACATCGACAGGTGCGGATTTCCTGGACTTTTTCGGCGCCTTGAGCCAGTCACTCCCCTGCTTTTGCACTGGATCCTCAAGCCATCTCTTCTCCGGTCGTTCGTCATTATGCTCTGCCTTCTTCAACCCACTTTTCGAAGGAGGGTCGTCAGCAGTTCGCGTGGTCCTCGCATTGACTTTCGGTGCGGCTTTCACGCTTGATGATGCGGTTTTTTTCTCGTTCTCGTCTGTGTGTCTGACTCCTTCTTCTTCGTCGTCACTTTCAGGCGCTTCAAACTCCAGTCTGGCTTCCTCGACTCTCGGCTCCTCCTTCTTCTGTGGCCCGAAAATAGCACGACCGAGACCTTCTTCTTCATCCTCGCTCTCCTCTTCGTCTCCATCGGCTATGGCAAGCTCCTTGCGGATTCGTTCCACATCCTCGTCATTCTGCTTCCGTCTGCGCTCATCCGCTGCACGCATGAACTTCAGACCGGCGAGACCCTTCGGTTCACTAGCATTGGCTCCTTCGAGGTCATGAAGCTTCTTCATCAAAGTTTGATTGTCACTTGTCTCCTCGTCAGAAGAGACATCGCTTCCATCCGACACATCTCGACCAGCAATTCTCTTCCGTAGTTCCTCGTTACGTCTGGCCTGCTCAACCACGCCGTCTCGGGCATCGTCATCCCACGCAGTCCGGTTCGTCTGCTTGATTGATTTGGCCCATTTGGAGTCTTTGTGCTTCGTACCCATGCGGGCTTCCGCTCGTTTGCGGTCAGTTCTTTCCTTTTCATCTTCGTCCATAGGATCTATTCCCATGCCCTCAAGCGCCTCGCGTTCCTGTGCAGCCTGGCGTTCCCGCTCCTTGCGATGTACTCGCCTATAGCTCTTACTCTTGATTTTGGCAATGCGCTTAGCCTTCAATTCCTCGCGGAAGAGGAGCTCTCGGACTTTGCGCAGCTCAGCACGGCGGCGCATGACTTCTTCGACTGGCAACTTCTTTTCGGCGAGCTCCTCGCTCTTAATCAGTAGAGCGGCCTCCGTGTTGCCAGCCTTTGCCGTCTCACCTTGCTTAGCGACAAGCCCTGACTCTTCCATGATACGCTGAATGCTCTCTTCGAGTTCGTTCTGAGGCTTCTCTTGCGTCGAAGGGACAAACTTTTCTTTTCCAAGCGAGCCATTCTGATCGGCAGGGTTCTGCAGAGGGAAATTCAGAAACTCGGCTCGACGATTGCGGATTACCGTGTCTCGCCATCGATCAAGCTGCTGCTTAGCTTTCTCAGTAGCGACTTCGCGATCTAGACGGTCTTGTTGTCGCTTGGGAAGAGGCGCAGCAATTGCTGTAGGCTTTGCGGCCTTCTTCTTACTTTTCGAGCTTGTCTTCTCAGGAGCCAATTCAGTATCTGCCATGAAGTCATCCACGGTGACGGCTTCAGAGGCCTGCGGTGCCGGTGCTTGACGAGCGGGAGCATCGAGGGCCTCTAGTCTATCCATTATCCGTGCAGACCGTTCTTTCATCTCTTCCTCGTCTCCTTCATCTTCGTCATCCTCTTCTTCCGATTCAGACTCATCATCCTCTTCACTCTCGCCCTCGCTTTGTTCTCCCATGTCTTCACCTGGCGTATCCTTGCCGCCTAGTATTTCATCGTGGTCATCGTCCAGCATGGCAGCCAAGTCGACCGCATCGTCACCGAAGCCCAAGCCTTCGTCGTCTTGACTGTCTCCATCATCATCTTCGCTCTCATCTTTTTCGTTAAGATTGATATCGTTGCTCCTTCGCTTGCTCGACGAGGCCACGGGTTTCTTGACTTTCGTCTTTCCCTTACTACTCTTCGAGCCTCGAAATGTGAAACCTTCAAATCGCTCCTCGTCCGACTCGCCAAAAGCTTCGTCTGAGTCCAGATCGCTATCATCGTCGTCCTCGGCAATACCACCCAGTGTCAACTGATTGCCATCGGGGTCGCTGCCGTATTCAACATCCTCGTCGTCCTGATCATTCGCAAAAGAGCGCTTGTTCGGCCGCTTTCGCTGTGGCTCCTCTTCTTCCTCATCCTCATCATCCTCCTCGCTGTCCCTTCGTCGCCGTTTCTGCCGAGGTTCATCATCGATATCCTCGCCCAACCTGTGGCGAGCAGGTCCTTTCTCTGGAATGAGTTTCTGCGCCTGAGAATATGCATCCAGCGAGCGCTTCTTATTCTTATTGCGCGCGTTCTTCGGTACAGCAGCCGAAGTACTGGACCGTGCGACTCTAGCCGGCATCTTTGTGTTGGAGAGAAAAGTGGTTTTGGAAGTCGAGAGTCGAAATTCTCAAGACTTTAGGAAAGTTCAGGCGAAATCTTGGCGCGCGGAATCTGGCCGACTCCCGATCAACTCCGCAACCTCTGTTCATCCATTGCATCTTGCCAGGACATATTAGCACACTTCAACCCTCCGCAATGCAGCCAACCCCCGTACTCCAGCGCGCCATTCGGCGGCTGGCGCTCACCACGAAGCAAGGTCCGCACAACTACTACAAAGGCAACCGAACTGGATCGATGGGATGGATCGACAAATGGGGAAGACATCACGTCGATTGGAAAAAGGTCCGAACCTATGTCTGTCCCGACTTGACCAGCTTCAACGTATGTAATTCAATCGTGGTGCATGGGAAAGAAACTGACAGCGCGTAGTTGACTCCCTTCGTCCAGACCCGCATCGAGGAAACGCGAGACAGTTTCAAACATACCGAAACCGGCACAGCATTGGACGGAAAGGAATACATCAGGAAGTGGAAGCTGGCGGGTGGAAATATGTGAGGAGTCAAAGACGAAGGGAATGGAAAGTGAGATTTCTATTGCGGGGAATACGCCCACGATATGCTACATATGGCACCGAATCGTGTGAATTCGATCTTCCGCCAAAGCTCCCGCGTCCACCGCAAGGGGCAACACATATGCGGAGTGTATGATGAGGACGATGTTGCATGCAGTGAAATGGCGAGCCGGTGCGTCAGTGCTCTGATAAGATGCAGTCATACGTGTACGAGGTGCCGGAAATGTTGTTTGTTGAGAAAGGAAGGAGAAACTTGCATCTGCGAGCGATTTGTGGAAGTCTTACGACTGGGTAGCATGGCCCATTCGATACACATGGGTAATGCGCCAGGAAAATTGAGCTCAGGCATGGAGAAGGAGCCTTTCGCATTGCTTTCGCACTTTCCCGTGGCCTTTTCTCTGTTGAATATGAGTTTTGTGTGCGCCAGATTCAATGTGAACTCTAGGCATTAGTTGAGTGTACTACTTGGGTTGCATTCGCTGTGGTCAGATCTGCCGTGGTGACCGAGTGTTGAAACAAGCCCTAGAGGATGGTGCGGCGAAGCAAAGGAACCATGCGAAGGCTTCAATGTTTTGCCAAAACTACATCTGTACGCTTACCTACAAGAGGATGTCGAAGCCAATTTTCAAGTTGCCGTGCCAGGTATCCGAAGAGCAAAAAGCAAAAGTAATGCAAACATCCGTCGACACCTGTGTGATTCGAACACACGCTCCCGAAGGAACTGCCTACCGAGGCTATAACATAGCAGGGCAGCGCGTTAACCACTCCGCCAAAGTGCCACAATCCGGAATGTTCTTTTGAAATTCGTATATATAGCTACTGGTTCCAGCCCCTCACCTTTGACCCACCTTGCGTCAGAGCTTTGCCAGGGATTCCAAGTTGGCTTCCGAATTGCCTCCCGCGAGTCGACCTCGGGAGGCAATTCGAAAGATGGACTCGTCCTTCACAGCTTCAAAGTTTCTTTGATGACCGTACATATCTATCACGGTCATCGCAATACTTTCAGAATCGATGGCCTTTCGGACAACGTCGTGGAAGACAACGATCAACGATCGTTCGGGTGGTGGAGGATGAAGCCGATCCGGACACGCAACCCCAGCTTGTCGGCGATATCTCGTCGAAATTCTGAACCCAATCCGTCTTTCGTTCATCCGAACATCTCTCGCGAGCGGGCCATGCAACCTCCATTCCGCTTGGCTCCTGATCGGATGCCATCTCCGCGCGCAAGATTGAGTGCCCGGAGACGAGGAGCAACAGCAGCAGACATCCGCGTTCGCAGCCGCGATAGATGAAAACCTCCCTCCACGGACACTCCGACATCTGCGCTCCACCGCACTAAACTCCAACGACAGTGGATACGGTTGACCAGGTGGCAGCTCTTACATCAGAAAGCCACCATTTCCGACGTTTTGGCACCCTCATCTGTGCCTTCGTCACGCGCCTCCAGCGTACCTATGACGAGAGAACCTTCAAGAAAATGATGGCCAATATTTCTTGGACAGACCCTCCTCATAGCAGGCAAGAAATCTTTGGCAAGTATATCACACCCTTATAACTCACTCCACGCACTCCTCGCTCTTCTGCGGTACACTCGTCCTCTGGAACCACGACATTGGTGCCCAATTTCCACCGTCACTCCACTCTCATACCTCAATCCGAGAGCTTTCTTCACATTGTTTGGTTCCACTGAACGCTACAGAAATTCGTCTCAACGACCTGCTTCCCGACGAGAAGCTCACTTTGCTCCATCCTTGCCTTACAACGACACCATGGCGGCAGCGTCGTGGGACAGTGCCAACGTCGACCTTCAAGCAAATGGCCAGCACAGCACATCACCGATGAAAGAGGCCGGCTACGGAACATTACACGCTGAACGACATAGCGAAACGCATGCTGCTGTGAAGCCACAACGCCCCGGCCTTCCTCGCTTCACCACCAGCAAAGAAAACGTCCTCGCACAGTTCTTCATCGGAGCTCTAGATCAGGGAACAACAAGTTCGCGGTACATCATCTTCGATGGTACTGGAACGCCAGTCGCCAGTCACCAGCATGAATTCCAGCAGCACTATCCTGAATCTGGATGGCACGAGCACGATCCCAAAGAACTCATAGCCAGCGCCGAAGTTTGTATCAAGAAGGCTACCTCCACCTTCGCTCAGCTCGGGCACGACATTAACGATATCAAGGCCATGGGACTCACCACGCAACGAGAAACAGCTCTCGTATGGGACATCGAGACCGGCGAACCACTACACAATGCAATCGCGTGGCCTGACACCCGAACCAAGGGTATCGTGAGAGAGTTGAAGGAGAAGGAGAAGACCGAGGGCATAAGCATTGCAGAAATGACCGGAATGCCGCTTTCTACATACCCATCCGCTGTGAAGCTCGTGTGGCTGCTGAGGCATGTGCCGAAGGTGAAGGAAGTGTACGATGCTGGAAAGATGGCATTTGGTACTGTGGACACTTGGCTGGTCTACAACTTCAACGGCAAGGACAAGCAGTACTTTGTCACGGACAGCACGAATGCTTCTCGGACAATGTTTATGAATTTGCACACCGTCAAGTATGATCAGAAATTGTTCGACTTCTTTGGCATCGACATGGAGAAGCTCCACCTGCCACGCATTGTTCCATCGTCAGACGGAGAAGCCTACGGAAAGATCTCAACTGGACCTTTGCAGGATATGAAGATTGCTGGTTGTCTGGGTGATCAGTCTGCCGCCCTTGTCGGACAACAGGGCTTCACTCCGGGATGCGCCAAGAACACATACGGCACAGGATGCTTTTTGCTTTACAATGTGGGAGAGAAGCCGGTCATTTCGCATCACGGACTCCTGGCTACGATTGCTTACGACTTTGGACGAAATCGGAAACCTGTATATGCTTTGGAAGGAAGCATTGCTGTGGCAGGATCTGGTACGTACTGTCATTCACTGGAATGTGATTGTATTGAGCTGAAGTTGACTTCTTTACTCTAGGTGTCAAATTCCTGATGAATAACATGGGGTTCATCACGCATTCGCACAAGATCTCTGACCTTGCAGCATCTGTGGAAGACAACGGTGGCTTGGTCTTCGTGACGGCCTTCTCTGGTCTATTCGCACCGTACTGGATCGACGATGCCAAAGGCACCATCTTCGGCATAACGCAACATACGCAGCGAGGTCACATCGCACGCGCAACTCTCGAGGCAACGTGTTTCCAAACCAAAGCTATCCTGGATGCAATGACTAAGGATAGTGGCCATGCTCTCTCCGACCTCGCAGTAGACGGAGGAATGTCCAACTCCAACTTGTGCATGCAGACGCAGGCGAACATTATCGGTATCCCTGTTGATCGCCCTGCAATGCGCGAGACGACCGCTCTAGGTGCAGCTATCGCGGCAGGCTTCGCGGTCGATATCTGGAAGGAGTTCGACGAGTTGAAGGCCATCAACCAAAAGGACCGTCGCATCTTCACGCCTGACATCACACCCGAACAGTCGGAGAAGATGTTCAAGAAGTGGAAGCGGGCTGTGGATATGTGTCGCGGATGGTTGGATCCTGAGGAGTACGGCGAAGACTTCTAGGTAATGTCACGGGTGCCTGTGACTTCTTATATGCGTTCTCACATTACACTACCGTCATAAATTCACTTCTTCCATATCCGATTTCTACGCCTCTTCAAGATCCTATCCCGCGCGCCTCCCAATCACAAGACCGCACAAGGGCAGCAGGTATCCGCATGCTCCGCGGGAGACTCGGCACTGTGCTCGTCGCAAACAACAAAATGTATGTATCCTCACTTTGTCCCCGTCGGCAACTGTCGGGACCGAATCTCGTCCCACTGTGGATACAAGCGCATTTCGGTTTCTCCGTCCTGTTGTTTGTTATTAGATTGCCACCCGGATGCAATCTTGCTCCTCTTTCTGCACCCTTGTGCAGCGCTCCCATTCTCGGTTCCGATGCCAAATGGCTTGCATCTTCTAGAGGGTTAGCCTAGCACTATATGCAGACAGGCGACCCGCCGGTCCTGTACATCCGCCGGATTGGGCACGAGTGCAGAATCTCTTCGATCCATCCCCGTGATGATGATGAAGCATGTGAGCGGTCTCTTTTGGTACGTGTTGTTCTGTCCTCCGACCACGACACCCTCGCTTGTGTTGCTGGCTCGCTCGCTAACGCAGGAACAGTTTTTAGCCGCGACTCCATCTTCGACGGGCTTGATGCTGAAATAAGGCACTACTAATAAAGGAGAAAGTACGGTACGTAGGGTCGGCTCGCTCGTGTTAGTATGTAGCTGCAAGGCTGACATATATGCTGTAGGGATTAGGGATTGCTTGCTTCCAACGTTATCTGTTGTTTAGCCGCAGGTAGGCAAGCTACTATGCATGCGCGCGAGGTGGTGCGAGGCCGATTGCTGCTGCAGTGTGTCTGGAATATATTGGGCTCTGGAAACGGGCGCCTGCATCGTCGGAAGGAAGGCGGAGAGCGGGTGTGGTTACGCAACAATCCCAGGCCCGCAGCTGGAAGCCTGACCTCGAGCGCTCCGACCTGGTGTGGACTCCGGTACAGGACGCACAGTAAAATTCCACCAACGGCGAAAAGATGGTGTATTATGCACGGGCGGCTCCTCCGCCGTCAGCGTGGCTCGGGGAATGTAATCCGGAGGTTGGATCAAGGAACCGTAAGTCAAGTCATGCATGCCGGTGCATTGCAGAGCACATATCCCAAGCCTCGTCTCATCATCACCAAGCTGATTGCTAACATGTTACCTTGCAGCGAGTCTCATATATTCCATATTCCATATTCCAAGCCTCTCACCGCTCTCGCTCGCATCATCATAACGCACCCCATCTCAGTCCTGGCACACAAGACTTTGAGCCTGGGTTTAGGCGTTGCACCACGCCAACCGTGCCAACGTTGTGGCGCTTTCGCGACCGTCATCGTCCCCCATCTACCCACGGCTACCTGAAGATGGCACGACGCTCATCCGTCTTGCCAGTTTCATCCATAATCCACGGACTGCTGGCAACTGGTGAAGCGTACGTACTGTCGCCCACATGTGACACTGGTCAATGCAACGTGCCCGCATTCATGGCCTCAAGGTCGACATCCGACCCGGATTCAACACATCGCAACGACTGTCGATGCATTGCAGAAGTCGAAGTCGCCGCTAGAAGCACCGATGCAGAGATGGATCTGTAGCAAGGGCCATGATTTGTCCGTTGCCCCAGGCCCATGCGGCCGGACTGAAAGCCTCGGCACCGCTTTATGCACCTCTTTCTAAAGGGCACCGAGCTCGCCTTAGATACGGCTAGGGTAGTGCTGCGCCGTCAGCGTCGTGAAGGTCGAAATACTTGCCGACGTTGCTGTCCTACGCGCGGTGAACGCAGTCTCGTAGGAAGAGATTTTCAAGAACAAACAGCCTATCGGTCTAAGAGGTTCTCGTTACCTTATACCCCCAGGCAAAAAAGGGCGCGTATCGAACAACGAATAGCGAGCTCCAGCGCAGCCCCTACTATTTCATTCGCGGGCGCTACTGTTCTATCAACCCACCCCGACCTTCTGGAGCACATCAGATTCTGAAAATCGAGAAGGAGGGCAGGTGCCCCACTCCCAAGTCCTAGCCTCAATGCCTAGTTGGCCTGTCAACAGTTTGCAGACGTCTTGTTCGTCATGCATTATCAACAGCCGGAGATATCTGTGGTTACGCTAGAACTTTTTCAAATGTAAGATCTGCATTATTTGAGAGCTCCTGGTCGACTAGAACGTATCCGCGACCCGTTCCGTTGGATCCAACCCAGGACTGCCGACTGGGATGACCATAGGGTGCCGAAGTCGATTGCTCTAGAAGAGTTTGCTCTACGGGTGTCCACTATAACACCTGGTCTACTTGATATCCTCTGTTCTTTCCTATAGGATTGGAGCGCTCGCAACACACCACTGCTATCGACTTCAAGCGCAATTCTTCGGCAACTTGTTCAACATATCGCGGACAGGCTAGCAACGACCCTTACTTCGATTTGTCTATCGATATGTGCGAATACACGAAGGTGGAATATGCTTGCGGACATCTTCGGTATACCGTCCGAGCGTGGTGTGAGTGCTTCTCGGTAGCGTTCGTCCGAACAGAGCTGATCGCCGCGCAACAGGCATCAAGTATCAGGAGACGCACAAAAGGTGCCCAGCAAACGTTGTAGCCGTCGAATATCGATTGGACGAGAAGTGTGGTATGGCCGATACAATTCAGATCCTCCTTACCGCACGCAACTAATTCGACTCGACAGGCGATTGTAGAGAGTCCGCACGCTCGCGATTGTACACGCTGAAGAAGAATAAAAGGGACAGCGCATCGTCGAGCTCGTCGAGGCTCTCTTCGGAATAAGCGAAGCTGGCTTTGTCGCCGTTGTTGCACCAAGGGCGCTGGCGTTCTGAGTGGAGGGACTGGGCCTGACACCTTTGCTCGTTGACAAACAACCTGAGGTACCACGCGCCTTGTCTCATGTTCTGTCATTTAAGCAATCTAGCGCTAAGACCTGCTTTCAAGCTGCGTGAGATGCAGTACTAACTAGTGCTACAGACTCCTCCTCTCAAGCGGTCGTTGTGTTCTCTTTTGTCAAAAAGAGGGACCTGATGCTTCGTAGAAAAAGTTCGAATCTCTGCGGCGGTACGAACCCTTGCTGTTCCCTCTGCACGAAGCCCTGCGCACACATGGGAAAAGAGAAAGAAGGCAAGGTGATAGGCATATCAAAGACGCGTCGACTTTAGGAGGAAGATCCAGGGGCGCCATTCCAGACAGACAGCCTGTCCGCCAGATCATAACTTTGTGCTAGTGGAAGATGAGTCGATCATTGCCAGCAATGCGCCAGCCACCGCATGACAATACTGGATGGTTCTGTGCGAGCGTAAGGAGAACGGAAATCGCTTCGATCCGGACAGCCGACGACAAAGCGGCCAACGTGATGTGCGTGTGCCATCCAGCTAAAAGCTTCGAAGGGATATCACTGCGTTCAAAACGAGATAGTGGCGGTGCCTCAGTCGGAAAAGGTGCCGGCAACTCCTTGGAGGCCCTCGTTATGGTATGCGTTAAGTCCGCTTGAGGCAGCAGCGCACGGACATCAAAGTCTCGTGCATTCATTCGGCGCCTTCCTGCAACTGCGTATGAAAGTGCAGTGGGTCAGCAAACACAAACGCCTCGAACAGCTCGACAAGAATTTCTTCCGACAACTGACAAACAACCAGCATCCACAAAGCCAGTCAGACACCAATCTCTGGTTTCCAGTAAGACTGCTTAGACCGACTCGGACAGACAGCCATACCGAAACAATACTTGCCGCGCGCTGCACTCCCACCCGCACCTCTGGACGCTGTCACGACCTGCGGCAACACGCCAGTCAGCCATATAACCCCTACACTCGAGACTTTGCATCATGGCCACACAAGCTCAAGCTATCGGCAACCATCTCCGTCAGCGCCTCCTCCACGACATTCACGAAATCCAGACTAAGCCCTACCCAGGCATAGACTTTCGCCTTCAGGACGACTCGAAGCTCGCCAAAGCCTGTCTGATCCTCTCTTTCGACGACGGGCAGCCCCCAATACATCTTACGGTAGACTTCGAGCACGACTACCCCCTTCGCCCACCAAACATCACCTGCCAGAGCCAAGTGGACCACCCGAATGTGATGCAAGGGTACATCTGCGTGGACATCCTGACACACGACAAGGCATATACGCCCGCATACACCCTTAAGGGCATCTGCATCCAGATGTTAAGCCTTTTCAAGAGCGACCATGTCGATCAGGAGGACGGCATTCGGGGGGAAAAGGGGGAAAAGGTCAACCTCAAGAAGTGGCGTGCAACGGAGGAAGAGCTCGACGGTCCGCTCAAGGATACGTATAAGTGTGACAGGTGCATGTTCCCAACCCATCGATTCTTGGATGGCAAGCCGGATGCCACCACGAATGGTACCATGGGAAACCCTCAGAAGTCGCAGAAGACTGCGGTTCCAGCACTCTCAAACCAGGACTCTCAATTCGCACAGATCAACGACCTGCCTGACGAGATGCTGGTCACTATCTGCGAGCTTCTCGATGAAGAGCCTCTCATCCTTGCCACTCAAGCCTGGAAGCGATTTGAGCGTATCGTCCCGGCTATTCTTCGAAACCGCGAGCTGCAATGCTTCACTCTGAAGCGCGGATCCAACGCGCTAAACCTGGGGATTGGCGTCCACGTTGATGTCAAGAATGTTGAATCTGAATTCGACCTCATCTCTTCCGTTGCCTACGACACCTATGGCGTCAGAAAATCAGTTCATGGCCCCTCATTCGAGCTCTGGCTTCCGCTGCCGATTACGCATCGTCATTGGGATCGTGTGAAATCGGAAGTTCAAGCATCTCTGAATGCAATCGCTCGGCAGAGACGTATTCAGGGCACTCTCGACAACGTCCTGTACGAATTCATGAACGGCGTCGTGGTCAAGCTTTCACATGGTACGAGCCACCTTAGCAAGCAGCAAGAGCTCAATTTCCGTGGCAATGCGAAGACCCAGTCTTCGGTGACCCACGCATCGGAGAAGGCGATCGAGAGCTACTTTCATCTCTTCCACCTCCTCGTTTGCCTGGCGACGGAGCGATCACGAGGGGCGTCCGAGGGTTCCTCCAAGAACGACATTGTCAAGGCAGCCGACAAATTGATCTACGACTTCCTTGCCAACGAGAAGCGTGACAAGACTGACACGCCCAACCTCGGATATCTGCTTATTGCCATTCTCATCAGCGATGTCGACGTCTCCTCGGATCTTCAGCAGGCTATCATCGAGGAGACGCTGATTCGCAACGTCGTGTGGATGTTGGATCCGAAGCCTCCTGGCAAACAGATGCCGGAGCTTGCATACTTGGAGCCGTCTGCGGTCTCTCACTATCGTATTCGGAAGAGCTTTGAAGCAAGCAAGACGGGCCTGCGGCTCCTCATGTTCCTGAACACGATGCGTAAGATCGTACGTGGAATGCGGGATGTGTATGGCCAGGCGGGCAAGAGGACGGGGGAGAAGCTCACTCTGGAGCAGCTGCGCGACAAGCTCTTTGATCGCCATGGTGCAGGACCTACCGGTGCGGCTACTCTCTTCGCTGAGCGCGTCCGTAAGATCCAGCAGGTGGACTGCTATGCGGACTTCTTCAAGGAGATGGGACTGCCGGCTCCTGCCGACGAGGAACTCACTACGCTGCTGAGGGAGTCTGTGCGTAGGTCGATGCAGAAGGGCTATACTCAGGAGGCCTTGACGCAGGGTAGAGCGTTGTTTCTTCGCCTCGAGAAGGAGCCTGACGTGGAGCGTGCGCCAGGTGTGGAAGCCGAGCAGATGCTGGGGAACTTTAGCTTCTTCCCTCGGGCTCGCGGTGGGGGCCATCAGGGTTCGCAGGGCGCTGGACGCGGAGGTCGCGGCGGGCGTGGCCATCGTGGTGGACGTTCATCATGGCGCGGAGGTCGACACCGTTAGAATAAGGTATCGTGCCTGACACATGCTGCGTCAGTAGTGGAGCTGCGTGGGTGAATGGCCGGATAGAGTTTGTGACTTGGAGCTTGAGACGCAGGAAGGAGATGATACACCTTGTGGATAAACAACAAAGAGATGTGATTCTCTCCTCGAAACTTGAATGTCCTAATCAACGTCATCTCATGCGAATGATGATTTCCCCGAGAAATGCGTGACATTTTCGACGTGACCCCTATCCTCCTTTTTCGTCGCCATAGCTCGCAGGGATACGCCCAGTGTGCAGCGTCAGTCGCATACACGACGTGTTACAGCATGATGTAACGGGAAGGCACGAGTCAGCGCGTTCAGGGAAAGCCAGTCGGGACATGGCGAGAGAGGAAGAGAGCTAGAAACCAATGATACCATAGTGACTACGAGCATGATTCTTCCTTTGGTATCTCACATGATCTCGCATGGCAGAAGTCGTCCTCGCTCTGGTCTTCTACCCAATCATCGATACCGGGAGACGTTCCTCGCCGAGACCAGGGTGAGTGCTCGCAGGAAATTCGTGATTGCATTCTTGCGTATCATGTATCATGGGAGCAGTGGTAAGTAAGGTAGATGGCTGTGTGGGTCGGACCACGCGTTCGAGCGAGAAGCAAGCATGATGAGATGGAGAATGGGCTGGCCTGCCTCATCATCACACTGGTTGTTTCGAAAGACCACCTCAACGAGTAGGAGCAGGGCGGACATGGCGGGGAGATGCGGTGATTATTGAGCGGCTTTGCCGGTGAGATGTGCTCTTCTGCTTCTGATGAGCCGCGGAGAGGGTGAGAGGGTGTACATGTATCTGAGAGAGATGAGATGACATGCATGATCGCATCGGGGTCGGCTTTCTTTAAATCCGTCCGCTTGGCTGAGTGAGCTAGCGTGTGGCGTGTGGCGTGTGCTGTGTGCTGTGTGCTGTGCCGGTGGTCAGCGACACGTGATGTGTGAGGCCGACTCCGCGTCGCCGGCTCAGAGTCCGGCTGAGAGTCCGGCTGAGATTCAAGCCGAGATTCAAGCTCAGGCTCAGGCTCAGGCTCAGGCTCAGGCTCAGGCTCAGGCACCGCCGCGTCGAGCTGTAGGACCTGCTACTACACAGTACACTACCTTACCTTACATGTACACTGCTGCCAAAAGAACTGCTGCTCTCTGCTCACGCTCACGGCCCTCGACTGCCGCTTGCTGCCACTGGCCCATGTGAGGCGCGTCAGCCGCCCGGCGCTCAGCCTTTCCCAATCTCCCATCTCATCCTTCTGCCTCACTCCTCTCCCTCCGCGACGCCGGCGCCGCCCACATCTCTACCTATTCAACTCCACGACCCGATGCGGATTGCGCAACACCAACCCCGACGCCCGGCACACGACCGGTTTGGACGATCGAACGACCCGACATAACCAGAGCCGCCGTATCGCTCGCAAGCATCTCTCGATCGAGTACCGCCTCTCCCGAAACGTAGGCGCGCTGCGCTGGGCACGCGCGTAATCATGTCACAGTATTCCAGCGGCCACTACCAACGATCCCCACCCCAGCACGGCCAGCAAGATCAGTATGGGCGATATCAGCAGCCGGGCCAGAATGGAGGACACCAGCAGCAGCCATCTGCTTACCCGCCAGAGCAGCAGCCGCCTACCCAATATTCCTACCCAGGCCAGCCCGCCTACAACCCTCCATACCCCGGAGGAGGTGCCGTTCAGCAGCCTCAGCCTGGTTATGCCTATCAAGAATACTCGCCCAGAAACGCAAGCTACCCTGGAGGCCACCAGCCGCAACATCCCCAGCAGTATGACCCTCAGAACTACGCCCAGCCTGCCCGCTCACCTCCTCAACCGTCCTACAATCCTGCCGCGTACGCTTCATTCACCCAGAGCGGACACCAGCCATCGCAGTACAGCACTGCCGCGTATGCCGAAGCGCCATTGCACGGCACGAGTGGCCCAGTAGACCCGTACGCATACTCGCCAGGCAATTACACTCCAGCGAGCACCTCTTCGCATTCTGCTTTCTCTCCTCACTCGCAGTATGGGCAGTCGCCTCATCAAGGATACAGTCCGCAACAACCGCAATACAACTCTCAGACCCCAGCAGATCGATATAGTTATGCGCCAACGCAAAGTCCCCCGCCAGCCCATTCGCACTACTACACCCCGTCTGTTTCTCAGGCTTCTGGCGTTCCCTATCCTACTGCTGTGCCGCCTTACTCAGGCTCCGTACATGTTCCTTATCCATCTGCTGGTGCTGGTGGACCGGAGCACTACTGGTCACCCCGTCCTCCAGCACACATCGGTCTTGGTCAGTCTCCGTCAACGAATCAGTCGGGCATGTCTCCGCCGAGCTCTACCCCTGGTCCCACGCCTCCCGCGCACGGTTCCCTGCCTGTCCGGTCTAACACATGGGATCGACATCCACAAGACAGGCCGTTACCTCCTCAGCCGGGCACTGACTTACATTCTGACTATTTTGAACACTCTTCGCGTCCCGGAGCGTCTGCGAGATATAACCGAGATGACGACGACGATCCGGATCAGGAAGATCTATTTGAGGATATAGAGAACGTACTCTATGGGAACCCCCGCGCTTCCCACAGTCCATCTATAGCCATCAGTCAGGCACCTTCCGCGCCTCCATTCAGCGCTTCGCGGATCAGTGAGAGGTCGACGAACGGTGTTAATGGCCACCTCTCACCAGTACCTCAAAGCGCCGCGCATCAGCCGGCCTACGCCAGCGATAGCGACGCCGAGGCAGCCCATGGAAACGCAATGATGCGCGAACACGAAGCACGAGAGCGACTCGAGAATGAAAGGCCTAGCTCGGGTCAGCTCCCATTCAATGGCCTTGGGGGCTCTCAGGGACCATCGCGAACTCCACATACAGACGGCAGCGACAGTGAAGACTATGGCTTAGTGGATGTGGATATATCTACATTTGGTGGCGGCGAAGGCATCCATATCACTTACGGCGGCAACCCGAATCAGCTCGTCGCTGGCGGCGAGGTCTATAGTCCAGCGAACAGCCAACCGGTCTCCAGCCAGCACAGCTCAATGCGCAGATCTCACGCTTCACAATCGTCGCAGCTGAGCCGGAACTCGTACGATCACCGATCAGAGTCCATACACCCATTCCCGCCATTCAACCCGGCCGCACGTGTTGAAGTGGGAGGCACTGGAGGCCTTGCCGAACCGAGCGCCATCGGGCGCCGACAGAGTTACGATGAGGGCGACGAATACTCCCTGATGGAGAGCCACTTACCAGAACGATTCCCTGACGAACCACCAGATATTCCCTACCATCAAGCGAGCTCCTCCTTTCCCTCACGCCCTCTACCTGCAGTTCCGTATCAAGACAACAAAACGCCTCCTGGAGCATCCAAAGCATTGCCACCGCTCCCAGGTCAAGGGCCCAATCCAAGCGCACCGGATGCCTACATGATCAACGCTCAAGGGCAATATGTTCCACGATCAACATCTTTGATCAGCCACAGCAATACACCTCAAGTGATGCAGCCTCTACGTTCGAAAACAGACGCGGAGGAGAGAAGGAAACAGCAGGCACGACTGTCAGGTCTCTCCACAATTGACTCAACACCTGCCAGTGGCAGTATGCTCGTGGATCTCCCAGCCATTGGAAAGCGCTTCTCTCCGTCGAAACTTGGGGCACCGGACTTCAAAAAGTGCATTGAACCTTGGTCGCTAATGTCTTTGCTGAAATGGCTGCTCCAAGTCACCAGTCCGGAGCAAAATACCGAACTGAAAGAGGCCGATATCAAAGAAGCCCTGGTTGCACTCTTCACCAACAAGGTGCCTACCATGAACATCGCGGACGCGGAAGGCTTGAGCTGCAGGGTGGTGGAAGACATGTACGATGCCGGAACTCTCGTCACCACCGAGGAATGGGTCAGACTTGTGCCCGGCTACATCTCTGGAGTGATATTTCAGCTCAGCCAAGCCGGATGCTATTCGCCCACTGTCCACAACCACATCATTCCGAACATGCGCTGTTACTCTCATCTTTGTCAACGAACGCTCAAGAAGATCAATCTCCAAACGCACTCGTCACGCTCGGTAGCAGACTGGGCTGGGTACTACAACCTGAAGAAGGAAGACGTCGACGGCAAGGACAAGAAAGAGATCGAGAAGCAGAACGTCCTGCACGAAGTTGTGACGACGGAAGAGAAGTACATGGATGATCTTGAGGTGCTGCAAACGCTCTACCGGGATCAACTTGCGCGGGTAGAACCTTCTGTCATCACGCCAAAGCGGAAGGACAAATTTCTCCGGGATGTTTTTGGCCGTGTGGATCCCATCAAACTGGCGAACGAGGAGCATCTCCTTCCACAGCTGAAGTATCGGCAAATGGAACAGGGACCCTGGATCGTGGGCTACAGTGACATCTTCAGGCAGTGGATTCGCAAAGCCAAGGCTGCCTATGTGGAGTACGCCAACGACTTCCCTCGGGCGGATTACATGGTCAGGCAAGAGATGGAACGCAACATCGAGTTTAAATTGTTCGTCGACAGAGCCCAACGGGATAAGAAGTCGAGTAGGCTTGCATTCGACAGCTTCTTGAAGTCTCCAATTACTCGACTGCAGAGGTACCCACTGCTGCTTAGTCAGATTTCGAAGACTATGAAGGACGGCACTGCGGAGAAGGCGAATCTCATGATCGCGGTCGAAGAGGTCAAGGCAGTCGCAATGGAGTGTGACACTCGGGTCGCGGAGCAGCAGAGGAAGATTGACATGTCAGACCTAGGACACAGACTGGTCCTACGGCCAGGTATGGAGAAGGAAGTCGAACTTAATCTGGAGCACTTCGGACGTGCCTTGATCCACAGGGGTGACTTGCAACGCATGGGCAGCAACCGCTTCACTTGGCTCGACTGCCACGCTATACTCTTTGATCACTACATGATCATTGCCAAGAGCGTAGCTCAAAGGACCAACGAGGGCGGCAAGCGAGACATGTACGACGTGTCGAGGCTGCCTATTCCGATGGATCTGCTCATAGTGGACAGCGCAAACGATCCACCTGTGCAGAAGTCCAGTTACATCAAAGGCATTACATCCGTCCGTGAAGCCGCGGGCAGAAACACACCCTCAGACCCTGCAGCGCTTGCTAGAACGCCTTCCAACCAATTTACAGGACCGGGCACCTTGGCGCATACCAACACGGCAGCTTCCTCAAATTCGTTGACGGCTGTAACTTCACTCGGAGAGGGAAAGGATTCTGATCGCATACTGTATCCCTTCAGAATAAAGCATCTCGGTCGCGACACGTACACATTGTTCGCTCTTACAGAACAAGCAAGGAAAGATTGGACAACGAAGATCATAGAAGGCAAGACAAAGCATGCTGCTGCTTTGCATGCCCAGAATGCAGAACCCTTCCGCCTGAGGGTCATGGCCGACTCTGCTTTCGTGTATGATGCATATGCGGGCAGCGGTAAAGGAGTACTGATCAAGGGAACACCTATGGACCGAGCGATCAAGGACGTCGAACACCGTTTCAAGGACACGGGACGACCAGGCCCAGTCTGCCGAGCAAGGGTCAATTGCGCCACGAGCTTCACCACACCATATCCGGGCAGGCAGATGGTTGCTATCGGCACCGAATATGGTGTCTTCGTGAGCGAGCTGGACAACCCTCGCGGCTGGATCAAGGTCAGTCTAGTATATCGCCATCTCGTAGATCAATTCGCTCACCGATAAACAGGCTATCAATATGTCGCGCGTGACACAAGTCGCGGTCTTGGAAGACTTCAATCTCTTCCTACTGATCTCTGACAAATCGCTCATAGCATACCACCTGGATGCCATCTGCCCAAGTGACCGCAGCGGACCTACACCGATTAATGACTCTGCTCGAAAAGCACCCCAGAAGCTGTCTGGTAGCAGAGACGTGGGCTTTTTCGTCGCCGGAAGGATGAAAGACCGGACCTTGGTCTTCTACAAGAAGCGAGAGAACTTGAACTCCGTGTTCAAGGTCCTGGAACCGGTGTACCAGAAATCGACGGAGAAGAAACGCGTGGGCATGTTTAAGCGCGGCAACACGGAGTTCTTCCGGGAGTATGATGAGTTCTACATTCCTACGGAATGTAGAGGCATGGATCTCTTCCACTCGAGTCTGGCTGTGAGCACGTCGAGAGGATTCGAGGTCCTGACACTGGACAAGAAGCAGCCGTGGAGTGTACCAGAACTCAAGGCGGACCACGTACAGAATATCGCGCAGCGCATCCGAGAGCAAGTAGCTCTCAGCATGCTGCGGTTGAGCGAGCAAGAATTCCTGCTCGTGTACGCCAACTGTGCGGTCTACGTCAACAAGCACGGTGACGTCTCGCGATCGGTGGTGATGGAGTTCGTGGGCCACGGACAGAACGCGGCAATATACGGCCCTTACTTGGTCCTCTTCAACGAGGATTTTGTTGAGATCCGCAACGCACAGAACGGGCGATTGAAACAAATCATCGCGGGACGAGAGATCAAATGCCTGGACGACGGGACGAATTGGAGTGCCAATGGTGGAGCCATACCGCCTACGAATGGGATCGTGAACGGGCCGACGGCGCAGGCTGGGCGGACGTTGAAGTTGGTGATGCAGCATCCGGAACAAGAAAAGAATCAGATTGTGGTGGAACTGCTGTTGAATGAGAATATGAAGGAGTGAGTAAGACGTCGCAGAAAGAGGAGAAGCGCGGTGTGTGATGCGGATGTCCGTGCGTCTCCTGCTGATATGCACGCCTCTGCCTCTTGTTGGCCGCGCAAGCCTGTTCTAGAACAATTGGCATGGTTTGAGCGAGTGCTTGATTGGACTCCTCGGGGGGACAAAGGACATGGAGGGGAAGTTGGATGTCTGGTGGGGGGGGGGAGGGGGGGTTTTGCCCTTGGCTTTGGGAATTTGTTGATTGAGAGATACCACTGCGCCGGTTGCTGTTGTTGTTTCGAGCATGGATGGGCGCTTCGGGGTTTCAAAGGAGGGGAGGCGATGCATTTTCACAGAACCTCCTCCTGCACACCACCCACAGCAGTGTCTTTGTTTGCCTCAAGAGGACTTGAGGATGGATTGATTGATTGATTGATTGATTGACTGATTGATTGATTGATTGACGATGAGTGTTGACATTTTTTCCCCCTAACGGCCGGACTACAGCATGATGGTGCGTGTGTGTGTATAGGAGACAGACAGACAGATGGATATAACGGGAGGAGACGAGACGAGACGAGACAGGTCGAAGTCTGTGTTCAAGTTATATGCACACACCAAAATTACTATCAACGTATCCAGGCGACGAGGTTTCGCCCAACTCTCTCTCTCTCTCTCTCTCTCTCTCTCTCTCTCTCTCTCTCTCTCTCTCTCTCTCTCTCTCTCTCTCTGTGCACGGAAGGTCTCCCGTAGCGTAAGGTAGCTTTAGTCGCCCAAGGGGAGTTTGTCAGCGGGGCATTGGAATGCTTTCGTGGCAGGGGTCATGACATGTCAAGCGTGCAAGCTCCACCCATGGACGCGTACGACTCGACTCGACTCGACTCGACAGCCGGCCGGCAGCAGGTCGGTGAGTGCAGCGGTAACAGGTAACAGGTGTTAGAACTACCTTTACTACTGACATGTGAATCGTTCAGGTCAGCGATGATGCTTTCCCGCTTGCCCCGCCCCGCCCCGCCCGCCGTGGCGCGCGTCTCGAGGAATGGGAAAGCAGCAGCCCCGCTGACATCACGCGGCCCTGGGCTGTTTGAGAGAGGAGAGACATGGACTGGAGGATCTGTTCACACGTTCCGAACGAAAAGTGGTACATGTATCCCTTGCGAGCCAGGCAAATGCTGCTGATAGCTTGCCCGTGTCTTAGGTCTAGCTTCGGTTTCTCGGCCGGGCACGCGCGCTAGGTAAGCGACTTTGAGACCTGCTGACGCCTTCTTCCCATTGCTCTTGCTTTGTTTTGTCCACCGCGCCACGACTGGAATGCAATCATCCATCCTCCACTCCTCGACGTCGCCAACTTGAATACGTATTCATCCTCAGAGCTTCACCACACGGCGGCAACCATGGACGAACCTTCGCTTTCGCAGCCGCAATCCTCCGCATGGCGCGTCTTCCTCATCCCCGAACTCCTCGAATCGATCCTGCAACACCTCAGCACCAAAGACCTGCTCCTCTGCCAACGAACAAGCCGCGCCTTTCATTACACAGTCCAGGGTAGCGTGCACCTACGTCGCAAACTCTTCCTGGAGCCAGATTGGAATCTCGAAGGTAGACTCTTCGACGCCTACTCCGCGGACAACAGGCCAGGTCGCAAGCCCGAGAACAACCGGCTCCTCCTCCGCGCATTCGGTTGCTACCCCACAATCACGCTGGTCATCGTGAGCGATGGCGCACAAGGAGGGCAAATGTCTTTCAGGCGCGGCAGTGAGCATTGGAGCTGGGATGTCTGCATTTCCTTCCCCGCGGATCGGCAACCGAATACTTCGCCCGCGGTCCAGTACCCCGAAGCAAGCTGGAGGAAGATGTACCTGAGCCAGCCGCCCTGTCAAAGTCTTTATCTCGTACGAAGATGGACCCGTAGTTTGCGACCAGCAATGGTGAGAGAAGATGGGATCACAATGGGCGATTTCTTCGACGAAGCGACCAAGGACTCCCCGGGCTGCGAAGATCGGAAGTGGCATCAGAGCTACATCAGCAGTGACCGGGACTGGCATTTCGAGGGGAACATCAAGTGTACTTCGGTCGAGGAGTAAGGTTGGTCCTTGTTGCGTTGGCTAGAGGGTGCGCAGGCTTACGTGTGGCTGCGACAGGTCGTCGCCTGGTACCGATGAAGAGAAGAAGAGGCATGTGGAGGAGATGTCGATGGAGTATGCGTATTCCAGGACGTTGCTTAATGGTAACATGAGGGCTTTGTCGGATGATTGGGATCCTGGCCGAGCGGTAGAGTTTGCGATTGCTTCCCAGCAGAGTCAATGATTCGCAGTTATTGTTTAGATTTGTTTTGGCTGACGTTGGTGGCATTCAGAGCACTGCGTTGCGACGTTGGATGTTTGGTCTCTTGGAGAAGGGCGCAGATGGGTGATTTTGGTGGTGGTATTGGTACCTTTCACCTGAGCCATTCCGTAGCGTTGGATATCTTGGAGCTCAGTGAGGCGCACAGTGTCGCCCCTGGTGCCCGCCCCTGGGATTGCAGGGTTTAATCTTGTATGCTTTTGATATCTCCTGCTGGCTTGTCTCTTTTTATCCTTCCAGTGTCGCATCATTCTCCAGTGAACAGGAGCAGACGTCCACGTGCGAGAAGCTCACAGTAGCAATAGCGTACTCGCCATCTCCTTTCGATAAGGTGACTTGCCCTTTGTGCATACCTAGTAGTCTTTCCGTCATGTATGCCTCGTAGAGTGGGGAATCGCAGGCGGCTAGCCTCTTCCATCATATGACTTCGTCGCTCCATTCCATCAAGAATCGCATCTTACTTCTTCCTCACATCTTCAATCCCATCATTCCTCACAAACTTTTCCCATTCCTCTCCCTCCTCCATCTTCTTCTTACTCGCCTCGTCCCAATCCTCAAACGTGCCTTTGCCCGCATACAACATCTTATTCGGCCCCTCCCCCTCCAGTTCCACACTCGTCGCGATGGGTTTGTTGCCTCGGAAGCGTTTTCGCATGTCTACCATTCCGCGTCGGCATTGGCCATAGCCATGGAGGAGTTGTTGGCATTGCGTCGGGAGGGTTTCTTTGAGGGGTGGGCGGATGCAGTCGGAGGGTGGGTTGCGGTGGAGGAAGACGCAGTCACTGCTCTGGAGACATTGGGCGAGGGCGGCGCCTTTGAAGAAAGAGTGTGGGTTAGAAGAGGGGTTTGCTTTGGAGGTGGTGTCGCCACGTACGGATGTCTTTACAGGAGGATGGCATTTTGAGAGGGCTCGGTCGCGGCAATTAGAGGAAGTTAGAGTGTTAGACGAGCAGTGAGCTCTTTGCGCGAAGACAGGTCCAGTGTTTGATCTCGATAGAAGGATGGTCTGTCGTCCGGTTTTGTTGCTCTTGATGATGGCTCGAGATTATATTTCGGCGGCTAGAGATTCGTTCGGCTCTCGGATTCGGGCTCTGGGAGCTTGGACCAATGCGTTCACATGACAATGACGTTCCTAGCGAACCAGTCTCCCTGGAATTGACTTCTCTCACTGCCGACAAGCAGCCCGGATGGAGATCACAGCACATCATGATATTGAATAAGTACTATTAACCCCTTGTTTGCCTCTTTGCGCACCTGAGATACCGAAAAAAATGGCCCCTGTTCCGTTCATCGGGCGTTTACACATACACGAATACCTGGCCCTTGGCGCTTCCTTCCTACTGCTATTCCTCGAAGTCTTCGTCCGAACGGTTACACTCCTCCTACCTTCGCCGGTAATACGGGTCCTCTACCACATCAGCAGGAATGCATTCAACGGTCTCTCTTCGCCCTACTCGCGACGGGCCCGGAATAGGAAGAAGGCTGTTTCGAGCCCAATAGCGCAGGCACATGACTTTGTTGAACTGTGCGAGCTGTATGGATACTACGCGGAAGAGCATGTTGTACAGACAAAGGATGGTTACCTTCTGGGAGTCCATCGCCTTGCCTGGCGAAGAGGAGAAGAGGGCCAGAGCGTGAATGCCGGACCTGGAAGCATTGAGAAGAAGGTGGTCTACTTGCATCACGGTCTGATGATGAATAGCGAGGTCTGGGTCTGCATCACGGAGAAAGAGCGATGCTTACCGTTCATGCTGGTCGATCAAGGCTATGATGTCTGGCTGGGCAACAATCGCGGGAATAAATACAGCAAGAAGTGTTTGCATCACGGGCCAACTGATCACCAATTCTGGAACTTCAGTATGGACCAATTTGCATTTCATGACATTCCGGACAGCATCAACTACATTCTGAGCACGACACATCAGCCAAGCCTCTCTTACATCGGCTTCAGCCAGGGAACAGCGCAAGCGTTCGCAACCCTCTCGATCCATCCAACGCTCAACTCCAAGGTTGACGTGTTCGTCGCTCTCGCACCCGCGATGGCTCCTCCTGGTCTTTCATCTGGAATCGTCAGCTCTCTCGTCAAATCAAATCCCGAAGTGCTGTACCTGGCCTTCGGACGACGCGCTATCCTTGGCAGCACGACCATGTGGCAAGCTCTACTTTACCCGGGAATCTTTAGTTTTGTCATCGACAAGAGTCTGAGCTTTCTCTTTGGATGGAGAATGGCCAACATCGCACCCCATCAGAAACTCGCGGCCTACCCTCACTTGTACTCGTTTACCAGCACGAAGAGTGTCGTCCATTGGTTCCAAATCATCCGGAACGGCAAATTCCAAATGTTTGACGATGAGGTCACGAGTCCGACGAGCTTCAGCACTGCAAGCAAATACTACAAAGTGGCCAAGTTCCCAACAAGAAACATCAAAACGCCCATCGTGCTAGTCTATGGAGGCAGCGATAGCTTGGTGGACATCAAGTTGATGTTGAAGGAGCTACCAAGACATACAATTGCGAAGTGCGTACCCAAGTACGAGCACCTGGACTTGCTCTGGGCAAATGATGTCGACAAGCTCGTCTTTCCTCATGTCCTTGAAGCGCTCGAAAGCTATTCTCAGCCATCGCAAACTAAGCGGGAGGCGCTAGGTTGGAAACCTACGATGCGCCTCAGTCGGCAAATCATGTATGATTCCACAGACGGCGCAACACCGAATGGCTCACAGCCACCTGGATATTCGGAGGACGAGCAAGCCGGGAGATATACGGCCACTGGCGTATCACTCGACTACGAACGACCCTCGACTGCCGAAGAGCAACTTGATGAAAGCGACGATGATGCAGACTGGGGAGACAACGATACCGCTGACCAGCCTACCCTGGCACCGTCTCCGTTTGCTCACTCCTCCCGCCCGCCTCTCTCCAATACCAGTTCCCTGACTACTGGCATCCCATCTTCTGTACGTGCTGCCTCGCGATCCACACCCCAAACGACATTGACCTTACATCAGCGTAGAACGCAGCAGACCGATACAGAACGCAGAGATGACAGTAGTACTACTCTCAGAGCTCGGCATGTTGAGAGCGAGGTCCTTGAATCGCCAGTAGATCCAGCAAGTATGCAGCCACCGCCCGACTCCCCGATGGTTTCCACAAGTACCCAGACGGATCAAACGGTCATGCGATCACGTCCGGAAGGGTGGTGGAGCTCGACTAGTTCTTCCACAACCAGCTTATTGCCTGATTTTCCAACCTTGGACCGTGGGTGATCGTTTCCGGGGCAGGAAATGGTTGTATACAGCTGGTTCCTTCCCCCGATCAGCATTCTGTTTACATGCGAAGCACGATGTATGCGGTTTCCGAAATCCTCCCAGGCAAGTAGGGCATTCTGGAAACTCATGGCCGGTTGAACAGGGGTTTGAACAATGAGGACTGTGTAGATACACGACGAACGAGCGCCACTGGTGCCGTCCCCCAATTCTATACCTCAAAGTGGACAAGTACCTTTAGTGATGATCAGTGTTTATCCATGACTTTGCTATCAGATAAGCGGTGTTTGTTGGGAATCTACTGTTTCGTGGGAGCACCATTTCTGCTGGTAGGTGGAAGACAGCGCTGCTTTCCCGGTCCACGATGATTTGAACTATGCATGGGCTTTCTTCTGCAATAGATGCGACTTTTCAAGTCCGATAGCGAGCCAATTGGTGGTAGTGTTGGTTCCCTTGTGTCTGCTGGGAGACCGCGTCTCTTTCTTCCGGGTCCTTGTTCGTCGACTGAAAGATTTTCTTGAACGATTTTTGGTATATGGACTGCGATTTTGACATTTCTATTGCCGAGTTCAGCGTATTAGAAAGAATTGCGCTTTGTGTGCTTTTGTGAGTGAGTGGTGCTGTTGGAGTTGGTAAGTCCACCTTCACGAGCGTCGGAATGCTGTGTATGTATGCGAATTACATGATGGGATGGCTCTGGTTGATTAGATCGACATCTCGACTACAGGAACTGATGTTGGGTGCCGTACGCAAAGTCAGATGGCATATTGAGGAAGGCGTTCACCTGTGCTCTCTTCGAGCAAGAGATAGCCAGAAGTTGGACGCATTCTGGAAGCGTTATTGGCTCCTTTGCTTACTCTATCAACATTGCATCGTTGCCTTGGATCTTGCTGCTAGGATGTGAAGGAAGACATATCTTGTTGCACTGTTTGCGTGCGTGTATGCATACAGTGATTCTGTTTCACTGGGGACAAAGATAGCGCTTGAATCACTCTGCGGCACGTGCGTGGCTATCCGTGCTCGACTGCACTACCTAACCATCCCAGACGTCGCGATCTCCATGCAGACTTAACCCCCAACATCATCATTCGCCCTCAAAATGGGTTCATCAGTGAGGCTGGACGAGATAGGAACCAAACTGCATCCTCAGGATGTAACCTTCCACAAAGAGACCGTGGCCGACCTCTTGCGACGGCCGAACCTTCATTTCCCGGGAGCGCAACCTGTATCTTTCGCTCGCAAACACCTTAACGAACTCGAGCGCACCGACTACTTCGTCGCCGAGAAGACCGACGGCATAAGATGTCTACTTTACCTCTCACAATTGACAGGCGAGGACGGAGCAACGAACGAGGCACAGTTCCTCATTGATCGCAGAAATGACTACTACTATATACCTCCTGGCTATCTCCATATCCCACCTCCAGGCCGAAACAAACCATTTGAGATTTCATCTTGGCATATCGGTACGGTTCTCGACGGCGAGCTCGTGAGTCAGCGCTTCCCCGACGGGCGCGAGCAGAAGACATACCTCATCTTCGATTGCCTTGCTATGGACACAAGATGCGTCATGGAGGGAGACTATGGTTCACGATTGTGGAAAGCAGAGAATCTGGTATACAGGCCGTGGAAAGCATTTGCGCAAGAGTGGCCGGGAGAAGCCAAGGTTCAGCCCTTCCAGCTATCGATGAAGAAGCCACAACTCCCATACGGCATCATGATGATGTTCAAAGAGGTCATACCCAAGCTTCCACATGGCAACGACGGCTTGATTTTCACATGCAAAGGTACGCCCTATGTGGCCGGTACCGATCAGCATATCCTCAAGTGGAAGCCACCGCACGAGAACACGATCGATTTCAGACTGCGCTTAGGTGCATTCCCCATGGAAGAAGACGCAGACGGCATGTATGAGGACTTTGACCAGAAACCCGAAATCGAACTTCTCGTTTCCCATGGGCACAAAGATCATCGCAAGTTCGCCAACCTGCATCTTACCGACGACGAATGGGAAGCTATGAAGGGCATGAATCAGATGTTCGACGGTCGCATCATCGAATGCTACCGCGAAGCGCATACCGGTCATTGGCGGCCCAAACTCGATGGCAGAGTGCCGCGTTTCCGGGACGACAAGGACTCCGCCAACCATATCACCACTGTGGACAGTGTTCTCGAGAGTATAGAAGACGCCGTTTCCGAGCAGGATCTGATTGATGCAGCTCAATCCATTAGGACTGCTTGGAAGGAGAGAGAACGCAAGCAGAAGGAGCTGCAGAAGGAGCAGCAGGCGCAGCAGCAGGCGCAGCAGCAGGCGCAACAGCAGGCGCAACAGCAGGCGCAGCAGCAGCCGGCACAGCGTGCTCAGGTCAAACAAGAAGCGAAGCAAGAGGTCAAGCAGGAGGTCAAGCAAGAAGACGACGACGGGCCCGGCTATGATGATTGATTGTGAGGGCGAAGCCACAGTCGTTTGAATTGGGGGGTGATCGGTCATTGGCAAGGTGGGCGTTTAGGAAAATAAAGATTTAGCGCGAGATACCCATCATTTGGAGCTCTAGGTACTGTTGTAAATCCCAGAAAAGAGGCACATCATTGTCATCGTATGAGTCTTCTCCAATAGGTGCCCATGTTGAACTTGATATGTACACATGCATTGATCCGCTCGCGCCGGGCTTTACAGACCACACTACATGACAAAGGAAACGTTTGGCCGCCCTTCTCCTACTGCTCTATTGTCCCGGGGAGATGAGCATTCCCTTCTTCGTTGCGTCATGCTCCCATCCACCTGCCAACGCCTCGCCACCTGCCAGCTTAGAATGCTTGGCTATCCTCGCCTCCAATTCAGGTCGGAAATGCCTGATCAAACCCTGAATGGGCCATGCGAAGGCCTCGCCCAGAGCGCAAATAGTGTGCCCCTCAACCTGCTTGGTGATCTCCTGCATCATGTCGATCTCGCGTTCTCGTGCTTGGCCCTTCTCAAATCGCTTCATGATCTGATCAGTCCACTTGGAACCTTCACGGCACGGTGTGCATTGGCCGCAAGATTCGTGGTGGTAGAACTTGGAAAGACGGGAGATGGCGCGGACGACGTCTGTTGACTGGTCCATGACAATGACAGCGGCAGTTCCAAGACCGGATTGACTGTCCTTTAGAGCATCAAAGTCCATGAGTTGGTCATCGCAGATCTTCTTCGGTAGGATTGGAGTGGATGAACCACCAGGGATGATAGCCTTGAGGTTGTCCCAGCCGCCAGTGACACCGCCGCAGTGTTTGTCGATGAGCTCTCGCAGAGGAATAGACATCTCTTCTTCCACCGTGCATGGGTTGTTGACGTGACCGGAGATACAAAAGAGCTTAGTACCGGAGTTCCTCTCGCGACCAAACGAGTTGAACCATGAACCGCCTCTCCTCACAATGGTGGGCGCGACAGCGATGGTCTCAACGTTGGCTACGGTGGATGGGCATCCGAAAAGACCGACGGCAGCAGGGAATGGTGGCTTTAGACGCGGCTTGCCAGGCTTGCCCTCGAGAGATTCGATAAGTGAAGTTTCCTCGCCGCAGACGTATGCGCCCATTCCACGGTGAAGGAAGACATCATAGTCGTAGCCAGAGCCGCAGGCATTCTTGCCAAGGAATCCAGCCTGGTAAGCCTCCTGAATTGCTCGCTGCAAAACCGTCGCTTCATGATAGAACTCGCCACGGATATAGATGTATGCCGCAGTGCACTGCAACTATGTGTCAGTCTCGATTCTGTGTCCAATGCCTCGAGTCTTAACATACGTTCATCGCGCGTCCGGCAACCAAGCATCCCTCGATCAGCTTGTGTGGGTCCTTACGCATGATTTCCCTGTCTTTACATGTACCAGGTTCGCCTTCGTCGGCATTGACGACAAGATATCTGGGCTTGGTGTCCTCGTCCCATCCCTTGAAGTTCATGAAACTCCACTTCATACCAGACGGGAAGCCGGCACCACCACGACCTCTCAGACCGGAGGCCTTGATCTCCGAGATAATCCATTCATGACCTTTGTCAAGTATCTCCTTCGTCTTGTACCAATCGCCATACTTCATCGCACTCTTAAGATCAGCTCCGTGGTGGCCGTACAAGTTGGTGAAGATGCGGTCCTGATCCTTCAAACCGCCGTGTCGGTGGACTGGCGGAGCATCCTGGACAGTGGCCATTCCCCGCTTCTGCTGGCCATCCTGCGAGACTGCCTGGGCGGGTGTGGTGGTAGAGAGGGCGCGGACGGCAGTCTTGGGCAGGGAGGTGGTGGCGCTTGAGCGCAGCGCCGTCTTGCCGGACAACATCGTGAACGTCGGCGACAGCTGTCAGGTATGAATTGGTGTTTGTGCGGCTTCTTCGCCTGGGCACTGATGGCACTGATACGCTTGAAGCGCGTGTGTGTTGTCGAAGTGAAGTGGTGGCGGCGAAGGGTAGTGCGAGTCTACGGCATCATCGAGAGTCGTTCCTTCCCGCTTGAAGAGCTCAGACTAGTCAGCAGCTCTCTCATTGGCCCGGGTCAAAGCACGCCAAGAGATCGGGCTAACGATGGTGCAGAAAGTCAATCTCACCTCCTCCCCGTCTCGTCTCCTTCACTCGTACGATGAGAAAGTATATTCACCTTCGATACAATGTACATCGTTTGAATCCTGCATGTCCTGCCAGTATGGTAGACGAGACGAAATGGCTATGACATGGCTATGAGCCCTACTCCCGCCCTTTATTGGTGCATCTTCAATGCGGAAAGAAGCACAGAGTTGTCCAGGTCGCAGGCCTACTTTCACGGAAACAGTCCGTATGCTCTTGCTTGAACACGTAGGGAACTCGCAGCCTTCATCTCAATGGCTATCACTTCGTTGCTTCCCCGTGCGGCGATCAGATGTGCTTCTTTCCTCACTTTGTGGAAGGTGCTTTCATTCTCACTCTGAAGTCATGTTCTCCCTCCCTTTTCTTGTCCCAAATCTTTACCTATCCACACGACCATCCAGATCAAGGCAACAGAGGGTGCTCGCGATCCACCGGCTCCCTGCTCAAACACACATCCTGCTCTGCCACTCAACAATTGAAGACGCACCAAAGGAACGTCGATGGCTTTTGACGACTACCAGCTATAGGCTTCCATAGAAGCAGAAGTTGAAAGGCATGCAAGTGACAAATTCACTCTACTGCGTTGGTATGTTCCGGATATGGTCAAGGACCTGGAACCTTCAAGTAATTTCTCAATTGCTTAATATTAATATCGCATGCTGACTTGCAGCGACGGGAAACGAAGATTCACATGCAACGCCCGATCCTGACACTGGTCTACTAGACCACTTCGGCTTCGCAGAGGTACGCATATGCATCCGCTGTTACGCATGAACTCCTTCACCGAATCTCGGCGCTAACACTTCCATCAACGATTATCTAGACCGAGCTTAACTTCAACACACAAAAGTCGTACTCTTTGTTGAACGGCTTCATACTTCACAGCAGCAATATGGCAGGTCACGGCGAGTCATCAACCGCGGCTAGTTCAAGCACACCGTCTGCCCTGGGAGAGGTCGGCTTGGTCGACCCGGCCAACTCTGAGCGCAAGTTTTATCGTGATAAGGAGACCGGGCTACAACGCGAAATTTGGCGGCCAGGTTGGTGTAGACAAGTGCCCACTCGGGTCATCATGTTCCTAACACACGTGCAGGCGATGGAGACGGCGAGCAGACGACCGACTACTTCGAACGCATAGGACCTCCTTTACCTATTGAAAAGCGCTGGCGACTGTTCCAAAGCGACATTGGTCCTATTACTGCCAAGAACCAGCCCCCTCGTTTTGTGATCCTAGACGACCGCGCCGCTTTCGAAGTCCTCAAATCCGATATTCAGCGCGCGAAACTGGTGCACCACTGGCCACATGATTTTGGAGGTACTGGGAAACTTCGAATTCGGCGTCCCCACCGTGGTCGCGCTGCTATCAAGGACCCAAGTGCTGAAGGAGATGCGAAGTTCGAAAGTACACAGCCTGGCAACAAGAAGGATTATTACTTCACCGGAGTGAAAGATTTCCAATCCATCAAGTACCGATACGAGCCACCGAAGCCCGAAGAGAAGCGCAAGAAGCGCAAGCCTTCCCGCGATGAAGAAGACTACAATCCTAGAGGCCACGGCCACAATCAGTACACACCGAAGGATATGCTGGTAAAGCACGGGGCTCCGAGCTTCAGCTTGAAAGAGCCCCAAGCGCCTCGCCTCAGCGGTCTCATGCGTCGGAAGCCTGAGCCACGACATATCCGGAATCGAGCAATTGCGGAGAATGCACATTTCTCTGTACAACGTGAGGCTCTCCGACGTCAAGGAGACGCAGAGCCTCCTCAAGCACGAGAAGAGCACAAGGAGCGGCGCAGACTGAGGGAGCAGGATGCAGACTACAGGGATGTGGGATTGGCGCTTGGTTTCGCATCCTTTCCAGACGACGGCGAGGAGTCTGACGAGCCTGTGCCTTTTCGCCGCCCGGATTCAAAACCCGTGAGAGATGACACGCCCGACTTCTCCGTCTCCCAGTCGGAACTTCAGATACCTCGAAAAATGGGCTTCATCGAGCGTCGCGCATTCGAGCAGAAACTCGCGGAACAGACAATCGCAAGTATAGCTACGAACGAGGATGTCACTCGGATTGCCAACGAACTCGCACAGGCCAATGTCAAGTTGCAGCAGCAAGCCGAACAGATTGAGCGGCTAACGGCGGAGCTCGAGGAAGCGCAGACCGTAGACAGTGCTTGGCAAGTCGAAGCTGAAGCCGCTCAAGACCGCGTAGCTGAGTTGGAGGCGAGGAATGCCGAGCTTGAGAAGCAGCTCGAAGCTCGGGATGGCCTCCTCGAGGCTGTGCAGGAGGATGCGCGGGTGGAAATATAATATGGTAGCTTTGCGTCAGTTTGAGGCTCGCACGACCGTGCTTCTCTATGAACCACAAGCCATCAGTGAGCAAGATCACATAGCCCGTCTAGTATAAATCAGTCACATGGCAGTGTAAGGCGAACATTGACTGTTTATTGCTTTGATTGAGGTCGGCAGATCCACGTAAAAGTTTGATGCTACAAAGCAGTAATTCTAGTTTCATCGGGTATCATACAAGAGTACACCATCTAAACGCCGCCGTTCTGTCTTGCCGTCTAGCGTCTCCGCCATGCTGATTGTGCCATACAATACATATCCGTAGCCTCATGGTACAACTCAATCCGGGCTGTACTTGCTCATCTTCCTAATCTTCTCTCCATAGATAAAGAAAAGGATCGGCACCGGGAACAGAGCGACACACAGAAAGGCGAGCAAGCTCATGGCCCACGGCACGCCGAGATTGTGGAACATGGGCGTGGCAAACATCGGGAACCCGGCTCCCACCCAGGACCGGAAGAACGTGTTGGCCGCAATGGCGCTATTGGCGTTGATCTTGTACACGTCGATAATGTAGTTCAGCCCTTGCAGGAAAATCATCATCAGGCCGGCGCCCGCGGGCACGCACGCGATGATTTGCGGCCACGGACTGATCGTCGGGTAGGAAGTCCAGGCGAACCAGAAGAGTCCAATGGGGAGAAGACCGCCTCCGATGATCATGGGGATGAGACGCTCTTCGGGGATCACCGTCTGAGTCTCGCGCATGATGCGGGCGAAGCGGGTTTTGGTGATGACGGAGATGATGATACAGCCGCAGAGCACGCCGATGAGGATGCCGAGGAAGGGCAAGGCCCCGACGCCTAGGTTCCAGCCTCGTTCTTCCTGGAAGGAAATGGGGAAGACTTCGAAGAAGCCGTAGATGATGCCGTAGATGAGGGACATGTAGAGTGTTACGAGGACGAGGATGGGCTCCATCACAAGCATTTTGAAGGGCCGGAGGAGGTATTTGTCCGCGATCTCTTGGAAGTCGACTTCTTTCTCGTCCAGTGGAGCATGGATCGCCCAGTTGCGAGTCTGGTAGCGTAGCTTTTTCGCTTTGCGCTGCAGCAGTACAGGTGCATAAGTCTCCGGAATGACGAAGAAGCCGATCGTACCCATCAAGACGGCCATGATCAACTGGATCCACTGCGTCCATCGCCAGCCAAGATAGCTCATGGTGATGAAGCCTCCCAAGATGGGACCGAGGGTAGGCCCGATGAATGTTGCAGCGCAGAAGATGGCCATTGCAACACCACGGTTCACGGGATCGAAGAAATCTGCCAAAGATCCTCCAACGGTGGCCAATGGTGCGGATGCGAAGAACCCGCCAAAGAATCGACACACCATGATCGTTTGAAGGTTCTGAGCCACCGCCACCGGGATCGTGAAGATGGCAAAGACTATGTATCCGGCGAACAGCGGAAGCTTTCGACCATAAAGCTCAGAGAGCGGTCCCCAGACTATAGGCCCAAAGGCGAAACCTTTTGGGGAAGAATGTCAGTCCATGTTTTGATTGCAGGCTGAGAAAATTGAAGAGGAAGGGGATAGCTCATCGTACCTAACACGAACAGCGCCACTGCCAGAATCATGACTTCCGAGCTGACACCGAATTGTTGTGCTGTCACGTCCGTCGCAGCGCTGAAGACCGATGAGGCGAAAGTGACGACGAATGTCATCAAGCCCATACTCGTTGCGATGCCCCATTTCCTGACCGGTGTCCAATTGTAGGGATTCTGTTTGTCATCGGGTCCATCCCAGTCCACGACGTTTGGATCTCCTTCCTCTTTCTCTTCACCAGTAGAGGGCTGCTGGGTTTGCTGTTGCTTCTCAACGTCGACATCTCGGTTGTCGTCGGAGGCGGATGAGGCCTCAATGTCTTTGACGCCGCTTTGTTTCCTCTCCAGACTGCTCTCGGATTGCTCTGAATGTGGTCGATGACCTTCTTGGAAACGTCCAGCGCCTGAGCCGGTTGTGGCAGACATGTGATCTGGTGAGTCCTTCGACTCCAGGAGAATTGCCTATTGTACCCAAGGTATCCAGCTATTTCAATTCTTGCTTTGCGGAAATTGGCCCCGCTCCGAAAGTCGCTGCGAACAGGCCGCTTTGTGTTAGAAGGAGAAAGAGTCCAAAGAGAAAGAGTCAAAAACAAAAGGTCGGGAGCGCGAACCTACCTCAGATCTTAAGGAACACTAGCAGTCTCCAATGACCATTACGTATTGCCAGTCGGGTGTTACATGAAGTGCCAGAATCACGGTGCCGAAGCCGACACCCGACTGAGGTAAAGTGTAGTGACGACACCATTTGCTTGCAAATCAGAGATCGACGCCGCTAGCACTTCTGGTAGTCTGCTAGAGCCCTTTGTCTCTAACAAGGAGAAAGCTCCTCTGCCAATCACGCGTTGGTCAGGTCCTCGTGAGCCCTTCTATATTTTGTTGTCTTCGCATGTTGCTTTTCATCTGTCGTCTGCTCATCATCTGAGCCCTTGAAGTGCAAGATGGCCTTGGCGTAAATCGCTTTCCCAGAGTCCACGGTTTGGAGGGCGTCACAGCTCGATGCGGTGACCAATGCTAAATCTGTCTGCTTTGCGCATGGACAAGCTGATGATTCTCCAACCCTTGGAAGATTCATTCCAGATTGATATCGGGGTCTGGCGATGACGTTGGTGTCTGCTCAAGTTTAGCTTCAGCCTCATAACTCAATGCAATACCCGCATAGCCGAGTGTGTCAATTATTAGTTCTCTTCTGTCATGGCGATGAAGGGTTCTGCAACGGCCGCGGAATCACAAGAATCCATTCTTTTCCAACGGTGACAAAGGCAGGCTGACCAAGGCAGGCTAATAGCTACCGCGCAGTGGCATTGCGGATGGATCATCTTCGGTTCATGAATATTCATGGCAACGTCCATGAGAACACAAGCGATGGCGCTATAGTGGTAGGTCTGTATTGTCAAAGTTGTTGTTATTGTCAAAGTTGTTGTATGTTTGGTCTGGAGAATGCGAAAGTTGAAGTCGACGTTGCGAATCGCAGCGAGCGGGACAAGCACGGACTCCCGCAAACTTTAGGCAGGTCTGCCGGCTGGCATGTGAACATGGCTACAATCACTTCGCTAGCTTCTGTGCTTGGCAGTGAGAATACGCATAGATACGGTCTCTGACTTGTTCTAATGATAGATCAAAAAATGAAACGAATGTGTTTTTGCAAAGTGTCACCTAGAGTCTACTACTATATTTCTTTCGACAGCGGAACTGCTTCCAAGCCAGCCAGCAAGCAAACTTTGTCAGCTTCAACTTCAAGCCCTTCAACAAAAGACACACACGCAACAATCCTCGCCAACTTGAAAGCCAGCGCATCGACTCATCTCCCGCTTCCATCAGCACCATGAAACTCTCGCACACTGTAGCGACCGCGCCACTGCCCACCTACCGTAGCCGCCGTCTATGATCAACCTCCCAGAAGATACGCTGCAGGAAATGACCGAAGCCATCATGAGTTTCTCAAACTCCTCCAGCCCGGCGCCACCTCAGTCGCAGCCGCATCCTGACGACAACATCGATCCACGCCTGCTCCAATCAGCCCAAAGCAATGACCCATCTATGACTGCCGCCGTCGACTCCTCGCAACCTCCAGACCCGCAGAAAGGCAAAGCCGGCGGAGCCATAATCTTCGCGCCCATCAAAACACCCACCAACCCGCCACCACTGGGAAGGATGAATTCGGAGAGGCTCGAAGGTCTTCTACCTGGCATTTCGGGATATCTCCCAGAACAGCAAGGGGCTCACATGAGCTCGGGCGAGACTTCAGCTCGTTATCGAGCTGGAAGGGGCTCTTCGCCTTCATCCGACGGCAGCAATGGCAAGTTCCAGAGGGCGAAGACTGTGCGCGTCGTATCACCGGGCCAGAATCCACAGCGCCTCTGGGAGGAAAAACAGAAGCAAGAAGCAGCGCAACGGGACGCAGAGCTGTGCGCGCAGGAGGAGAGAGACGAGACACAGTACGAGATTGATGGAGGAGACAAGGGCTGAGAGTTGACAGGCAAAACGTAAGCAAGCAAGGCTGAAATAGGAATGAGCAATGCGCAATGGGATCATGATGGACGGTCGAAAAGAAGAATCAACAGTAGGACTCAAGAAGCACATAGCAATGTATGATAGATACGGAAGAATCGGACTCACTCTATTTACACCCCTAGTGTCGTCGTGACCTAGGATCACTGGCTTCTTGTCGTCGGAAGTCTCGTCTTTCCTTCGTGCGCAAGCTTCCTCCGCCTCCTTCACTCCTTCGCTCCCATCCACCAAGTCTAACGACCAAGGCGGTTGCATTATCGGCATCCTGAGAGGTCTCGACCGCGAAACTCACCAGGTCCTGAGCAGCCAACTCCGGAGTCTTTGCCTCTTTGACGATGTCGACTATTTCTTGGTCTTCCAGATGCCCAGAGACGCCATCAGAGACCAGAACAAGAAAGGCGTAGCCAGCCGGCGGAATTTGGACAGTCGTGAGCTGTGGCTCAGCGGACACCCCGATGCGCTTGCTGCCAATGTCGCCAAACGCTCGAGTATTTGCTAGTCCGAGCACTCGTTCTTCACCAAAGCTGTCCGTGACGAAAGAAGCAGCGTACCTACGCATTCGCCTCTGCTCGGTAGGTAAGGAAGGGTGATGGTCGGCGGTAAGTGGCACAGCTGCACCATTTGAGGTTCGGCACAGCAGGATTCGCGTGTCGCCAACGTGTGCAATGACCATGGTGCTAGGGCTGTTGGGATGCCAGAACGGAGTGGGAGTAGGCGTGGAGACTAAGGCGATAGAGGCCGTGGAGCCTCCCTTGAAGCGTGTGCTGCCTCCGATCGGACTGTCTAAATCAGGGGAAGAACCTTTTGAAGGAGGTCTCTTGCTGAGGTTCTGGGAAGCAGGCCGCTCGGGATGGAAGAGCATGTCACCCTCATTAAGAGGTTTGTCGTCCAGGACCGGGTCGTTCATAGAAGACGGTGTACCGGTGTCGCCCTCAGCTCCAGCGTTGTGTTTTGTCGCTTGTGCGGTAGTGAAGTCCAGATCAGCCTTCAGGAAGGCATACGTCAGAACTGTCTCAATTGATTTGGCATCTTGCGTTGCAGACTCTGAGTGGTCCCTAGCTATGGCTGGGAAGTGTTCAGGGCGGAATCGCTTGAAGTAGCCCCCAACGGTATCCTTCCAGGAGCTGACCAGATCTCTTTGCAAATCTCCTGGATCATGCTCACCCATGGTATCTCCGCTCGAGTTCGGTCCATCTACGCCCCCATTTCCCGCCCGCAGAGTACTCTCCATGCCAAAGAGCAACGCAGCTTCCTCAATATAGCCATGCAGTCTATCTCTGAGGAATTCCGCACATTCGCTCCCTCCATGGCCGTCGAAGACACCGAAGTAGAAGACCTGCGGATCGCCAGTGTCCCGCGTAGATCCAACATTTTGAACTGTATGGGGCCGACGGCTGACGCTCACGGGCTGTCTCTGTGCAAACGCTGGTATCTCGACAGTCCCAGCCTGATAGGCGTCCTCGTTGTACGGCCTACTTCCTCTGCTGTTGAGCGCCCCAAAGTGATGCTTGGCGCGTTTCAGCGGTATTCTCACTATAGTGGTGTCTCGGTTGACACTGGGCAGCTGATTGCTACGACCCGTCGGGCCCGAGTGCGGAGAGGAGTCGGATCGAGGGAGTTTGTGGTGCGATGGATGATTGCGATCGGGTGCCATGGAGGACGAGGGCAGATGGGTTACGAAGTAGTCGTGAAACTCTCTACGCTGAGAGAGGTGAGGGGTCGTGTGAGAGGTCGGGTGTATCTCTTGGAGGACGGCTCGCAGTGCATGGTGAATGCTGTACGGCCGACCGTGATGTCTCATTGTCCTTTGGTAGCAAGGGTGTCTAGGGGCGATATGGCGCTCCAGGCGCAAAGCAATGGAAAAGGCTACAGCATGACGAGAGATGGATAGCAGAGCAGACGTCAGTGCTGCTGTGGACCGCGGATGTGAGAGGCGTAGTTACGTTACGTTACGCAGAAGTGGAGGTGCTGTTGGAGAACCTGGAAGACGGGACGGGTCGTGCTCGTGGTCGGTGGTCGGCTGTCGGAGCAACGGGAATCCGGCCAAGCTGCCACGTGAGCCGGCTCCACCCCATTTCCATCTGTGATTCTACCCTGCCTTTCACTTCAATTTCCTCTCTCCATTCACCTCCCCACCAGTCTTTCACATGCTAGCGCCAGCGAAGTCGATCCACATAATTACTCCATCGATAGCCGATCAATGTTTGCTGCCTCTCACCCACAGAATCACAGATCCACGATTCCTCAACATTGTTCGCGGCACATGATGCTTGCAATTGGAAAAAGATTATGTTGCATATAGTCGCACGGAGCCCGCTTCTCTTCGCCGTGCTGTAGCCTTCGAGTGTAGCACCCTCTGGCCTCGTTCCAGCAAGCCATGGACAGCCAACGGACACCCCACACAGGTTGCTGTGAGAGGCGGTTCAGTGGTGCAGCCAGAACGTCGGACCTTCTGTGCAACCAGCACTTCTGAAACACATCAGCTCTGGTGGTTCAGCTCTCCTCCATGGACTCGGGCGATGAAACTCGCTCGCACACGCAAGAGTTCAAATACTACTGATGAGAATGTTCCTTTGCTTCCAGTATCCCTCGGGTGAAGGCCGCGGGGCGGTACCACCTATTTGTTTGTTGCGTTCGCCTAAGACATTCTTCCGCAAGTGACCTCCGCTGCTTCGTCACTTCTGACCTCCTTCCACATCCAGACGGCTCTCGCTTCCTTCACCACACAAAACCACCCGGAGCGCCCCCGACACCCCTTCTTCACCAGCGCAACAAAACCTACACCCACACACCCCCGTTTCTGCTTTCTACCTCTTGCAATCGCAGCAACTCGCTCGCTCGCTCATCCACGGTCTCTCATCAAATCCGTCAAGATGCAACTCTTCAGCGCCCTGGTCGGCGCCGCCGTTCTCCTTGCAACCCAGGTGACTGCCCGTAAGTGCAGCTAAGGCAGAACAGCCGTTTACACTTCCAGCTAATCAGCAATCGCGACAGACATGCAGCTCGACTATCCCGCGCCCTTCAACGCCTCAAAAAACGCCTATCGCAAGACTGCGGCAGATCCATATCTACAATACCCGTACGATTGCTGCGGCCCGAACGACCGCTGGCAATACCCTTGCCGCGGCTATCACAAGCTTCTAGGCACTCCGCAAGGCGCTCCAACGGCCACCTGGGTTGCAGGTAGTACCGCCAACTTCAATATCAGCGGCATCGGTAATCATTTCGGCGGTTCCTGCCAAGTTGGCTTCTCCACTGATGATGGCGACACGTTCCGAGTCGCTACTTCTTACGAGGGCAACTGCCCTCACCGCGACAACGGAGACGGCCCCGATGGCCAAGACTTCACATTCGCTGTTCCGAAGGACATCGACACTGGCGTTCAGCTCTTTGCGTGGATCTGGTACAACCGAGAGCAGGAGATGAACATGAACTGTGCGGCTGTAAGTAAGAGCCTACGGGCCTGTTGTATGGCATTCGGAGACCTACTGATATCCTTTTGCAGGTCAAGATTGTCGCTCCCACCAATGCGGCCTCCAACCCGACGGCCTCAAATACTGCTACCGCCTCACCACCGGAAGCATCCACTCAAACGTATCAGACTGTAAATGGCTGCACCTGTCATTGTGAATCACCTGTCAACATCACCACGTGCTCATGCGCGGACTGCAAGGGCCCATCGAGCAAGAGCCGCGACGTCGCTTTCAACAGTCGTCCACTCATGTTTGTGGCAGACAATGGCAACGATTGCTTAACTCCACACACCACAGCGGAGCTCAAGTATCCTGATCCGGGCCCAGATGTCGTCACTGGAGATGGTGCCTATCCTCTGGAGCCACCTACAGGAGCCTGTACGCCAGAGGAGCAATTGGCCAAGCAGGCGTATGACGGAAATACCGGGAACGACGGACACATGGGCGCGTAGGTTGCTTTCGACGATGGAATGGGATCTTTCCTGCGTTCACCAAAATGCCGCTGTAAAATTGGGCCGTGAGTGCCCCGCGAGACTGTCTTTTCGCGTTTGAAGATTCACTTGGAGCTGCACTAGCCTCAACTGTGGAGCCAGAACTTTCAGCCAGAAATAAGCTCCGATTCACCTCGGGTTGATCCCCACTTCTAGATACCTCACGCACGTATCTCCCACATAATGGTCGTCAGATTGACAGTAGTGTCGCGTGGCAAACTCGACTTCTTGATACCAGATCAGTCTTGTGGGAAAGCTAGTCTCACTCGTCTTTCATCAGTTCGCTCTGCTTTCTCACGAAGATAGCTACCTGTTCTCACATATACAGCGATTAGACAAATCGACAGTACAGTATGGCAATCAAGCACGACGCTCCTGAGCGCAACAATCTCCACGGCCACGACACTTCCTCTTCCGAAGTTCGAAACAACCCTACCGCCGAACGAGATGGCTATCTCATACCCGAGCACGACGAATCAGGCTACCGGATCCGCGAACAACCCTACGGCACCAAACGTCAAGTCAAAGTGATTCTCATGGGCGCCGGTGCTTCTACCCTCAACTTTCTCAAAAAAGCAGAAGAACAGATGACCAATCTCGACATTACGGTATACGAGAAGAACCACGATATAGGAGGTACCTGGTTAGAGAATAGGTATCCCGGCTGCGCGTGTGATATTCCCTCTGTGAATTATCAGTTCAGTTGGGCGATTAAATTGTGGACGCATTTTTACAGTTCTAGTCCGGAGATCTGGGAGTATTTGAAAGGATTGTATGAGAAGGATGGGTTGACGAAGAAGTACGTGAAGCTACGGCATCAAATTGAGCGGGCTGAATGGGATGAGCGAGCTGGGCAATGGGTGTTGTTGGTGAAAGATTTGGTTTCTGGGGAGGTATTGGAGGATCGGGCGGAGTTCTTTATCAACGCCGGTACACAGACCGACGGCCGAGGCCAAACTGTCGTATTCTGGATGGAGAGCTAATGTTGGCAGGTGGTGTGCTCAACAACTTCAAGTGGCCCCATGTGGAGGGCATCGAAGACTTCCAGGGGAAGCTGATGCATTCTGCAGCTTATGAGGAAGGATACGATTTGAAAGACAAGAAAGTAGCAGTCCTCGGTGCTGGAAGTTCAGGCGTACAGATCGTCTCGAAGATTCAACTCGAGGTCAAACAGCTCTATCACTGGATCCGCTCACCCATCTGGATCACGGCGGGGTTTGCTCAGACTTGGGCTGGCGCTGACGGAGCGAACTTTGCATATACGCCGGAGCAGCTGCAGTATCTGGAGCAGCATCCAAAGAAATATATGGAATACCGGAAGCAAGTGGAAAATGAACTGAATCAGAGGTTCAAGTTCATCATCAAGGGAAGCAAAGAAGCAAGCGACGCGCGGAACTTCGCGTATGATCAGATGGCTCGCAAACTCCAGGGTGACGCCCGTCTCTGCGACAAGATCATTCCCAAGGATTTCAATCCCGGCTGCCGTCGTCCAACTCCTGCGCCCGGCTATCTCGAGGCTCTCGTGGCCCCGAATGCCACCATCTTCACCGAGGCCGTGAAGAAGTTCACACCCTCCGGCTTCATAGACCAGGAAGGCAACGAGCACGAAGTCGATGTCGTGATCACAGCAACAGGCTTCGACACATCATGGCTCCCACGCTTCCCCTTCCTCGCCCACGGCGTAGACCTCCGAGACATCTGGACCCCAGAAGCCGGCGTCACATCCTACCTCTCCATTGCAATCCCCACCTTTCCCAACCACTTTTCCTTCTGTGGCCCATACGGTCCCCTCGGACACGGCTCCTTCATGCCCCTCATCGAACGCTGGACCCAATATATATTCGACGTCATCACGAAAGCACAGGTCGAAAATATCAAGTCTTTCACTCCCAGAATGAAGCCTGCCGCCATGTTCCGTCAGCATGCCGATCTCTTCTTGCAGCGGACCGCGTGGACGAGCCCTTGTGCGAGTTGGTTCAAGCAGGGGAAGAAAGACGGCCAGGCGGGGATTTATCCGGGCAGTCGATTGCACTTCTTGCATCTGATGGAGAGGCCTAGGTACGAAGATTACGAGATTGAAACTTGGGACGATAACGTCTTTGCATTCCTGGGCAATGGTGAGTTCCAGCATGATGTTTCATAATGTGGATTGGAGAGCTTTCGTTGACGTTCTGGGGCGCATAGGCTTCGATACCCGTGAGTTTGATGGAAGGGATATCACGAATTGTGAGTGCAAGTTCATTTCCGTTATCCAGTCTCTACCGCATGGCTCTCGGCTGACCAGAGCTCTTAGATCTTGGCAATATCGATGAAGAAGGCGAAGATGTGCAGCCAGTCTATGGCGAAGAGTTGATGAACAAGATGGCGGGTTGGGCGGTTGGAAAATGATGCTTCTTGTTATAGCTGCGGACAGTGATGCAAAGTCGGTGTGTGTCTCGCGTGCTCTTCTCCCTATCTCTCGCGAGTCGCGCTTGCGTGGTTGAAGTGTTTGGTTATGGGGTTGTAAAGGCAAAAGACAACAGGTCTCTGTGTCGACCTCCTTGTTGCTTATGTCGTCTCCAACGCTCTCCAACGCGCTTCACGGAAGCTCGAGACATACGAGGCATTCCGAACACGTCCAACCATGGTCGGACGTGGTCGGTGTATGTTCTTAACCATTGGGACTTCCTGGTGGTGACAAATTTGGAAAAAATCTAAATGTTTCCATTCGAGGCCTCAGCCCTCGGCTCTTGGTATCCGTCCACAGGCCTCTTCCATAGTAGCGTTCCCATCACGGAAGAAGGGGTGCTCCGGTCGATATCCACTCTTCTGATGTTACCAAGTGCCTATCCCATTCCAAACGTCAAAGCTCTGGGAGACATTAACTGCATCGACCCGGCACCGTCGGTCCCCTATCCTTTCTCTTGCCTACCCTCAACAGTTACCAGGTGGCTATCGTACGTCGTATGGTGTCGTACGTGCTTACACACCGGTCCTCGGCCTAGTCAATCGTATTACTCGTGACCTTCGTATGATCCAAGCATATGCGCACGCATACCCGTCTCCCAAGATCAAGGACGACGCTGTAGAAGCCCAGAAGCAACATGTGCCAATCTCTTCATCGCGCAGAACTTGAATCATACATATTACACGAGATTCCCCGGGAGACATGCACCAAATATGTTGAAGGGACGTCGTTGACACAGCCTCGCCCGCGTTCGGGGCCCAAAAGACGAGTCGAACATCTACCGCAAGGTGGAAGGATAGACGCATCGGAAGGAGTCTGGAGAACGGAATGCAGAACTGGGACGGTTTAACGCGCAGCTGAAAGTCTGATGGATATGAAGCAGGAGGATGAATGCACGTGAAGCCGGCATTGCCAAAGAAATCTGTTTGGGGGCCCAGAGCGTCGATCGCATGCTGTCTGTTCACGAGTCCTGCCAAAAACCCAACTTTACTCTTCTATCCACACTTCAACAACATCCCACAGCGAACTGAACTGACGCGGCCTCTTATCACCAGTCGCCGATGATCGAAAAGCGCGTTTTCGAAATGTATCAAAGTACCCTTTGCGCATGGATGTGCTCTCTTGTTCTGCCGTGCGCGGCTCAGATTCCAATGGAAGGAGGCAAGCGCCAATGCCAACGCTATTGAATGCTATCTGCGATCTCGCAAGCTGTGTGGACCACGCATCTGGAGATCTGATGAGTCTTGCGATTTCGACCTTGCTCTTGGTTGAGGCGGTGGATGACTCGGAAACCCGCCCCCCCCAGCTGCTGCATGCTCGGGTAGGGCAATAATGCGGCAGTCTTGGTTGATTAAACTTGATATGTTATCGGTCCGTAAGGCGTGACTGACTCTTGTCTATGAGCGGGCTGATGTCTGGAAAGGAAAATGTCTCCGAGAACTTCTCTCTAAGTTGCCGGGTAGGCACTCTGACGTCGTAGACACATGTTTGGGCTTCGCGGCTCAGATAATGCGGCGGTCCTGGACTGGCTCATGTGTTGTAGGTCCGCCACGCGTGAATGACTACTGTCGACGGGCACGGGAACTTCTTTGAGCACGAAGGAAGTCATCCGAACAGCCCTCTCCATGGAGGATCTAGAATCGAGTGACTTCGATGGCCGTCTCGTAGCTCCCATTACCATCTCACTCCGTGTCGTGAGCGAGAGTGATTCCACTACTAACCCCGAGAGAACGAGCACGAAATCACTCTTTCCAGCCAGCTCTCATGTTCGCGATTGCAAGCGGTCAACCAGATAGTCCCTAGTCAGCTTCTGTCACGTCTCCTTACACCAAGATGTATCACGAATGATCCTCGTAGCCGGTTTCAAAACACGTTCAGACGCTCCCCTTCCAACAGATATCTTGCGCCCTCAATACCCAGCACATCTATTCCGCTCGGCCATATCACTGTTGCCGCCCCATGGCGATATGAACGCGAAATCTGTGTGCTCCGACTCATCTAGCTCGTCTCTGTTTCCATTTCCTTCACGGTGCCCCCAACGATCCTGTAGCGCGATGCAAGCGAGCTTGCATGTGAAAACGCGAAGCACGACTTTGTCGGTGCTGTGATGGAAGCCGCACCCGTTGGAGTGGACGGAGCCATCGTCGAGATGGCTCAAGAGCGACTTCAGGTAGAGAGCCAGTTCGAGAAAAGTCTGAGATGTGTTCGGAGTCACTGCTTCGATAAGCAAATGTACGGTCATCGACCTTGAAGACTCATCTCCGCTCTTGCAAAATGGTTCTAGTTGCGTTGGGAACGTTCGAAGAGGGTATTTGATGGTTGCACAACAAGGAGCAAGTCGTCAGCGATTGCGCAGGTCCTCGTAAGTTACTCATTCATTGCCCTGTTCTCAAAGACGCGTCCGCAACACATCTTTTGCTTGATCTGGTCTGGCAGGTGTAAGCGCAATGTCGCAGCCGGTCGCAGAGCAGATCGCATTGTACGCAGAGATCAGGAATAATCGCCTCCATAGAAGCGTCCGAGACCATAGCAAGCGCCTGGATGGTTTCTCGAAAGGTGGTGGACTGCTACGTTCTAGGCGTCAGGGCGCTCGCTCCCCGCAGGCCGTTCACAAGTCATCCATCGACTGGAGCCCCACTGATCCCGGCGCGTCGCCAGGCCCTTCGGATGGTAAAATATCGATTCGGCGGAGGAAAAGGCGCGTCGCACCGCTGTGCATCGCGACGAGGCCGGCAGGAGTCCACCGCTTAGCACTGTTAGCAGGCGCTGTATGTAGACGTAGGTACTTGTTCAACGCGTGGGCTCCGGACACATGCGAGAAGAAGTCCCCCCGCAACGGTATTCGATGAACGAATGCACCTGGCGCATCCACCGGACCATGCTGCACGGATTCTCCATCCACTCGACGCGACTCCCCCGCCCCGCCTTTGACTTCTTTCACCGTGACGAATATTCCAGTATTCTGTCCTCTTTCAGCTCCGAAGCGGCTCTCCACTGGTGAAAAGCTTACGAGCCTCCGTGGCTGACAATGGCTAGACTGCAAATCATTCCCTTCGATGTACATGAGCCGTAATATGGGCAACTTCGAGGGAAAGAATTCGTGTGTCCCTATAGCGAGAGGATGCCATTCTCTTCGTTTTGATCGTCATGGTGAGCGGCGTATGTCTAAGAAGGCGCCTCGTTCAGGAGTCAAGTCAGGCTGACATAGGCCGCGTAGCTTGCGATCTGGTCTGCGCCTCAATGTTGAGAAACGTGAGTTGTTCCGCGATGATTGGATCAGGAAGTTCGCATCTGGTCGCGAGCGAAGAAGATGATGTGGTAGACTCAAAGTGGCGAGAAGTAGAGTATTTCCGCGGGCGCTACAGGTCCAGCCTTCTGGCAGTGCTGTATGCGGCTATGGATGGGTCAGACGCGTAGATGTACGCGTATGCGATATTCATCGAACGTGGAGCGTGGAGAGAATAGAAGATGGAGTTGATGAGCGAAGTGCTTCCAATCATGCTCACACGCTTTGTCGATGTCACGATCCCTAGACCTGCGATCCTTCAACGCAAGGCCCCATGTCGAGCGCCCGGCGACGACAAGAGAAGGATCTCACACCGTCGTCTGAGGGTGGTGCCTTGCAACAGTATTCAAATTGACCAGGAGCATGGCGGAAGAGGCGTTCACGACCCATCACTGGCGCCAGCTACAGTGTCTGGTCGTAGCCTGGGACGCCAGACCTCCATCCATACCACCAGATTGACTTTGCAGTGGCACTTCATCAAGAACATGAAGGCCAATATTTGAGAGGGTCATTGAATTGCAATAACAGGACTCTTCGGGATTGCTCGTAGATGCGACTGCCTCCTAGCCTGCTGGCTACTGTGTCGACTGCGGTGCCGATGGCAGACTTGCAATCTGGCCAAGGGTCGAGCGACGTTGTTGTCCTCACGACCGAACTGCTCGATTAGGTAAATCGGAGCCGTTGGCGTATCCCTGGACCGTTCTTGACCGCCGTTGTGATGTCGCGTCATAAAAGCGCCTGGAGTTGAAGAGAGGCGGTAAGTAAGGTGCGCTAGACTGAGCGGCTTCTGTTGCTGCCAGTGTCGGCTTTGCTCCTCCAACTCCCTCGTAAATGCGCTCATCAGCAGTCCATCGAGCCTAAAATTTCGGACTTTTCCTTCAACACGATGCTACGGCGATTGCCGCTCGTTATTGACAGCGTCCGGATCGCGATGCCAGGCCTGTCCCGGGGGGAGGCGCGGAGAACCCATGTCGTGAACTCCTGTCATCCAAGTTTGTGTCATCGCTGTACCTGGCACATCCAGCTCAAATGTCCGGAGCGCCGAAGGAGCATGAAGGTACGGCTCACGTCCCGCAGGACTGCTATTCGCGGAACGGTACGAGGAAGCAGTGTGCCAACTTGGCAGGTGCGTCTAGACTGGGATTATGCAGGGCGCGAAAGCTGCACACTTGAACCTTGAATAATGCCTCAACTTCGGCAGGTATCAAGAGCTGTTGTTGGCAAGCTAGGCGCAGCGCCGGTGCGTAAGCACGTAATGAAACTGCTCAGAGTGTCTTCCGCCTGTTGCCGATTCATTCGCAGTATCACAGATGCGGAGTCTCCCGCCTGAGTCGTTGTTGTCGCTTTGTGTGGAGTAGTGTCTGAAGGTGGAAGTCAGGTAAAGTTAAAAGTTGAAGAGACTTGTTGTGGCTTCCCGTTCAGCCTGAGGTCGCTTGACCGCTTTCAGCAACGGCCTGCACCGCCGGACCAGGAGAAGAGCCGTATCCGTGTATGGACTGCTGAACTGCGAAGCTCCTCGGTCAAGAAGGCATCGCCCTACACAGCCGTTGGCTTGTGAAACATGCGATGCTATGCAGCAGGATAGACTTCCAAGTGGGTTGTTTCACAGTGATTTCGAGGACATTCCAACTCATCAGGTGATTTCCAAGGCGCGGCCGTAATCATGTGTGTCTCATCACGGACATTATTGGAAGCTAAACGCAGGTCAATGATGCGATCAGTGCGGGCAAAGTTTGAGGCCTCGGTCAGCGTCGAGAGCATATGTGCGGCTGCAATGCGATATGTGTCTCGGAGTGAGTCAAGACGTCTTCAACTCACAGATTGTAGTGACAGGGAAGCTCCCTTGCAGTAGCACGTGAGCGACATTGCTGATCATCGTTCATGCTAGCCATTCGAAGTGCTGTCGGCTCCTGCCCGGCCCAAGTCGGAAGGATACACACGAGAGATCGTCGACCATGGAACAGATGGTTGAGAGCCACGTGAAACCTCGCACAATGCATTGCTGTCACTCGTCCACCGCAGCGTGACCGAGAGATTGCTTCTTTGGGCAAAAAGCAGACTCCTGAGGCGTGCATTCTGTGGCAGCGTGCTGGATCCGAGCAGTTGCCATCCGCCTTGGACATGCACTCTGACCGACCAACCGACGGAGTTGTGCCCGGCTGGGACTTCCGCGGCGTGGGACAAGAGAAGCAGACGCAAAAAAGCGGTGGTGGTCGCCTCGCACCTCACCTTCTCCCCTCAGAGACCTGTTTGGGCCTGGCGCAACATCCTGCATGCACGGCCGTCAATCCTAAGTTTCGGATGGCAAGCCACTTCTTCCCCGTATCATTAATGCTATAACATTAACGCTATAAGCGAGTTCGCCGCGCTTCTCACGGTTTTCTGTCGTTGTTGAGTTCGCAAAGAGCTGGCGCGCCGACTCGGACGCGTCTTTGCAGGCATGCCAGAGCGCCTGGGTTCACAACCGGGTAGAGAGACCTCGCGAACAGCGGTCGACCGTGGTCATCGAGCTGGCATCGCAGGCAAGCAGGCCAGGGTGGCTGCAAAGGAGGATTCCGGGCCGAGCAGTGAATATGCTTACAGCACGTGGGCACCAAGCACAGCAGCCGCGAAGGCAATTTCGAGCATCCGAAACGAGAGAGCTCTGTGCCACCTCTGTGCAAATCAACTGCTCGCGATAGTCGTGAATCTGAAGACGAGACGAGCTGACGAGCATCGGCACTTGTCAGCTCGCAAAGACGTGTCTGTGAGCTACAGTTACTCGGACATGGAGAACTGGGCCACTTGATTGGCCGGCAGGTAAGACATTTGGCTGCGGGCGGTGTCTTCGACTTTGCAACTTCTCTATCGTTCTGTCTATTACATCGCCTACATTCGTATCCAGAGAAGATACTGCCGCTTTAACAGAGATTTCTGAATAAGAGGTGGTGGGCATGAGGGTCGCAAGCGCTGCGATTTTGTGAAGTTTTGGAGATTCTAATCGCGCTAGACGGGGGCCCGTGTTTGCGTCCGAGCTTTCTTTCGATGTCCGGACAACTTTTGCTCCTGTCCGCCATCCCCGCTGCTGACAGAGGACTGCTTCACCGTCATCGCCGCCGCCCTGCTGCGCGCTTTCCCACAGCACACTAGACAGCACTGCAGCAGCTATTCTCCGGGCAAAGGTGATTGGCGGTGGACAAGGCCAAGACCGGCACCGCGAGTCGACACAATGTGAAACATCGCCCGGCCTATCAGACTCTGGTGTGCACCCGTCGCTTACGCATGACGGTTGATGGCGGCCACGCTAGCTTCACCCTGCATCCGAGCATGCAGATGCAGACCAGCGACCCCTGTCGCCTACCGCAGCTCTGTGCCGCGCGCTGGAGCTGCGCGATATGATGATAATGGACGTATGCGGCAGCAGAGGCTGATAACGCGCTATGCCGGCGGGACCTCCGGCGCACATGATGCGCTTCATGCCAGCGCGATCGTTTCCGGCAGCGATTGATTTCAAGTCCGTCGACCATGTGGGGACATGGCTAGCGATCGGCACAACATCTTGCGGTGCAGCGCAGCCGGCAAGTGGCGGCCGTTGTGAAGGCGGGGAATAGCGTGCGATGGTGGAAACCTTGTCGAAAGGTACGACGGCTGGCAGCTACCTCCTACTGGCAGCTTCGTAACGGTCGGTAGGTACTGTAGAGATCGAGGTGTGACACCGTCAACGTCACCGTCACCGTCACCGTCACCGTCACCGTTGACGTTACCGATCAAAGCAGCTGATAGCAGACGCGCCTGCCGTCTTCTCGAGCGCGCGGATGCGATTGCTTCGCGGGCTTGCATTGGTGCGGGCAGCTTGGGCCGCACTGGGCCGCAGTGTGTCAATCTTATTGTGACGGTTCGATGGCCGAGGCGATTCTTGGAGGACACTGGGGGCGCTCTGCTCCTCTCTCTCTCGTCTCTGGGCGTTCTTTCCGGTGCCTTGCAATGCCGTGCAGTGCTCATTGCTGAGTAGTGCTGTGCTGTGCGGTGCTGTGCTGCGCTGTGCTGGCGTCGGTCGGTCGCTCGCTCGCTATCCGTCCATCGTAGCTGGTTGGTCGCCGAAGCGGCAGCTGGTCTGGGCTCGGTCGACAGCGCGGGCACGTCAGCGTTAGCGCATCGAATCTGACACACGGCGGAGGGTGAGTGCGAGCGGTGGACCGTTGGATTCTGAGGCAGGCTTGCGAGCGTTATATAGGCGACGGAACGGGAAGGGTATGAGAAGGCGGGATGATGAAGAGGTGAAGTTGGAAAAGGCAGCTGCTAGGCGGGTGGTGATAGGCAAGGGCACCCAGGAGCAGGCCGTTGTGGTTTGGCGTTGAAGCATTCCAACGCCAGCGGTAGAGGCAGAACAGAACAGGGCGGATGCCACCACGGACTCTCGAAGCCAGTGCGGCCGCAGGCCACTCGGGTGTGGGTGGATGTGGATGCTCTGCCTTCCGCCGTCGGCACTGCAGCAGGAGCTACATACAGTATGTGAAGCCACGCTAGTTGGAAATCCACCACGCGACGCTCTAGCGCACGTTTCGGCCGTTCTGCGCAACGGTGGAGCGCGCCAGCGTTTGGTTAGCGGCACAAGCGAGCAACGCACCACACGACGACTACTGCTGCTGTTGAATTGTCCTGCGCCGATGATGAGAGACGCCTTCACACGTCAATTCACCTCGCCTCGTAAACATGACATGACGCCCATAATAATAATAGCCCGGCAGGCCCGCGCTTCCAGTGCCGCCGCCGCACCACACACCTGTGCACCCACCCATCGCGACCCAACCTACTAGTACTGTACCTACACCACGGCTTCGTCTCCACCTCCTACTACTGCTCTGACGGTGGACGTATCAGCGCCCGCATCCGCACCAGCATCCTCGAGTCTCCGCCGTGACCTGCCGCGGCGAAACTAAGTTGGACAGCCAGCCCACACCGGCACCTGCAGGCATCACGGCACACCCGGCTCCGATTGTCGAGCGAGGTGTTGATGGGGCTAGTCTTGCAGCAGCAGCAGCACAGCACGCTCCACTCCTCTGCTTCAGCGCCAACATCATCTCATCTAATTCGCAGGGCACACGGCGGCAGCGCTCGCATCGCATCGAAGACAGCTGTGCCCGCTCTCCCACCACACGGACCAGCAGCCTGCGCGTCGTGCTGGGCTCACGGCCACCTATAAGGCAGCTTGCGGCGATCCTGCTTCGTACCTTGTATTGCCACAGCGCTGGCGTCCTGGTTACATGCTCCCCCAAACCTTCGCACCCTCGTCGCTCCAAGGAACTCTACCTGCTCTCAGCGCCGAACGCCAGCACCACCAGCAATAAGGTTGTTTCGCAGCCTGCCCGGACCTTGCCTCCCAGACGCACCCCGACTGACTTGCCGTCGAGCCCTGCCCCTGCTTACCGCTCTGCTCTCCCTTACCCTCTCTGCTGCTGTTCCCGGCGCATCAGCATCAGCAGCATCTCAGCAGCACTCTCCGGCACCCATCACAGGCCCTCGACGAGCAAGCTCCGGGCCCCAGGCTCTCTCTGACAGACGAGCGCGACGCTGATTGATCGCGCTCGAGTCCCGCACCACCGCTGCCCACGCGGACGCCGCTGCGGTATTGTTGTTGTTATGGTACGTATATTCTTATTATTTGCTCTGCTGTTGGGAGAGCCAATGCACCCGCGCCGCTACGGGGGGCCTTTGAACTTGCCTTGCTACGACCGTCTGCTCCTGCCGGATCTGCTCTGCTCTGCTCTGCTCTGCTCTGCTTCGCTCCTACCTCCTACCTTACCTTACCTTACTCTCCCATCTGGCCGCTCCTTCCTCTGCTGCACCACCCACTACCTTACCTTACTCTCCCCCATCATCACACTCGGCTCTTCGTCCTACACTACGTCAATCCGGGAAGGAGCGCCCTCCTCCACCACCACCCCCCCTGTCCCGTCCCGCGCACCTGGCCATTCATTCACCACCAACCCTCGCACGCACCAGCACCTTCCTCCGCACACAACAGACGCCCATTCCACCTGACACACACGACACCCTACTCACTCACTCTACCGCTTCATCTGCACCACCACTCATCATTCGCCATTCACCATTCACCATTCACCATTCACCATTCTCTCACCCTCCCGCGCCTGCCCGCCTGCCCACTCCTCCGGCCCGTCACAACTCTCAGCACTCTGCCCACACCCATGTGAGCTGCACGACTGCATCGCGGCTCTCCACGCGCGACTGGCCAGCATCATCCAGTCGACGGCAAGATGTTCGACTCGCGGACCAGACTGATGGTACCTTCCCTCCTCCTCCCATCCTCCCATCCTCCCATCCTCCACAGCTCCTTCCTCCCTCATGACTCCTGCAACGCCGACTCCCTCCCCTCCCGACCCTCCCGCTCCCGATTCCTTCTCGTCCGCCTTGTTTTGCGTTTGATTGAACTCACCTCACCACATTTGCCATCGCTGCATCCCCAAACTCAAAACCCGCTGCCAGACCACACGTCGGTGGAGCACGTTCCCCCCCCCCAGCCCCCCCTCGCCCCACCCTCCCAGCGACTTGACAGCAGCTCTGCTTCACCGTCCCAGCACGCCAACTTCCCTGAACCCGGCTGCGTTTAGGCCGGCTTGCCTAACAGCTGCTGGCTGCCTGCTGCCTGCTGCCCTCTTCTGGCCGTTGTCACCTCCTCCCCGCCTTCCTGCCTGCCGTCGACGGGGATCGCAGCCTACCGCTCCAGATACGATAAACGTCTGACACTGTCACTACATTGCAAAACCCAATTCGTCCACTCACGGCGCTCGCGGAACTGTTTACTAACGCCCTCTCTTGTTGCAGAATCAACCAAATGCCGGACAGCAGCAGGGTCTCCCGCCACCACAGCAGCCTCTGCAACACCCGCGATCTGCAGGGCTGATACAACAACATCGCCCAAATTCTCCTCACCAATCGCAGAATATCCAGTCGCCCTCCCAAGGTCCCTACATCTCACCACACTCCTCCACACACAGCCACCCCCAGCATCAGTCTCCGTACGTCGGATCCGTGCCAGGCATCCCCTCGCAGCACCCAGGCGAGCCCCCGTTCTTCGGTGCCCATCCCAGCCCGTACAGCACAAACAGTGCCGCAGGGAGCTACGCATCGTCAGGTGAGTTGAAACCAATTAATTTGAAATCGAGACACCCCGAGCGTTGATGGATTTGATCGCCACGTTGTGCTGGATGCCATGGCGCGTACTTTTGGTTTGGGACTGACCAGCTTTGCAGAACCGAACGAGAGCATGGCCACGCAGGCGGCGATCAGCCGCCAGACATATCCGCCAATCTCGAGCTATCAGACTCCGCAGTCGAACTCACCTGCCTCGATCCACTCGCCGCAGACCGACGCACATGGTCGACCGTTGTATGGCATTCCCTCGATGCCACAACAGATGTATTACCCACAGCAGTACCAGATGCAGCAGCAGTCGCCCTACGGGCACAATCCGGCTGCTGCTTCGCATCACTCCTCCATGACCTCGGCGCCAGGTATGCTCCTCTCGCATCAGCAGCCCCAGCAGCAGATGCAACAACCGCAACCCGGCCATCCACAGTCCAGCATGCTGGACAGCAAGCCTTCGCAATCCTCCCTCCAGAGACCGCCTTCGGTGCTTGCCCCTCCACAGAACTCACCGCAGCAATCGTCGGGTCCAGGTATGCTCGGCCATCATCCGCCCAAATCGCCGGCAGACAGCGCTAATTCTTCGGGCGCAGCTCCAGGTCCCATTCCAGCAACGACTCCGCTCGTGGTGCGCCAGGACAACAATGGAGTCCAGTGGATCGCGTTCGAATACTCGCGCGACCGCGTCAAGATGGAGTATACCATCCGCTGCGACGTGGAGTCGGTGAACGTCGACGAGCTCAGTCAGGAGTTCAAGTCTGCGAACTGTGTCTATCCACGCGCCTGCTGCGGGAAGGACCAGTACAAGGGTAACCGGTTGCACTACGAGAGCGAGTGCAACGCGGTCGGATGGGCGCTCGCGCAACTCAACCCAAATCTACGCGAGAAGCGCGGGTTGATCCAGCGAGCGGTCGACAGCTGGAGAAACAGCAATCAAGACGTGCGGCTGCGAAGTCGTAGAGTACGGAGGATGGCGAAGATCCAGAACAGAAACGCCGCAAAGGCGCAGCCTGGAGCACCCTTCCCAGGACCTGGTAGCGCTGGGCTGCCTCCACAGGCCATGCCTCCTGGCTCGGCGAGGCCACCCTCGAACATGGGCCCCAGTGCGCAGATGCACCACCACCACACCGACGGTAGTGAAGCCGGAGGTGGAAACGATGTCAGCGGTATGTTCCACCAGATGTGAATGATATCCTGTACTACTATTGTCGTTACTGTTATTGCTCTTGCTACCGCTGTTGTTGATCTTGTGCATTTGCTTGGAGTTGTAAGGGCGCCAAAGAGGACCTACGACCACATGGATTATGGCTTGTACGATGCTGTACAGCATAACTTATCGTCTTTGGCCTGCAGCTGTTCCAAAAAAGAAAGCAACCCAAACAACCCACCGCTGCAGCGAAGATTGTATTCTGTTTTTTGTTGTTGTTGTTGTTGTTGTTGTTGTTGTTGTTGTTGTTGTTGTTGTACGACCTCTGCTTCGTTGCTTGTTGTTTGTTTGCTCCCCTGCACCCTATTGCACCCTATTCCGTGTTCTCTCGCTTTGCAAGATACCCATGCTGCACATCATCAAGTTCGTACGCTAACACGTTGGTCTTTGATCATAGCCGGAAATGAATACAGTAGTGCGGCCGGGCATCCTAACCCGTCCACCAACGGTTCGAGCGATCTTACATCCCCTACATCCGGTCGGTACGCACACAGCTTCTATCCCTCGTATCCTCAGCAGCCAGGTATAGGCGGCTCGTCCATGCCTTCGGTCCACGATGCCATGGATCCCATGCACACCCAAGCCTCTACTCTTGCGACACCAGCATCAGCCTCTGCCCTCAAGAAGGAAGACGAGGAACACAAGCGCGCCTTGTTTGGCGACGTTCCCGAGTCTAAGCGCCGCAAGTTCATCCTCGTCGATGACAACCAGCGAGGCACGCGTGTCCGGGTGCGAGTGATGCTGGATCAGGTCAAGATGGATGATATGCCCGACGCCCATCTCAGGATCAATGCCGTCTATCCTCGGTCCTACTTCCCTCGACAGATGAGATCGCCGCCGGGGTCTCCTGGCGCACGTGGCAACTGGGACGACGAAGATGATGATGATGAAGGCGAAGATGGATCGACCGTTCCACCTGTCGGGAAGACCATGGTGCCGGTGTCACTGATGGACGGCAGCGAGGCCAAGCTCCCGGTTCCACGCATGACCAAGTCGAGGAGAAGTAAGGAAGTCGCCTTGAATGAGCTTGGCTACCGCATGAGTTGGGGACAGGCGAGGACATTCAACGGTAAATACACCAGCCCCGCGGCAATATTGGTCAGTGCTTGATGCTAATTGACAATCGTACAGGCCGTACGCTCTTCCTGCAGAGATCCCTCGACGCCTACCGAAACAAGATGCGCAGCACCATGATTGCGGGCGGCAGTGACAACGTGACCATTGCGCCGCACTTCGAGACTCGACCTGGCAAGCGGAAGTGGCTAGAGAGAAACAAGCGCGCCAGGCATGCAGAGTCCATGTAAATGATACGAGGCACGCACGACATGACCTTACGACACGGTAATCGTTGGAAGAGCAGAGATTGTCGGTGGTGTGGAGGACCAGACGAGGTTGCTTTACTTCTTACTACCCGTAGGCCACCTCGGAGGGCAGCCGATGCCCTTTCATGGCCCGAATTGGAGTATTGTATTATACGGCGCCGGTGTTGATGCCTATGGCCCTCCCAAAAAGGGCCTCGAAGAAATCGTTGTGGATGTGTGTGTAAGGGAACGATCAAAATTGGGATTTGTTTTTTTCTTTTAAATCAGTTCAGTGTGCCCTGATCAGGCACACCGCGAGCGACGGCGTTCACTACGGGCGAGGAGGAGGAGGGCGAGGAGGAAAACTATACGGAAATTAAAGATCAACACGTCACCGCCCGTCTTCCACGATGCGGCTGGTCATCTCTCACTGCGCCTGTCTTGTTGGTGCCGCTCCTGCTTCTCACACACGAAACGCGCCGGAGCTTGAGAGGATTGGTATTTTGTGGTAGTTGTTTATTAACCGCGTCTTCGTCACACTCGAATGCATATTCCAACGAAAGGAAAGATGCCTCCGCGGGCTCATATAATACGCGTCAAAAGATGGACCCAATAGTAGCAAAAGCTTCTCGGTTCCCAGTTTCCATGGCGAGTGAGCTTGCGTGCGCGCGCGCGCGAGTTGCGGGTTTCAAGATCGATGGAAACCGCCCAATGGGGACTTATTGTTACTAGTAGTTTCATATGACCCACAGCAATCGATCGCTCGCTCGCTCCGTCTGTCTACCTACTGGTCACTTGGTTGGTTGGTTGGTTGGTTGGTTGGTTGGGATCGAGCAGTCGAATTCGCAAAGAGTCGACGACGACGACGAACGATTTTGGTGACGGGGGGGAAAGACAAAAAGGAAAACATGACCATGACACACGTATGATAGAAGCGCGCTATTATTCCCACCGCTCGCTCGACCTTGGGGGAGAGACATGAAGCTAAGGTACGGGAAGCCTGATGAGCTTCCATCCATCCACATAAGATACATACATACATACATACCCACCGCTCTTTCTTCCTCAAACGAACGGACAAGACAGATGACATGACATGACACAGATGATGGCTCGGCTCGGGATGCGCTTTCTCCTTTCATCATCATCATTATCATCATCATCATCATCATTATCATTAGTGTGTGTGTAGGGTGTGTGTGCGTCAAAAACATGTCATGACGGCGAGGCGAGAACAAGTTGCCTACCTATAATTCCAACGAATGCAAGCAACAGAAACCTTATGTATGTATAATATGTAGGAGAGAGCAAGTGAGGAGGAGAGAGGAAATAGGGAATCGCACGCGATTCATGTTCCCTTTCCCCTAACAATCATTGTTAGTAGCAGAAAACCCTGGTCTTTCTTTTTCTCTCTTCTTTCTTTGTCGGGCCATCCACCTTACATATATATATACATATGCATCTGCAATTATATGTATATGTATAACACACCTCCAAAGTTCGACCTTAAATTGCTTCTCTCGCGTCGGAGCTTTTCTTTATTATCTTATTATTATACGAACTTCGGACTCCGTAGAGCTTACCTTAGCTAGCTGTCCGTCCGTTCTTAATAAGTCGTACGTAGGATTTATAATTAATAATAGGATTTAGAGAAAAGAGCCGAACAACCCCTCTCTCTCTCTCGTCTTAATAATAATAGTAATAAGAAATTATATTATGTTATACCTAAGTAAGACCGGGTTTCCTAGATTCTTATTCTTATTCTAATAGAATAGCCTTTTAGGGCTTACTTATACTTATACTTATAGATACGTATTTTCTACCTAGTTATAATAATAATAATAAGACTAGCCCTCGTATATCGTATAATAGCTTACTAGCTAAGCTTTTGTCGGACGGTTGCTATAATACCTACCTACCTACTTACCTATATCGGGATCGATCTACTCTGTACTAGACCTCTACTAGAGAGAGCGGTTTAACGTGAAAAGAAGTAAGAGTCGAAAAGTTCAGATGCTCCACCACCCACCAAAGACTAGACCAGACAGAAATCTAGATCGATAGGGATCTAGACTCACTCCTTCCTTCTTCTTCGATGATTATAATTTGCCATCTTCTGATTATGTACTTTGCTATTCCCTTAACCATACCAGAGCCATCCATCAGGCTCTTCCAGCCCCAAAAAGAATCAAAACACGCGCAAGGTCGTGCGCTCTCGTCTCGTGGATATCCTGTGACACATTTCCTTTTCACTTTCACGTTCTGTTCCGTTCATTCTTCATGTTTGTCCTTTCCATCCCATCCCATGCTGTTGATCCAAAACCCGCTTGCTTGTCCCGCGACGCAACGCTCAGAAAACACAAAAAACACGAAACACGAAAAAGCCCCCAGAATGATCAAGCGATCAATCAACCAATCAGTAAGGCTTATCCACAGTCTTCCCACCACAATCAGGAATGTTCAGCCCGTCTTTCAAATTCCGGTTCACGTCGAAGAGGCCCCAGTACGGTTCCCAATGGTTATGCGCCGTGTCGAATTGGTGTTTCCAATCTTCGTCGAAAGCTTCGAACCTAGAGAGAGGGAGGTGAGGTCAGTTTTGAGCTTCGCCGCTTGATGGGAAAGTTAGTCGATGGTGCAGAAACTTACCAGAAAAATGTTGTACCGTTGTTCAGAGCACCGCAGACCCACGTGTCCATGAAAGTATTGACGTTGTCGGTGCTCGCCACGGCACCGTCCGTGTCGCCCGTGCATCCGTATGTTGAGCTGGTGGCATCGCCGCAGTCGTTGCCTCCTTGACTGGGCCAGCCAATCTCGGAGATGACTTGTTTGGGGTAGGTGAGAGAACCCGCCGTTCCAGTCTTGGCGGTCGTCAGCGGGATGTTTTTGTTCTGCCAGAACGAGTATGCCCAGCCAGCGGCCTCCTTGACAGCAGTTCCAGCGAAGAAGGGATGAATATTGGCCATGACGATGTCCGAAGCCTGGGCTAGCTGGTCGGTCCAGTTGTCTCCCAAGTCGGCGGTCGCAACGGGCAGCTGAATGTTCTTCTGGGTGAAGTTGTTTCGGACATCGGTCAGGGTAGACTGCAGCTGGGTAGCAGTCATGTACTTGGAGAAAAGGACCTCGTTGCCAATGATGACGCCAACGAACCGACTGTGATCGTACTTGTCGAGGATGTCGTACAGCTGCTTGATCTGTCGGTCGTTTGTTGTCTGGTTCCCATTCAGATACACCCCAAGCCACACCTTCATGTCATTCAATTCGAGGCGATCGAGAGATTCCATCACTAGTTCGGTTTGGTTGCAGTCAGTGCCATACAGTCTGACGGCTGGTGTCAGCTGAGACATGATGGCCAGATCAATTGTGACATTATTCTGGCTGGGCCCGCCCCCCTTCGAAAGACATTGGGGGTACTGTGCGTAGTGTGGCGTGTAGTCCATGGCTGGGAACACCTTGTGCAGTTTCTTGTTGTTCATCACAGCCTTTACTTCCTTCGAGTTCAGGTCGTAGAGTCCCCCCGAGTGGCTGCCCGAGCTTCCTCCGGAGCTGCCACCATCCCCTGAATTCTTCTTTGCCAACAGACCGCCAGCAACTCCGCCTGCGATGCCTCCCAAGATCAACAGAACGACGGTTATCCCAATGATCCATTTCAGCCTCTTGTTCCCGCTGCTCTGCTTTGCCAACCATTCCGACTTCTCTGGATCCCCGCCCACAGGCCCGTAGTTCCCTCCACTAGGTCCGCGAGATCCCAATGCTGAGAGCATGCCAGCGCCTGCTCCAGCACCGGCAGCCGCACCCGCGGCAGGAGCCAGCTGACCACTCCGTGATCGCGGCTGCTCTTCAAATCCATCGTCACCATCGTCCGCGATGTTGTCCAAGTCAAAGTTATCGTAACCATCACCGTGGTAATACGATGCTCGTGGCATGTGACCGTCGAAGTCTGCCGCTGCTAGGCCTGCCGCTGGAGCAACGCCTCTCTGTGCCGTACGTTCGGGCGAGCGCGGAGGGGTTGAGTTTGCCATTGGATATGCGTTTGTGAGGGGTGCAAGTGAGCTCTGCGAATCTGCTTGGCTGAAGTTCTGGCGTGGATTGTTCAATCCAGCAGCCGATCCAGGTGCTCCATATGGACCCTCATTGATAGGCGGAGGGGGCATGTTGCGAGAGGTATAGAGGTTGTCGATATCCCGCAAAGTGTTGTCCGGAGGTAGAGCGGCCATGGGATTCCTGTCTGGTGCTATTTGTCTCCCTGGGGCCTGTGGATATGCTATTCGAGGGGCATGCGGAGGTGGTTGCGGCGGTGATGCGCTTCCCGAAGCAGAAGAGAAGCCGTTTGGGATTCCATACTGTCGTTCGGACATGGCGAGCAGCTCAGCGAGGGGCAGACGTGCGTCGCCACGAGCTGCTGCAGGGGTACTGTGAGCTTCTCAAGAAGCAAACAAGTGGCGTGGGTGTTGCCGGACTCAATACTCAATAACAGAGTCGTAGGTGGAGTGTCGATTGAATGAAGAAGAGAAGCAAGAGCTGGCAGGAGAGTGAAGCTGGGCGCAAGGCTCGTGACCTCCAGCTGTTCCTGGCACGTGAGTCGTTTCAGCTGCACGACTCTCCACTTGTCGCAGTGCGCGGCGGTCGTTGCGGGAACGTGAGCAGACTAATAATGGATACACGGCGGAGAAGAGTCGACCAAATCAAGAAGAGAGATGGAGGATGGAGGGCGAAAGGCTGAGTGAGGTGGAGGGGAGTGAAGAAGGAAGACACAGCCTCACCTCGTGTAGCCTGAGAGTGTACCTAAAGTCTAAAGTGTGTGTGATGTGGTGTGGTGTGGTGTGGGTGGGTGGGCGCTTCTATTTGCGTTGCCATCGCTCGGGGAACATCCGGATTTCCCTGCCCCGCCACCACCACATCCGCCACATCCGCCACCGCCGCCACCACCTCCCCCCAAATCCATCCCCGCCACCGCCGACCACCACCTCACACCTTCTACAAGAATTTACTCGATGATCAAAACTCCATCCATCAACCACAAAAGATCCATCCTCATCTCCATCTGACGAAGAATCTCCCTCGTCGCACGTCATGACAGGTCGTCCAGCGCAAGGCAGCCCGCATTAGCCTCATCCTCCCGCGGCCTGTACCGATCCTCCCAATCCCGCCCGCAGCCTGTACCGATCCGCGTATCTCGTGTTGCTCGTGTCTGCAGTCTTCAGCGTGAGGGGCCCAAAAGTCGGCCTCTGCTCCCAACCCAACACACACACACGTGTGGCGCTGCTGGCTACGTTGACCAGCCAAGAGGGCTACATGGCCCAGCACACAGGCACAGAGCAGTCTTCTCTTCTCCACATCGGAGTGGACACCGTGGACACCCATCGCACTGTGGCTGTCTAGACTATGACTCCAGCGGCTGCCAGACGTCGTTCAATAAACGAATCTCTCTCTCTCTCTCTCTCTCTCTCTCTCTCTCTCTCTCTCTCTCTCTCTCTCTCTCTCTCGCGGAGCGACTGTTACTGCAATGCAAAGTCTTGGGAAAAGACTAACCAGAGCCAAGTCGTGTCGTACCATGCCTCGGCCAAGCCTTTATCAGCCCTCCCAAGACTTGCTTCGTGGTGAATAAAATGGCCGAAAAGATCTTTCGCCGTCACAAGACGTGTTTTCTTTCCCCTTATCATATGTAGTAGATCAATCCAAAAAAAATTCATGTCAGAACTCAGGCGTCACAAAGAGACTTTGGGGTATCCGAGAGCAGACGCTACAACGCCTCCATACCATGCCTCCATTGCCGTTACCGTAGCGAATGCTTCCTTCCAGCCCCCTGCGTGTGCTATGCCCTCATCTTTCAGACTCCTCTCCCTTCTTCAGTGCCTCTCTTCTGCCTTCCTTCGTCTTCCTCAGAAGCGCACCTGCGAATCATCCCTCCTCCCCAATCCTCCAGACATGTATTGCGGCTCGGCCTCCCTCTCTCTCTCGCTTCTCCTCTGGCTGAAGTCCGCACTCGGCGCACCCGCAGTCGTCGGCGCCTCCAGCATCTTCGGAGCCTTCTCCTTGAACTCGTCCTCGCTGTCACTGTGCTCGTACTCGTCCCTCTCGCGTCGATCGCGGTTGCGTCCGTTCGCCTTACGAGCCGTCTTGCGCTCCTCACGATCTTCTTCGTACCGACGATCTGCATGTCGCGTTAGTGAATGAATAAGAATATCTCGCAAGCCTTGTCCGACGTGATATGTCCATGCACGGCGCTGAGAGCCCAGCCTCCGACGCCGCTCCTGATCCGCCTGCCTCTCTTCGGCATTGGGCGCAGCGGTATCAGAATCTGTGCGGTGTAGGAGCGGGCTTCTCTTGGAAGACAACGCTGATGTCGTTGTTGAATACGCATCATCGTCTCCTTCACGATACTTGAACCTTGTCGCGCCGTTCATGTGCTCGTCTTCGTCGTCCGAAGAATCTGCTGAGGTGGAAGGAGAGTGGTGGCGTTTACCTCTAATCTCTCGCGTGCGGTCCGCGAGTTTCTGGATTTCCTCCTTCGTCAGCACGCGAAGTACAATGACGCAGTCCAGGCGCTCTTCAAATCGTTCGTGAGCGGCTTCAAGAGCTTCGGGATTGACGAGGCGGCGATCAATCTTCGTCCATCTGGCACCGGGCGGGATGCCTTTCTTGGTAGCCTAGTAAGTCATCGTTAGTACATTCCTCATGGGTCCTCCTAGATGAGCAGACTTACGTCTTTGAGTGGCGCAACGCCTTCGCGGACAGCGTTCGGATCCTCGGGAAACTTTTCGGTGGGCTTCTTGAGGATGCCCCTTGGGCGCCTCTCTTCTTCCTCGGTAGGTGGGTCCACTATCCGCACTCGGTTCTCGCGCCTCTCGCTGAGGCTGTTGTCAATGATCTGAGCAGACTCGTTCGCCATGGGTCGGTCGAGAATGCTCGGCTTTCTGCTCAGCCCGGGCATGGTAGACGCCGTGGTCGTACTGGCGTTGGCGCCATAGCTCGATTGATTGTCCTGCTCGAAACTTCGTCTGAGAGCAGGATGAGGAGGCGCCTCGCTGAAGGTGGACTCGCCGGCAACCGACGAAGCTGCACCATTGTTTCGGCTCTCACGCTCCCGTTGCCGCTGTTCTCTTTCGCGGCGTCGGCGCTCACGATCTGGGTCAGAGTCGGAGCCACGTTCGTCAGATGTGCGACCCAACTCTCTCTGCACCTGCTCCATCCGCCGGCGGTAGTCTTCATCAGCATCAACAGCTGGCGGAGGCATTTGTACAGACGCTGCTTGCTCCGCGGGCTTGCTGGAATACTCTCTTTCGCGCTCAAAGTCCCGCTGTCCAACGCGGTCCTGGTTGCGGTCTTGCGTCTGTCTTTCTTGTGTACGCTCCGCGTTGCTCTGCTGCGGCTGTTGGCTCCACTCAGACCTTCGATCCTGGTTCTGGTTCCATTCGGTGTTCGTGGGAGGCGCACTTCTAGGTGGCTCGGGGCCCTCGAATGCGAAGCCCAGCCCGCGATCGGTATCCCTATGGCGATTCTGCTCCTTCTCACGCTCATAGGGAGGCTCGTCGCTCGCAGCTTGTCTCCTCTCGCGGGGTTGATCGCGGTCATCTCGGTCTTCACGTTCACGCTCCCGCTCTCGCTCGCGGTCGCGATCTTTGCGCTCGCTGCGTTCTCCGCGGTCAGTGTGATCCCGCTCCAGATTTTCCTCTTTCTCCTTCTCGCGCTTGTCGGAGAGTTTATTCAGGAGGCCTGTGAGACCAAACGCAGTCGCAGCACCCGCGAGCCCACCAGTGGCAGCCTGTGCAAGGCCCGGCTTAGCCACAGGCTCTGCACTCGTCTTGGGGCTGCTCTCCTTTCGACCATTGTACTCGCGGTCCCGATCTGCAGTGCCACGGCGGTGATGGTGTCGATCTCTCTCGCGGTCTGCAGGCGGCTCCATTTGCCGTGCACGTTCCCGATCCCGTTCACCATCTCGTTCCCGACGGTCGTAGTCGTTATAGTAGGTCTTGTCGTCCTCACGTCTTCGGGGCTCTCGCGAGTAGTCCCGGATGTCAGAATATCCTCGCTCTCTAGTCCTTCCATACTCGTCGTACTGCATTCTTTGGGCCATTTCACGGTCACGCTTCTCCTGCTCGTGGCGTGAAATATCGTGAGGATAGTACTCCGGAGCCGTCTCCCTCCGGTGTGGCTCGCCATAGCCAGAGTCTCTGTATTTGGAATGTTCCATGCTCTCATCACTCCCACGGCCGCCCGCATATCTGTTCTGACTCTCAGTTCTGTAGTCAGTCCTGATGCCGAAACCTCTCCGCTCCACGCTCTGGTCCATCCGAGCATCTCGGGAAATGCTGTGTCTTCTCTCGGGCCGTCGTGGCTCCCTTCTGTCTTCGTGATCGTATGGCTCGTAGTTGTGGACGGACGTCCTTCGGTCTGTGGAGTTGGTTCGCGGCGGAACGTAGTATTGATCGCCATACGCACCGGGCTCGGCATAGGTCCTGCCTCGTACAGGGGACTGGGCAACCTGACGAGGCTCTTCCCTCACACTCCGTGTACGTCCAACATCGTTAATCTTGTCCCATCCACGTGTGCTTGGCGGCGGACCAACTTCCTTGGCCGCGTTTCGTACGCCGAACGTGGCGAGGGCTGGGTCCAGCATGCTCACGGGCCTTTCTCGACTCGTCGCTCCACCACGGTCCATACTTCCTCGCCGTTGCCGGGTGGCTTCTCTCCATCTCGGCTCGGTGTCTCGGTACATGCCGGCAGGGTCCGTGTAGGAATAGGCGTCGTCGTCGTCAATGCTCTTCTCCTTTGGCCTGCTATTGTGCGTGCCGTTCGTGTGATAGCCTCTCCTGCCTCTCTCACGTTCCCGCTCGCGCTCACGATCCGTCGCAACGGGTGCTCTATACCCGCTGCGGTCCACGCTGTCTCGGCGTTTGTGATGCCTCTCGGCTCCACCGGGGATATTCACGTCTGCCACAAGCTTTGCAGCTCCATCTCCATCCACGCTGTAGAGCTTCTTGTGTGTCGTTGTAGTTGTCCGAGGTTCCTGTGACGACGCAGGTGTGACGTAGTCGTATTTCTCCTTCTCTCCTCGTGCGAACTTGCTCGGGCTTGCGGGGCGTGCAAAGTCCTGCTGAATGACCGCCGGCCTGCTGCGGCTTGGCAGCTGAGTGGTGGAGCCCACAGCGCCTCTTGTGGTGTCCACCAACGAAGATCTTCTCGGTCTTCCGGAGTAGGAATCGTATCGCTCGGCCGGTCGAGAGTTGGTTGGAGGCGGGACGTTGATGAAGGTCTGGGTGGAGATCGGGATGACGCCTCCGCTGCTGCGTGGAGAGACGTAGGAGTTGTGTCGCGGCTGGTAGTATGGATCGGTGAGGGTGTTCTCCGAGGCCCGTCCTGGGTTCGCGATGCGCCTGCCGCCAGGCGACAGCGGCCTGTGGTGGTTGTAGCTCATACCGGTGGTCTTGGGAGCAGAGATCTCGGCTATGGGCTTGACTTTGGGGACGTGGATGGAAAGGGAAACGGGTCGCGGACGCTTGGGGTTGTAAGAGGTGGCCTTCTGCTCCATGTCGGGGAGTCAGCGAATGAAACAAACTGCAGCGATGCTGTGTAACGCGGTGTTCGGACAAGGAAGAGGGCGCTCATGCGGTCCGCATGTATGTGGTTGGGAGAGATCAGGGCTGCGTCTGCTCTCGCGAGGCGCCGAAAGGGTATGGCATAGGGTGGAGATGGGGTGGGTATATTGGTGCAGTAGAGTGGTATCTTACTGGAGTACAGTGGTATGTTGCTCCCGTGGGAGGCGAGGGGCGACTAGGGCGTGTACTGCTGCCAACTCTTGCTCGCGGGCGTCGGGATGTGGTGCTGGTGCGTCGTTGCAGCCAGCAAAGCACTGCGAGTTGCGGCTCTGCCGACAAGGTTGCCGTTGTCTTTTTGGCAGGAAAGGCAAAGGAAAGGCGAGAGGGAGCGGCTCAGCGTGAGGTATGATGCCTGGAGCGCTGAGGGTGCTGGGAAGATCCCCGCTCGGAATCCGCTGTCCACTGCCCAACCCGCCGCCGTCTGATTGTAGACCGGTTGGGCACCGAGGAATGGGCGCGGGAGGCTACGAGGGGATCGACGGGTGCGTGGTTGGGTACCGACCGGTCGTAAAGAATCGAGGGTCGGCGGAGATAGATAGGAGGAGTGGAAGTGGAAGTGGAAGACCAGCAGCCGTACCACACAAACAAAGTAGTACTGTAGTAGTGTCAAGTGTGTGAGATGAGTACATGTCCATCGACTGCCTACGTCACTCTTCGCTTCGAGTTCCAGTCGCTCCTACTCCCCGTACGACCCGACCCGTCCCGTCCCGTGTGCGTGTGTGGTCGGCAGAGCGCATGAACCAACTCTCTTTCTCAATGCACATTCATATTCATACACAATATTGTATTGCCCTCCACTGCCGTGCGCGTCGTCGTCGTCGTCGCTCTCCCACTCGTGCCATTGTGCATTAGTCTAATTGTGCCATTGTGCATTCCAGGGCATTGTTGTCGGGCTGCGACCTGACGTCGCCCCGTTGCGGGTTGCGGGTTGCGGGTCGTCGGGCTGGCTCGTCCTGGCCAATCATTAAGATAACCAAAACACCTTCGGGCTGTCTCTCCGATCGTACCGTACTGTAGGTAGGTAATCATCAGTATTAAAACAACCGGACATGCTTGGTCACCGGCCAGATCTTCCTCCCGCCAAGACTGCCTCCTCGCTACGGACATCAGCGACGGCGGGCGTCATGACGCTTGTGACCACCCACGTCAGCCATGAAAATCTGGGAACGGCGAGGCGAGGCGAGGCGAGGCAGCCAGCACCATCCACAATCAAATCAGGAGCAGCACGCCGCCGCCGCCTGAACCGAACACACACGCGCCCCCAACGTCCAGCCCAGCCCAGCCCAGCCCAGAAACTACGCCCCCGAAGCGTGGACCTTGCTCGTAGCTACTACTTACTCTCATCATCACCAACCAAGAAATATAAGAATGTGACCCTCATCAATGTATCTACCGTACCGTACCGTACCGCCTTGAAATCTGCCCGCGAAATTCCTGTATAAATCCCCCACCCCAAAAAACCCAGAAGACGTCAAGCAAGACATTGCCACGTTTTCCCAGCGCAGCGTACAACCACGAGGAAAAAAAAAAACCTCGGCCGCTGTGCGATGCAGATGGCGACAAACAACCAAATGCCGGGTTCCTAGAAAAGCGTATCGCCCTCATCATCATCATCGCGACCATTGGCAACTCCGGACCACTTCTACCGGGTCTTTTCCTGTTTTGGACCGTACCAGGCTCGCTCGTCTGTCACATGCGCCGCCGCCGCCTTCTGCCAACAGAAAATAATGGCATGTCCGGTGCTGTCGAGTTACCTTTACCTGGCCTTACCTCCTTACCTCTCTCTCTCTCTCTCTCTCTCTCTTCCCCCTCGATCGGGGATGCCACGGCGTCTCTCCCAACAAGTCTTTCTCAACTGCAATGCGCCAACTCTCAAACTTGCGGCAGAGGGCGGGTTGGGAGGGGAGTAAGATCAGGCACCCACTATCGATTCCATCTCACTCGTCGCCCAGCCGTTCGTAACAACCAATGCTCCCGGTCAATGTCACATGGAAACCCGCTGATCAGAGTTCAGCGCCGTTATTCTGGAAGGCTCCAGAGGCGTCCAGCTCACGTGGTCATCACGCTGACAAGTCCGCCAGGCATCGAGACCCTCTCTCCACAGCACAGGCCATCCTCAACTGCTGCTCTACATCGCCCTCCGTCTTGACAACGGAACCGAGCGCATGTATGGCAAGTCAGATGATCTTCAACCCATCTTGGCAGTGATGTCGTTGCAACAGCTCGCATTCAGCTCAATCGCCTCCCCAATGATTACAGCCTCTAAGCCCTCCCACCACGATCAAGACAAAAATTCATACGCTTCGGATCAACCCCATCCGTCGCCGTCGCCGTCGCTGTCACATCCCTCTCCCCAACCTCAACATGCTTCGCCGAAGCCGAATCCACATCCTTCCCATTCCCCTCCTCCTCCCCATCAACATCCGTGCGATGCTGCAGCACGCGTGCCCGGCTCCGCTTCGGAAACATATCGCCCAGCGCGCCCTGGACGATGTTTCTCTCGAAGAGGAGATGCATGCTCTCGAGCGGCACCCCCTTCGTCTCCGGGACGCAGAAGATGGTATAGATGACCATGAGAAGACAACAACTCCCGAAGAGTAAGAACGTGCCATAGGTGATATCGGCCAACATGATCGGCGTCAGTTTCGCAATGACGAAATTGAAGAGCCTATAATCCCACAGAAACCCGTCAGCATCAGTCTCACACACACCTCTCTCTCTCTCTCTCTCTCTCTCTCTCTCATATCTCAGGGCGCTTATTAGCAAACCCCAGAAACAGAAACAGCTACTCTACTCACCACTGCGTCATCAGACTCGCCGCCATCGTCAACGATCTCACATGATTCGGCGCACACTCGGCCGCCAACACAAACGGAATCGGGCCCCAGCCAAAGGAATAGAACACCACGAACAGATAGACACACACAATGGCAAACGTGCTCGTGCCGTTCAATCCCGCTCCGGGCGCGACCGGGTTCACCGCCTGGTTGATGCCGATATAGTACATGCTGAAAGCCTGGCCCAGTCCGCCGAGGATGAGAGACCACTTGCGTCCCAACTGCTCCGTGGCGAACATGAGGCCCAGGGCGGTGATGACGACCTTGACGACGCCGTAGATGCCCGTCGCGAACAGCCCGGCAGACGTCCCCGTGAGGCCGACGGATTTGAAGATTTGGGGAGAGTAGTAATTGATACTGTTCGTTCCCGTCCTGGATGGATGCAGAAAAGAGAGAAAATCATCAGCCGTTTTGGAGGACGCTTTGTTCCCGCCCCATGGGGCAAGATGGAACACTCACCATTGTTGCCAAAACATCAAAATCACACCCATGGAGAAGGTATAAAACACTTTCCCATCCGTACACGTGGCTCGCATCTGCGCGAGCAACGGCAGCTTCTCATGGCCGTGGAAATCCCGTACAATCTCTTCTAATTCCCGGTCGACTTCCGGGTCGTCGAGGGCTTTCGATCGGACCTGCGCGAGGGCTTCGCGTGCCTCGGCTATTCTGTTCTTTTCCACGAGCCAGCGCGGGGATTCGTTTTGGAAGACAATGCCGGCCAGGAGGAGGGCGCCGGGCAGCATTTGGAGCGCAAAGGGGATTCGCCATTGTTTGGATTCGGTCGAGGGGATGCTCCGGTTGACGCCGAAGTTCACCTGGAGGCGTCGAGAGGTTTAGAAAGGTCGGACATAAGGAAGGGGGGGATATTCGAGAAGGGCTACTTACGAAGTAGGAGAGCATGATACCCGTGACACTATTTCTCCCCCAAACAAGACATGTCAGCCAACCATCTCTATCAGTAAGAGGGAGAAAGAAGGAAGATGTAAGGAAAGTGTCTCAACTCACTTAAACAACTGCATCGCCCCAACACACCTCCCACGAATCTCCCGATTCGCATTCTCCCCAATATAAGTCGGCACAACCGCACTGACCACCCCGACCCCAAACCCCCCAACCACCCTCCCAACATACAACTCCCTCAACCCCCCGGCACCCCTCAACCCAGCACAACTCTGCACCACACTCCCCACCAGAAAAACCACCCCCGCGAAAATCAACGCCCGCTTCCGCCCAAACGCATCGCTGAGGTAGAAACTCGCCATGGCGCCAAAGAAGCACCCAGCCTGCAGCACGGCAACGATATTCCCGGAGAGATTTGCGAATTCGGGGGAGGCGGGGTCGAGGGCGAAGCTGCGCTGGAAGGACGACAGGGTGAGCACGCCGCCTATGAGGCCTGTGTCCCAGCCGAAGAGCATGCCGCCGAAGGATGCGATGGTTGTGAGGAGGTAGGCGCGGCGGTGGCGGAGGAGGTCGTCGTGCCAGAGGGTGGAAGGGGGAGGCGCCATGATGGCGATGATGTTTTCTTCTTGATCCAGATGAGAATACACGTAGTCTCCCCTTGAAGCGCCACCGCCAGAGGAAGAAGGAATCCGTCGTTGTTTCCCTTTGCCTTTCCCTTCCGCTTTCCCTTTCCCCTTCCTCCGAGCAAAGGAGAATGGGAGGGTCATATATTCTGTGTTATCTCGTATCGCGTTCCGTCCAACAGCCGCCGCCGCCGCTCATCATCAGTCTGATGACTGGCCCCTCGCTCCACACCTCCACCGTAGTAGCAGAGATCCTCTCGTGGAGTAGGTACCTTAGTGGGACGTTGCATGTCGGCAGGGCGTCTCGGCAGAGCTTCAGCCGATGCCAAGGCCGGGGGCCCACGGGGGCTAATGGACCGTGCACGGTGGGGAATTCGGCTAGCGGGGCATGGATGGAGGGGTCTTCAGACGCCGATGGACTGTGACGTCACCAATCAATAAAGAGAGAGAGAGAGTCCGCTACAGAATAGGTAGGTACCGTTTCATGATCTCGCTCTTCACCCACATCTGATCATGCGCTGTCTCACGGCTACTACAACACCCTAGCTGTAAGACTGCGAAAGAAGCTGCATGTGGGTTACATCCTGCCCAGCGCGCATCCATCTCACGCAGCCAATCATATATCCTCCAAGTATTCCCACCCAACAACACCGAAATCGACTCCATCAGAAACGAGACCGAAGGAATCGTAGCCTCCTCCTACTTCTTCCCCTTCTGCTCCGGAATCTGCGTGATCAGACCCTTACCCTCAATCGCGCTCTTCAAATTGTCGAGCACCAAGAGTTCCATATCCTTCTGAGTCTCAGCCGTTGCGGTACCAATGTGCGGCAGGAGCACCACGTTCTCGTTCTCAAGCAGGCCCGGGTGGATCTTGGGTTCCTCTTCAAAGACATCCAGACCCGCGGAGAATACCTTGCCGGAGTTCAGGGCGTCTACGAGTGCCGCTTCGTCGATGATCGGTCCGCGGGCGGTGTTCACGATGACAACTCCGTCTTTCATCTGTGCGAATTGCGGTGCGGCGATAACGTGTCTCGTGGAAGGGTTGAGAGCCAAGTTGAGACTGAGCACGTCAGACGTCTTCATGAGCTCGTCGAAGGAGACGTATTTCGCTCCCTGCTCTTCCTTCTCCGGAAGGCGATTGCGGTTGTAGTACTGTATCGTCATGCCGAAAGCCTTCGCTCGGTGCGCCACGGCTTGTCCAATCCCGCCCATTCCGAGGACTCCCAGAACTTTCTTCTTGGGATCATGACCAAGACCGAAGTTCTTGCCTCTCCACTCTTGCTTTCGAACAGCGGTGAAAGGTATTGTAACCCGTCGGAGCGCGCCCAGGATGAGGAACATTGCAACTGTAACACACGGTCATTATTGGTCCTCCAAAAATACGACAACGTCGGAAGACATCGTGAAACTTGACCGGGGTAGGAGGTAGGTTCGACTTACTATCTGCAGTAGCATCATTCACCGCAATGGGCGTGCTGCTCACTTCGATATTCCGCTCGGTCACTGCGGGCACGTTGATATTGTCGTATCCAGCTCCATTGTGCGCAATGTACTTCAAGCTCTTTGGCAAAGCAGATACCAACTCTTCATCAAAAGGTCCCGTGATGGCTGTCGAATCGTTCGATCGGTAAAGTCCAATGACATCGTCAAATTCTCCCGCTTTACATCGCTTGATGAAATCCTCCCTCGAACCGCTCTCGTATTCCTATAAAGCTGTTAGCTACGCGGTTCCCAAAGACCTGATCTCATACCTGGATCATACCTTCAATTTGACGAGCGATGCCAGAGCCTCCCACTCTTTGCGAGTGTGCGACAATTTGCCGATCAAGAGTGCGGCCCGTTGAGCAGTCATATTAAAATAGATGCTGGAGTTGTGTGTCGCGATGTGGAGTGTTGGAAGAGCTCAAAGAAGAGGTGCATGCCGTCCTTGTGGGAAAAGGACTGCAGCTGTAGTCCTCGCAGCTGCCGAACGCCGTTTCGCTCAATTACCGAGGGCTTAGACGCCGTCAGTTTCCGCGAACCCTGCCCTGCCCTGCCGGACACGTGCGAATGTAGATTTCTTGGCGGTCGATGGTCCGGCCTTACTGCAGTCCAAGATTCCAGTCATCCATTTCAGGCAGGGTCTCAAACAAAAAGTTATTGCTGTCCGCAGGCAGAAAGCCAGACCACCATTCTGCATCTGTGAGCGAAGCACCACCGGCCCCGTTGACAGCAAAGTTCCCAATCGCATCAAGATCGGTCCAAGAGAAATCGCCAATCAAGTTCTCCGTGACAGCGGGGGAGTCTTCACCGAAGCCGCCGGAAGACGACGTGGTATTGGGAGTCGGTCCTCCGACACTGCCAGGTCGGTAAGGATTATGTAGGGTGGCTTTCGAGTCGGCCTTGCGCTCTTTTCGCTCAACCTTGTCCCAGAGCAGTCTCAGAAGCTGGGAGTAGCGACTGCCCGGGTGCTGCATACCAATGCCGGACCTTTCGAGTCGGTTGATTGTCTCTTGGACCATTACCCGTACCGACTGTTCCTCATCGGATGAAAGGACCCCCACACACCTTGCGCGGTACAAAAAGACACTGGAGTAGATCGAGTACAGGTAGAAGCGGAGCGGCATGTATCGCAGGGACTTCTCCGGGTCGACAAAAGTGTTGATCATGCTTAGGAGGCTTTTAGCTGCGTCGAGGCCCTCGTAGATGAAGCGAGCATCGCCGACAGCGCCTACGTTGTTGTAGAACACTCGTCCAGGGGCCGGGTGTGCCGAGTGACGGCCTTCACGTCCTTGCTGGATCTGCGGAAGGGCTCGTTTGACTGTAGCGTGGAAGGCAAATGCGTTCGTGTAGAGCCTCAAGTAGTCGTAGGACATGAGCAGAGTCGCCTTCAAGTGCGGTGAGCAGGTGAGGGTACCCCAGACGCTCTTCCAGCCATAAATTGCGCTCCGGAAGTCGTCAATGTACTTGATGTAGCCACCGCTTAAGTGACTGCGCATGCTGTTACCAGGATTCGAGTAGAGCACATCGTGAACGTTCGAGAAGAGTAGTGTGAGTTCCAATGTCGCTTGGAAAATGCTGGCGTAGTCTTCGTCGCCCGGGTTGATTGGTGCTAGCATTGGAAAGTCCGCTTTGGAGAGCGTGGTCAACGGTCCCGGACCTCGAGACCAGAAAGCTCTCCCCAGTCTGATGCTGATTTGCCTATCACTGATGTAGCATGCCGTCCAGACCAGTCGTTTGCGCTGCCACTGCGGGTCTTTGACATCGTCCCCTCGCACGTGGAAGGAATAGCGGTCCAGGCCCAGGAAGTATCCGATTCTCAAAGCAGTGCCGACGTGCATCCACGCCTCTCGATCCTCTTCACCACGTCCGACGTGACCTGCGTCTGAACGCGAAGTGTAAGGGGTCCACTCAGCCAGCAGCAAGAGCGCTTCGACAGCTTCGACATTGCCTGGGCCTCCGGCTGCTAGCGCGGAGACTAGGGCACGCATGTGCTCTGAACAAGCGAGGAATAAATTCGGCTCGTCGGTCAAGTCCCTCGAGGCAACGACCAGGATTGCTGTCAAAAGGTGGGGTTCATCTCGCGCGGTCCTGGACAAGTTGCCCGCGTCTAGGGTCGTGGCCGGAACGAGGGGAAAGAAGGGGTGATAGTAATGCTTATAACGCTGCAAAAGCTTTATCACCTGCAAGAATCGTAGCGAAAAGTTAGCAAATTCGACCAAGCCACAGACGCGAAGATGCTTCTAGGAAAGCTCCAGCACAAAAATGCGTAGTGAGGGCTTGAGAATCGCACCTTGGATAACGAAAGTCTCCCATCCCTCACAAGAGCGTACTCTAGCTGGGCTGACGACCCATAGGACCCGACCCCGTTGTGCGGTGGCACGGTGAGGCTCGGGGTCTTCTCTCCATGGCTGGCGATTTGTGCGAGAATTCCGAGAGCATCACTTGGATTCTGTAGGTCGTTGAATGCAATGTTGGTGGAAGAGATCGTCGAAGATTCCCTGGTGGTTTGGTTGGCAGGCAAGGATTCTCTACTCCGAGTCAGCGCTGACTTCACATGTGAACCCGTGGTGTCTTAGCAATGACCAGGAGCCTGATGGTTGCGCATACCTCGTATCGGCTTGCAGCGCCGGGTCAATCATAATCGTAGGGTTTGTCTAGAGGCGGAAATTCAGCCCATGCATCAGACTCCATAGATTGTCGAAGGCTCCAAACACGTCTGATCCCGTGAACAGCCTTGCGGTTGGAAACCATACCTCCGAGAGACCATTCATCCCACTCCCCTGATGAGCGTAACTCCCCGACCACCCCGAAGCGCGCTGGCTACCAGGAGACACGTCCTCTACCACCTGCTCGTGGTCCTGCCGCCGATAATGAGCCTCACTCTGATGTCGCTGCGCGGGCGGCAACTGCGTCGAATCTTCATCAGCAGTAGTCTGTTGCAGCGTCCGCTTGCGCACCCGGCGGCCGCCTCGGTTGCTCGATCCGATCACGCATTCGAGATTCGAAGCCGTACATCGTTCGCAGGGCGTGGTGACGACGCCGTCGACGGTTGGTCTGCGGTGGAGCACAAAAAACAATCAGTCATATCTCAGCCATTGGATTCGCGCGCGCGCGCGTGTGTGCGTGCGTGCGTTGCGCGTGTGTGTTTGTGTGTGTGCGTTGCGTGTGTGTGTTTGTGTGTGTGTGTGTGTGTGTGTGTGTGCGGGCTTTGAGATCGGCATCCGGCTCGGAGATCAGGTGCGGTGCTTTGCGAGGCGGCGTGGGCGTGGGCGTGGGCGTGGGAAAAAGTTTCGAGATGGGGACAGGACCAGGCCAGGGCTTCTCGATTGCCTACTGCTGCTGCTGCTGCTGTCGTGCTCTCGGCGTGTAGAAATGTCTGGGGTCTGGGGTGTGCCATGCCATGCCATGCACCACCCACCAAAGGGCTTGATGATAAAATCCGGGTGGAGGATGTCGTTGCGCGCGGGAAGACTACTCACAAATGGCACGCGCTCTTCCTGTTCCTGCAGGCCAGACATGCTCTGCTCGTCCGCTTCTCCTTCTTGCCCCCCTCCTTGGCCGGCTTCACATTGCCAGCAGCAGTGCTTTCGTCGTCGGCCATTCCGCTCTGTTTCTGTCCGCGCGGAAACTACCTTACTGGACTGTCGGTGGTGGGATGTGTGCGGGACTTGGCCGTGAAGCGCCGACCCCCCCCACAGCCACAGCCACAGCTACAGCCGAGGCCAGCCAGCTCCGACTCCAGGCTTGCTTTCGGCTTGGCACGGCGGCAACTGAAGGAAGTCGCCGCCGTGTCCTGCCTTCCAGAACAGGATGGACGACATGGCTCCCACGCTCGAGCACGCGGACACACGGACGAAGCGGTCTGCAGGGAGGCACGAGGAGGGCTTTAAATAGCAAGCGACGTCCACAATAAGACGGGGTGGGAGGAAGGAGGAAGGGAGGGAAGAGCGTCAGGTCTTACGTCTGCATTCGCACTTCTACATACATACATTATACTATACCTGCAGATATGGCCGCTCCCGACAACAACATCGCGGGAAGACTTGTCCTGATCACGGGTGCTTCAGGCGGGTATGTATCCATTCCACCTAGTCCATCATCTCCAAACAACAACAACAACAACAACAACAACGACGAAGCTGACGGACCATCCCACAGAATCGGCTCCGCCTGCGCCAGACAATTCGCCTCCCACGGCTGCCACCTAGCCCTCACGTACGCCTCCAACCGCGACGCCCTCGAAGCACTCGTCCAAGAACTCCAATCCGCTCCCAAAAGCGGAGACGGCTCGTCGTCCAAGCAAGCCACCCCCCAACGCTTCACGATCCACAAAGCCGACCTGGCCTCTGCCTCCGAACCCCTCGCCCTCTGCGAAGAGGTCCAGCGCCAACACGGCCGCGCGGTGGACATCCTCATCTCCAACGCCGGCTACGGCAAACGCATCCGAGACGTCTCCGACATCCCCCTCTCCGAATTCGAACACACCCTCAACGTGAACCTCCGCGCGCCCTTCTTGCTGGTAAAAGGCGTCGTGGAGGGCATGAAGGCGCAGAAATGGGGGCGCATCGTTTTCGTCTCCTCCATCGCCGCCCATGGAGGCGGCATGAATGGTTGTCATTATGCTGCGAGTAAAGGTGGCATGATGGGCATGATGAAGAATCTGGCGACCAATCTGGCGGCTTGGAATATTTCGGTCAACGATGTCGCACCGGCCATGGTGGGTAATACGGGCCTCCTACCGAGTGGTGATCAGTTCCCGGGCTTGGTCGACAGTATTCCTTTGCAGAGACTCTGCGAGCCGGAAGAGGTGGCCAACGCCGTACTCTTCTACGCCCGCACGGGCTTTGCCACAGGGCAGAGCCTCATTGTCGCGGGCGGGCTGAAGTGAAGCTGCAACGGGTGGTTTGTTCGGAAGGCGTACGGCGGCGGCGTCGGAGTAGGGTGGCCTGTCGAAAGTCTCTGCATCTTTTTGGATGTCAGCTCCAAGGCGTGCAATGTTACCTTACCTCCAATTTGATACCAGGAAATGCCTCTCAGTCTCGCCGTGTTATTCAAATGCAGAGTCACATTCGACCCCCCTCTGTCTATTCAAAGTCCTGCAGATCGCCTCTGTGCACTTCTCTACTGTCATCTTCGAGCTTGCTTCCAAGTCAAACGCCTCCCAAAATGCGTGTAGATGCCTTTCCCTGCGCCTCCGCTTTTGCATCGCTTCGCCAACAGCAAGAATTCAATCAAAAAACAAAGCTGTATGCGCCATTCAGCACTTGAATAGCGATGTACAAAAAACATGGAAACCCGGAGACCGGTTTCTCCTTGGAATATTCTTCCGTTTCCACGGCAGTTGAAGGGTCCGCCGTAGTCGTGGTGTTGTCGGACCAGATTTGTGAGTCCTCGTGTGTGCAACCATCCGGCGAATATGCTTGCAACCTGAGTGATGTTCAGCCGCACCTGGCGCGTGTCTTGAAGACACGCTCTGTGCATGTGCATGTGCATGTGCATGGACACTCTTCGTAGCAATCTCAGCGCCGTGGCGCCATTGCTCTTCCGGACTTGGGCCGCGAGATCGTCGAATGGGGTGTGTTTCGTGTGAATCGGGAGACCTGACGTAGTGTGTTCAATGTCACGGTGACGATACCGTCCGATCTTTTAACCGCCGATGTGCCTTTCGTTCTCGGGCTTCCATGTACCTAGTATCGGTCAGTTTTGTTCATCATTAGTCTGCTCCTCTTCCGAGCTGAATCCGTACCTTCGAACGTGTGCTGAACGAACGCCATCGGGTCATCAATGTCGCCGGCGTTCATCTGTCCGACTCCGGGAGAGAAGGAGGTGATGGGAAGAATCACGACATCTCCAACCTTCTTGGCTTGTGTGATTCCAGTGAATTGGTGCCAGGTGATGTTGCCTTTACTGGTCGACATGTCGAAGTATTCCGGGTTGTTGAAGAACTTGAAAATGGTGTCCGTCCAAATGGCGGGTCCCGTGAATTCCACGACACCTCTTCCAATGTGCTCCATGTCGAGCTCGCCGGCTTTCTCCCTCCTCAGTGTCTCCTCTGTGATCGTCGCTACTATGTCAACCAGCACGGGGTGACCTGGCTTGCTTTGAATCGTCCATTGGCAGAATTGTATCCTGCGAGAATACCAGTCGTGCCAATCTGGTCGATCTGGGTCGGCCTCGATTCCCACCACCAATCCATAGCTACTCCGAGGTACCTCCGCCGGTACCCATTCCACTGCGCTCTTGAGCGCAGTTGTGTCGATGTCACTGTATATCCCCCCTCGTGCCAGGAGGATCAGGTATCGGAAGAAATCCGCCTTCAGCACTGGGGCTGGAAGCGCGTTGTAGGCCTCTTGAACTTCGGGAATGCTGGCATAGAAGTGCCGGATTAGGTGGACAGCCACCGAGTCTGCGATGACTTCGTGCACAAAGCTGGGATGCAATTCTGTCCATGAAGCCTCCGCGGCCCTCCACTCTTCAGGGAAGGCGCCAGATGACGGGGTGTCTTTCCATGTCTGCCAAACATAAGCCGGGAACTTGCCCTCGGCGTCGTAGGGAAATGCGTATGCGAGCTGTTGTCTCAAAGGCCTCAGTTTCAAATCGTCCATGGCAACCTGAGGCCGAGGCTTCTTCAGAGCAACTCGACCGCCATTGTCGCCGTCCCATGTGCCTGTGCCTGTGCCTGTGCCTGTGCCTGTCGGCACAGGTTTCGACTCTTCGGTGAGTGTGGAATCCGTCGCTAACTCGGGGGCGGACTCGACTATCTTTCGGTTGTCGGCATGGGATCCGGTAGGTTTCGGCGAGTGATTCGGTTTGAGGGTCTCGACCTGTTTCGGATGGTTGTGTCGTAGGAAGATCAAGGTGGTTAGGATGACGGCAGCAAGCACGAGGGCTCGTCTGAAGGTGAGCATGATAGCTCGGCGGGAGTCGAGTAAGCTCTGATGACGAGCGGGCGAGTAGTGAAGCTGGGCTGGCTGGTAGGTAGGGAGAGGCAGCTGGGGGGCAGATGCAGGCAAAAGCCGGGTTAAGAGTCCCAAGGCAAAAGTCTGTTGATGCCAGTTGATGGGGCCCTGGCGAACGTTGCGCTGAATTCAACGCCCGTGCTCACCACCGCGCCGGTCGTTATTGGCCGCTAACGGGGCTCGGGGGATCGTTGAGGAAGGCGCGCTGCTGATGTGATGGTGAGGAGAGAGAGAGTCGCTGGCCGGTGTCAGCTAAATGTACATGTACCTTCGGTTATCGCAGCGACGACCGCGCGCACTTGAACACCGACAAGGTGGAGCACATGTCGAGAGGGTAGTACCTTATTCTTCTACCTTTCCACTGCACTTTCTGTGCTGGTCGCGGCCCGGGGAGCGGCCGGGCTGCGCCCTGTCACGTCGCCCAGGATCTTCGTGTAGCTCCTTCGCCTATGCAGCCCTCAACAGTGTTACGTGCATCGGGAGAGTCGCGGATGGCGGTGACTTTGGACAGGGCGGCACGCAGTGAAGATAAGGCGGGCAGTATAGTCAAGCAGTAGTATACCAGAGTGAACAGACCGATAATTGGGGGTACACAGGCACGCAGGCACTTTGCTAGACACGCCGTTTCTCATCAACTGCCTCCAGATGGCGTTACGCATTGCGCGTTACCAGATGACGTTACCTGTCTCGCCGACATCCTGCATCGATATCCACTTGTGGCCGCACGCAATGCCTCATGTCAGACCCGACTCCATCCATCCATCCATCCATCCGGGGGTGGAGGCTCAGCTTTGCATTATTGTCACCTTGTCAGCGCGATGCTACTGCTACATCTGCGGCAGGCGACGCGCGTTGTCGGGTTCTTGTCCACGGTTGATCACCGCGCATCCGGCATCCAAGTCGGAGATGACGGGAATGAGCAGCCCACGCTGGTGGCTGATGAGTGACGTCCCCTCGTGCGCGACCTGGGGTTTCGCGTTGACAACCACCTGGCACCTTCTTCGGCCCATTCTCCCTTCCTATCACAGTGCTATGGTTTGCGCCTTCCTCCCTCGCCTCGCATCAAGGCCCCGAGGTGGAAGGCACAGGACCAGAGTTTGAAACACAGCTCGCAGCATTCTTTCTTCCTTCCCGACCGACCATTTCAGCCACTTGTGCAGCTCTGCACAAAGATCCCTCCGCAGACGGGAGCTTTGATCACCTTTCCACGCTCAGTCATCACTATCGAGGACGAACAGCTTGTTGATCAGAGCGTTATTGCGGAGCATTGTACATGTGTATCCCCGTGAAAATGCCAAGAATACATAGATAAGCTTTCGAGGCTCCTTCCCGACGGATGGCGCAATCCCATCGTTCACAGTTTAGACTCTCCATCTGACATCTTGTCATTTGAAGACACAGGGCACTCCCGATGTCAACTACTACTGTGCTCACCACACACATTCCAGACCTACTTGCAGTGAACTTGGAGATTGCCGCTCTTTTCCGACTCCCACCAATCTTTGCCGGAATTGCAACCCCGACTTCGAGTGTCGCGACCTCCTATACTTGGGAATGACTCCAAGTTCAGGCAGTGACAGGAAGCAAGAATTGACGGGTGTCTAACGGTCTCCGGAACTCTATATGTGTGAAAGGATTCACCTCACACCTCACTCACGTCGCAGCTCTAAAACCCTTGTCCCGCGGACCCTACATGTATCCATATTCAACTCCCCACGTGAAAATGGATTTCGTCTTCTCGGGAACTAAAGCAAGACTTCCCTCGACTGGCTCCTCATCGCCATCGACCTTCATGATATCTATCCATCTAACGGCACATCGAACTCCACCACCACAAGCGCTCAAAATTCGAATTCCGAATGCGTCGGTACCAGGAGATCCTGCTCCACTCCATGTCCCGGCGAGCCATTAGGTTGTCTCCTTCTAGTGAGTCATTCATTCATTCATTCATTCGCGCCTCCCGGAACAACGGCTTCGGCACGTGGTAACTCAATTTGAGAGTCGAGAGTCAGTGTGTGCTTGGGGATAACTTCAGCTGCCTCATTATCAGGAGGACAAATCTTGCTTGCAAGCCACGCTTCATCACCGCGGAGCACCACAGACGGTCAACAATACGATATACGTAATGAACACAAGCTCAACGCTCTCATCAGCACGCACTATTTTGGCATTGGCAGAGATCAATCCTTAACCCAGCTACCCGATGATGATTGGGACTTCCGACGGGAGAGCCATCTCCACGTCAGCACGTTGGTATGAACAATTCATCTTCTATGAAAAGGAAGAGCATGCAAGTGAGATGTGCCTTGCATACCGAAGTACAGAGCAGTAGCAGCAGTTTTGACAACATCCACCTTCAATCCTACACTCATATTTACGCTTCCTACACGAACTTCCCCACTTTTCTCTTCCCCTTCTCCCTCTCCTCTCCCAACCTCCTCTCCACAGCAAGATCCCATTTCTGCAATGTGCAATGTGCAATTCTTTTCTGTTAATTTTCTTCTTGTCTGAGCGGAGGTATAAAACGCCGGTGAGATGCAAAGGGGCGGGATGCAATGGGTGTCGGAACGCAGCATTCGATGATTAACAGCAACAACAAAGGCTTTCCAGAAGCAAGCAACACAGGCTCCCAAACTCCATCTGCCGAGAGAAGGATCAGACCACAATGAAAGGGAATCACCGCGTATGTACAGGCCTTCCGCAGGCGATAGCGAATGCCCTCAAGGTCCCTCCGCACACAAGCTCCGCACCAGCAAAGATCGATAGAAGCCACGCGGAAGCGGGTTGGACCAACTGTTCACTCCCTGGATGAGGATCGCTTCCAATAGCGTGTGAAGGTGGCGTAGACGAGCACACCGATGAGGTTCCAGATGCTGCGCAGAAGCTGCTGGGCATTGTTGACGAGAGGTTCAGTCGCTTCGCCCGCGGTAAGCTATACACTGTTTCGGTTTCGCTGGCCACCGCCTCCCGCAGGTATTGCTGGCGTGCCAGCTGGTGCGGGAGGTGGCTCCCAACCATCGTATTGATCATCCGTGCCGACAGGATCGTAATCATCGCCATCATATTCTTCGTCATCGTAGTACTCTTCACTATCCGCGGGAGGTAGATTCGGGTCGTAGTTCTGAGCATGGACCGGCGTAGCAGGAGCCGGAGCATTGTTGTTGTTGTTCTTGCCGCCCTTCCCAGCGCCCTTTTTATTCTTCCGTCCCTTCATCTTCGCCTTCTCAAGAAGCCGGCGCTTTTCTGCCGCCTTCTTGCGCTCTTGCCGGTCTTTAATCTCGTACCGACGTATCATGGCGAGCGGTGGAGTTCCGTATATGTCCTCATACTCGCAAAACTCACATATCCACATGTCTTCTGGCTTCGGGCGATGGTGATAGTTCTGGTACTGCTGATTTCTCTTCCGCTGCGCAGCTTGCAAAGCATACTCTTTCGTCGGGTTCCGACGCGGCTTCGGCTTTGGCGGCGGTGGTGCCTGTTGCTGAGGTCCCGCATTCGATGGCGGCGGTGGTGGACGCGTCGCATGGGTTGGTTGTTGTCCATTTCGAAGAGTCGGTGTGGTCTGGGTTCCGTGCGCATGCTTTCCAGCCGGCGAAGCAGCATTTCTCGCCGGAGTGGGCGTCCCCGTCTGGTGTGCAGCAGTAGCCTGCTGATCGACCATCTTGGTGGCAGAATCGGACTCGCACGTGAAGGTAAACTGCGTCTTGTTCGGTGTGGAGGAGTTGTTTGCGCTAGTCGCTGACTGCAGCAGGCTCACGTTGTCCCGGCCTTTGCCCGCGGGAGTTAGAGGACCTTGCTCTGCGGCCGTCTTGATAGCTTGAGAGATGATGCCTCCTGTATGTTCGGCGCTGGGATCTGTGTTTGGTATTTACGTCAGCGGAACGTGTCTTGAGCTGCCACAAAGTGGGCCTGTTTCATGGAATTCACCTGAACTGGTACGTGCATCTCCCCGCGCTGGAGCACGCGAGTAGACATTTCCGTACTTGTCTGTGGACGTACCATTCCCAATTGCTGGCCGATTCCTCGATTTGCCAAAGCGACCACGACCTGCACCGCTGATGCCAGTCCCGGAGGCTGAGCTTGTTGCAGGCGGTGTCGGTGCGCTGTAATCGTGCTCTTCCGGACTAGCAATCCCATTGACACCGTGCTCATCTGCCGCGCCATCTGCGTGCGTGTTGCTAATGCCCATATTAGCCATCTCTGCACTCAGCTGGCTCTGGTGCATGGAAGATGCTCCTGAGAGCGGGATCTTCCTCTTCTTTTTGTTGCTGGTGTTCTCGAAGCTCTCATACCCATCTGCAGATGATGCGGTGGAGCCAGGAGGTGGAGGCTTGTTCGCCGCGCGAGAAGCGTCCACAAGCCGCCGTTGTAACGAATCGACAGGCTTCACGGGCGCCCCGTTCGAAGTGGGTAGTGGGTAGCGATAGTCAGGATGATCGAACTCGACCTCATCTTCACCGCTATCGCCATCCTCGCCGCAGGTGCAATGACTATGCTCAGTGTGCTCATGATGGTGATGATGATGATGGTGTGCGTCTCCGTTCGTTAGCCGGCGCTGTTGAACCGGCGTGCCATTCTCTTGCGCGCTGAAGCTCAGGGTGGGCGAGATGGGAGGTGGATCGGGAGGGTAGATGATGGTAGATGCCTGCTCGGGAGACAGTTTTGACTTGAGCCTGCTCTTAGGCAGAGGGCGAATAGCTCGCTCTGGAAACACCGGGGAGGCGGTGTCAGGAGAGCGGGCACCGAGAGAGGGTGACCGAGTGTAGCCGGATCCAGCGTGCTCTGTGAGGTCTGTCAGCGAATGCTGCTGCTTCTCTCTTACCTCGAGATGGAGCGGAGCGGGAATGGGCAAGATGGGGATCTTGATCAGACAGCTCGTGAGCGGCATGGCAAGGCGCCGCAGAATTCGCTCGAGAGCTGCAGAGCCATCTCCACCATGGTACTGCCGCGGGTTCTCACCATCTATGACAGTGTTGATGGTTGCTTCCTGATGCCCGAGGAACGTCTCCGCCGCCCGCTCAGTGCTGTCTGCTCGTGGCTGCTGTCCATGTTTCCCATCCGCCGCGGCGGGGCGACCGCCCATCCCTCCATCACCCATCTGCAGAGGATCGGTCGACGCACCGGTCGCTGTGGCCATGCTCCTTCTCCCACCACTCAGCTTCCGAAAAGATAGTCCAACACGTCTTTCCAAAAATGCAGCACCCACACACAAGTGGCTTGAGGGTCGAAAAAGCGCTGTGAGTCAAATCAGCATCTCCCGTGGGCCGTGTTGGTCTCCGATGAGGTATTGACCATCTCGAGCGAGGGGAATGGGGTACGTACAATGCGCAGTAGGGGAGGTTGTTGCTGTTGCGGATGAGAGTGCTGGGATGTCACGAGTTGGAGAGGTGACCGGCAGTGAAGTGCTCGAGTCCCATTCTGACTAAAGTGCTCGCCGACGGAAAGCTCGGTCCCGTTCCCCGTGCCCCTTCTTCGCACACAACACCTCAGCACATCAGCAACTCAGCTCCTTTCATCACCTCGTGACCAATAGCCGTCAATGCTCGTGCACAATCAATGACGCTGTTGTAATAACTCGACGAAACTTGAAGCTGATCAATATACTCTACTTGCAACGAGGCGCCTTTCAGAAGACAGTCTCCCTCAACGTGCTACGTCCTACAATCGACTACGCAACTGACCTGGTCTGGAGCACGTGAATGGCAACCCCTCACCACTCGAGCATTCAACACATGCGATGTGTAGACCAAGAAACGCGGGAGCCTGCGTAATTTTTGCATGCTCTTGGGTTCTACGACATTTGTCCCGATCGCAGTTTCAAATCCGGCTCGCGGCTCTCCTACCTCTACCACAGACCCAGGCTCCCGAAGACTCATCTGCTTGCCGGAGTATTGAGCGCACATCGACGCAACACATCCGGTCCTGAGAATGCTGCGCGGGGCGTTCGATCTGGTCAGTCTACCTACGTACGAGGCGGTAGATGATCTCTCACTCTGAAGCGGAACAAAGTGCTTTGTAAGTCTTACTTTGCCATACCGCTGAGAGTCTATGGTATTGGAACCTGTCGCCCTGCGTTCTTGCATGTGGTCGAAGGGGACAGTCTGTTGGAGTCTCCAAGCTCTGACCCGTCTCGAGAGACCATTACGCCCTGTCACTGAGTGGTCTTGGAACGACCTGTTGGCAAATGTTCTGTGGGCCATGATGAATTTTGCTGCATGGGTACTGTTACCGTGATATTGATGTTGTGGCTTTGGGCGTCTCTGACTGCTGCACCATGTCCAGAAAAGTCCTCACTTTGCTGGCTCGAGCTATCCTTCACTTGCTCGTCAATGACGGATGCTACAGATTCTTAGATCCGGCTTGCCGAGACAGGAAGCTGCATGGACTCAACTCAATTCATTTCGTGCAGCAGTGAAGACATGCCTCGCTTCTTCAGCTTCGGACGTTCGATAGTGAGTCCGCGGCGTCCCCATACTGCGGTTTCTAGATCAGCAATCACTCGTCACCCTTTCTATTCTTTGGTCCTCTCTCGCAAAAGGCATATTGGGTGGCGCGTTTTGGCGGCAGCGCACGGGCCTCTTTGGGTGATAGCAACTGATTCGTGCTGCTTGGCGCTGCAACCTACAGTACATGAAGCTGCACGATTCCTGTAGGAAATGCTATTTACCGGGCGCACTTTAGCTATTTGCCGGGCGTAGTCGTAATGTACTGTAATACCTAGTTAGCTCACTTCCCTATTCGTCTAGCCAATTTTTAGTATAATTACGGGATCTCGTTCCGCTCGTATACTCTCGTACCTACCGGCCTTACTACTACTACCTACTACTACTATATCTACTATATCTCGCTACTCTTTACCTACTACGTCGCTATAGCTTGTATACTACCGTATACTACCTCTTAATAATATCTTAAATCGATTACGATCTCGAATTACTCTAAGAGTGCCCTACTATCGACGATATTAATACTAATTTCGAAGGAATTAATAAGGATATTAATAAGGTAGATTTCGAAGTACTAGGCCCGGAAGAGCGCGCTAAGTATAAAGAAGAGCTACATTATTACCGTAGTATTACTCGTACGCGTAAAGAGGCGTATAAAGAGGTACGTATTACGTATAAAGGCGTAGATACTAGTAGATTTAGTACCGCTAATACCGTTAATAGCGGTAAAGAAGAGGACGAGGATAGTAGTAGTTCTAATACCGAATTTAATAGCGAAGGAGGTGGTCCTAATAGATAAAGTACTACTAAAGAAGGGCTACTAAGAACTTAGCGTATATAAGAAGAACTAGACGAAGTTAACGAACTAGCGACTACTATCGCTCGTTAGCTTATTAACGAAGAGGTAGTAGATAATAAGGAAGTAGAGCTACTATCGGCTCTACTAACTAGTTAAATCTTTAGTTCTTATAATAAGGCGTATTAGTTTACTTAGGCCTAGGCGAAAAAGGCTAGCTATACGCTATAGGTAGCGGATAGTTATCGTAATCGAAAGACTCGTAAGTTAATAAGCTAGCGGCTTGTCTACTACTATTACAGTACTCTAAGGGCAAATAAGAAGAAGATTAGTAAGCGAGATACTAGATTAGGTCGCGCTAGTTATAAGATATCTATTACTATAGCTCGTTAGTAGTTAAGTAGTAGGTAGTAGCTTAGTAATCGGTAGATTCTAAGGCCTAATAACTAGGCTTATAACTACTACGCTAAGGCGCCGAGTATACTATTAACATACTACCGATAGGAGCGAACTACCGCTATTAAGGCGTAGATTCTAAGGGACCTAAATTCGAATAATATAGCCTTATCGTCGCTAATTACGCTACGAGATAGTAAAGAATATAGGTATATATATATATATATAGTTATTAGCTTAAAGGCGTAGCTACTACTAGTTCTACTACTACGACTACTACCGTACTACTAGAATTAACGTTACCTACTACTACTACTACTATTACTACTACTACTACTACTCTACTAACTAATACGCTCTTTATAGGTATTTAGACGATTAAAGATATACGGAATATACGCGCTATAGCTCGAAAGGCTACTTAAGGCGACCTAATAGCTACTAAGACACTCTAGTAGCTACTATAGAAGTACGGCTTCTAGTATAAGATTAATACGAACGAGCGGAATAAGATAGACTACCTTCTTATCCTTAACCTACTAATAGTAGCTATCTACCGATAGTATCCGGAGTATTATTCTTAATAATACCTATAAGACGAATAGGTATAATAGGCTCTTACTTAATATTATTAGTAGTACTAGCGGTAATTAGATAATTTAGCTTAGCTACTATATACTACCGAAGGAGAATAAGGAGGTATTTACCTAGTTTACGAAGGCTTTTAAGGAAGTATATACTAACTTAGCTGTCTCTTTTAGTAAGTAAGAGCCGTAGAATCGGCCTACGATACTACTAGAGCTCTACCTTTAGGTAACCGATAGGGACCGTAGATTAATAAATACTCTCGATAAGGTCTATCTACGTACTTAAAAGCTAATCTACGCG